TCGATCAAAAGTCCAAGCAGCTCTGACAATAGCTTGGACAACCCACGTAAACACCTCCCCATTCTCGTTCCAATTATAGCGCTGAACTGACATTACCCATCATCGCAACAGATTCCCTTTCTCCAAACCCGATCTCCCGCCCAAACAGTCGCGAACCTCCTCTCCGACACCCTCGGCCAAGCCGTCTTCGACCATGTCTTCATCGACTTCTGCGCCGGCGGCGGCGGCCCCACGCCCTCGATCGAACGCCATCTGAACGCCTCCCTCCCCCCTTCCTCGCAACAAAACGAAAAAGAGGGAGTCCAGTTCGTCCTTACGGACCTCCACCCGCACGTGCCCGACTGGAAGAAAGCCGCGGCCGAAAGCTCCCACCTCAGCTACGTCCCCGAACCCGTCGACGCCGCCAACGCGCCCGCCGATCTCGTCGGCCGGTACAAGGACAAAGGCAAGAAGGTGTTCCGGCTCTTCAACCTCGCCTTCCACCATTTCGATGATCCGCTGGCGCGGGACATCCTCAAGAACACGGTCGAGACCAGCGACGGCTTTGGCATCTTTGAGCTGCAGGACCGCACGCTTCCCGGTCTGTTGCCGCCTATCCTGTTCGGCATCGGCATCCTGCTTTTGGCGCCATACTATGCCCTTTTTGTCTGGCACTCACCTTGGACGCTGGTGTTCACGTATCTCATCCCTGTGCTCCCCTTCGTTCTGGTCGGCGACGGCATCGTCAGCGCCTTGCGCACGCGCACCCCTGAGGAGGTAGCGTATCTTCTGCGCACCTGTGGCGCCGAGGGTGGCCCCGCCGAGATCGAGAAGTGGGAGCTCAAGAGCGGGAACGAATCGTTTATGTGGCCCCTTGGCAAGGTCAACTGGATCATTGCTACGCGGAAGAGGTAGGATCCGCCGCTTGAGATTAGGCGGCTCAAGATGCCGGTTGGGTGGTACGCGGCCAAACCCAGGAAGTCTATATACTCGTCTCAGCAGAGAGGGGGTGAGGACCCGCGGCCTGTGAATTGGGCTGTTCATCCGAGGACCTTTCATTTGGGGCAGGGTATGATCAGGTTCGCTCAGTGTAGAGAGCCCCAGCGCTTGGGCTGCTCGCACACACGTCAAGGCGACAGCTCCGTTGGAGGACCTTGTGCCCTATCTCGGACAGCGCTGGTGGGGAGTTTGGGGTATGCGGTGTCAATTTAAACCTTGTGGTGGCGAGAAAGATTCCGAGGAAGACCCTACTGGGGATGATGTTACGAGCTTGGTATAAAAGAAGTCACCCCTTGTCATTCGGAGGGGACCTGGTACGGACTGACCGGTATAAGCAGAAGCTTCGCGGCTCTGTAGTGTATGGCCGAGTACTCGATGGCCAAAGATCGTCGTCAGTGACATGGCATATGGCACGGGGGTGAGAATGTCCAGGACGTTGGGTTTATGTCAATAGGCAACCTCTGGTAAGAGCCATCGTGTAATGAGTTAACTGTGTGCATAAGACTACAAAATGAAAGGGTAGTTATAACTATGAGCGGCAAGGTTGTTATAGAGACAAAAAGCAATGGTTTCAGGAGTAGTGGTCAAGAAGGGAAGGGGGAACTTCAGAAAATTGAGGTGCTTGATCAAGTGTAAGATACTTCTAAATAAGATAAACCAAACGTATTTTGGGGAAGAAGACCAAGGCACCTTGGGTATGGAGAATTTAGCAAAGAAGTCGCCAATTTTCTCGTCTTTTATCACATATCCCTTCCCGGTGCCTCTTACGAGTCAACCAGTTTTAGTTGCCGTTCAGCCTCCATCCAATCTGCTACATGTACGCCTCGGAGACGCTGCCCACCGATTCCATACATACAAGCCATTGAGATAGACGTACAACAGGATAATCAATGATCGCGATCACCCGAGCACGCTGAGCCAAGGTTGGCTTCATGTGCTGATTCCATGTGCCCAAATGCACCTTTTCTAGGTAACGTTCAGTTTTTTGGTCCGTACCTACCTCGCCTACCTACTTTAGGTATCTTCCGTCTCTGCCAGTTTTTGTTCATCTGCTATTGTTTCCCAGAAATCAAGACATTCAAAAGGAGAGGCTCGTAACTGGTAGGAAGAGGTTGGATGGCATGGATGGGTCAGTGAACACCTGTTGGGAGAGAAGCACAATCACATCAATCAAGGTTCAACGAAAAAAGTTCTTCTTTCAAACCACCTCTCAAATAAGAGGTTTTCTCAATTTCCACAACGTAAGCTAAAAACATGACCTAGTGTAGTATAGACTACCTAGTCTCTCTGTACCCAACCTAGATTATATGTAAATATCCAAACAGATAATCCCGTATAAGTCCAAATCTTTTTTTTTCCACAAAGATAGGATGTCCAAAAAGCCAAAAGAAATAAAAGCGCCCAATGACAATGCAAAGAACTTTAAGATGTAGAAGACAAGAGAAGTGTCATCCATCATGCCAAAGTCCGAGGTGGATATCCCAAAAAGCCACAGTACCGTAGGTAGAAAAATGCTGATCGAGAAAAACCGTCCATCACAAGGAAATCATCACACCAGGCACCTCCTTAAACGACGGGACCAGCCTTGATGACATCCTCAGTAGCCTCGCTCTGGTACTTCTTGAAGTTCTCGAGGAAGAGACCACCGAGCTTCTTGACCTCGGTGTCGAAGGAGTCGGCACCAGCGGTCCAGGCGGTCTTGGGGTTGAGGAGCTCGGAGGGAACGCCGGGGCAGGTGGTGGGGACCTGGAGGTTGAAGATCTCGTAGTTCTCATACTCGACGTTGGCGAGCTCGCCGGAGTGGATGGCGTCGAGGATGGCACGAGTGTACTTGAGGGGGCAGCGCTTGCCACCCTGGGCGAAGCCGGCACCGACCCAACCGGTGTTGAGGAGCCAGGCGTTGGCGTTGTGGTTCTCGATCTTCTCGGCGAGCATCTTGGCGTAGCGCATGGGGTGCAGGGCCAGGAAGGGCTGGGCGAAGCAGGAGGAGAAGGTAGCCTGGGGCTCGAGAATGCCGTCCTCGGTACCGGCCATCTTGGAGGTGTAACCGGAGATGAAGTGGAACATGGTCTGGGCCGAGTTGAGCTTGGAGATGGGAGGGAGAACACCGCGGGCGTCGCAGGTAAGGAGGATGATGTTCTTGGGGTGGTTGGGCGACAAGCAGGGGATCTTGGCGTTGGGGATGTACTCGATGGGGTAGGCGCAGCGAGTGTTCTCGGTGAGGGCGGCGTCCTCGTAGTCGACCTCGCGGGTATCGGGGTTGAAGACGACGTTCTCGAGGACGGAGCCGTAGCGGATGGCGTTGTAGATATCGGGCTCCTTCTCGGCGGAGAGACCGATGGTCTTGGCGTAGCAGCCACCCTCGATGTTGAAGACACCGCGGTCAGACCAGCAGTGCTCGTCATCACCGATGAGGCGACGGTTGGGGTCGGCGGAGAGGGTGGTCTTGCCAGTGCCGGAAAGGCCGAAGAAGAGAGTGACATCGCCATCCTTGCCCTCGTTGGCGGAGGAGTGGAGGGTGAGAATGTTGTGCTTGACGGGGCCCTCGTAGAACATGACGGTGAAGATACCCTTCTTCATCTCACCGGCGTACTCGGTACCGAGGATGACCATCTCCTTCTCGGCGAAGTTGATAGCAACGGAGGTGGAAGAGGACATGCCCTCAGTGTAACGGTTGGCGGGGAAAGAGCCGGCGTTGTAGATGGTGTAGTCGGGGTGGAAGTGCTCGAGCTCCTCACGGGGAGGGCGGATGAGCATGTTGCGCATGAAGAGAGCATGGTAGGCGCGAGCGCAGACAACACGGACGCGGATACGGTACTTCTCATCCCAGCCGGCATAACCGTCGACGACATAGATGCGATTCCTGGTGTTGAGGTAGTCGATGGCACGCTCGCGGTTGATCTTCCAGACCTGTAGTGAAGAGAGTCAGCAAGTGGTGACGATGAGGGTGGCCACGTGATCAGGGATCACCGTTGGCCCGAATGAAAAAAAAGGGGTTCGGCTGGTGCGGGGAAGCCCCGAGTGGTTTCCCGAGCGGGAGCGGGGTGCATTGGATGCAATGTGGGGGCATTTGCGGCCGTGACCGATTCGGGACAAGCGCTGCGGGCAATGACGACAGGCGGGCAGGGAGCGGGCGAAGGAACCCCACATGGCGCCAGTGCCATTGCTGCCACCGCTCACCATGACCGAATGACACCGACTTTGAATGGCACTGGACAAGACAAGGTCATCCAGAGTCGCCAAGAACAATGGCATGAAGTCGTGCTCTGCTTGGCAATGATCCAATGGGTGGAAATGCACCGCAAGCTGCCAACCTCAAATCGTTGTTCGAGTGCGAAACTGGTCGCGTGCCTGTGCAATCATCCAACCCCATTGCCGCCGCCAATGGATGCATTGAGATGGAAGGGAAACAAAGCCAAAGAAAATCAATGTGTAGAAAGTGCAATCGTTCTTACCTCGGGGCTCATGGGCTTGTTGACAGGTCCCCACCTATTGAGGCATTGTTAGCAAGTCTGGTTTGAAAAGTCAAAGAAAACCATTGAGATTCAAACGTACCAGATGTCGTTTTCTGATGAAGGCTCCTTGACAACGCGCTTATCTGAGGGAGAACGGCCAGTCTTCTTGCCGGAGTAGGCGGTAAGAGCACCGCTGGATGTGATGGCAGTGCCGGTCTCGTAGACGAGGGCATCCTCGTAGAGGGAAGCGACTGAAGGGTTGGCGATCTGCCGAGGGTTAGTTATGCGACCTTCAAGCATGATGGCCATTTTCGCAGAGTCCAGCTTCGAACCAACAGGTGGTGCATATGCAAGCTCCTTCATGTTGATATCGAATGCTGCAGTCTTCGAAAAGGGAATTGGCCATGAGAAGAGAAGGACGTACAATGGCGACTCTGTCATAGTCGATGTGAGCTTTTTGATGGAGCTCCTCCTCAAGCTCAGTGTGCTCGACCTGGGGCCTGTTGAAGTCATCGTTAGTGTCTTTGTCCGGCCAGCGAGTTGCGTTGTCGTGAGGATTGCTCACTTGACACCACCAGGGTGGAGGTTGGTCTTGTTGACGTTATCGTGGTTGAACACTATTCGAGGCGAGTCTGGTTAGCGATGGTGAACTTTGTCAAGGCTGTTGAGCAGTCTGGGCTGCAAGTGCTTTGGCCGACAGGCGCGGGACGGATGCCGGAGACGATGATATGACGACCATTGGTCATGAGGGACGGAGTATGCAAGGTGGATGGATGTGTATGTGCATGCGTGGGCATTGTCGAGGCTTGAGAGCTGGAAGTTGGGGTACTTGCTGTTGGATGATTTGTTGATGAGATTAGAAGAATGACCAGACGAGAGAAGCTGTACTGGAGGGCCTTTGACTTTGGGATCAGTGTAGGGAGAAGCGGTTCTGATGACGGGGTCGCTCATGGTACTTATTGTTTTCGAATGCGGCGGTTGCAAAGGCCGGACGACTGGAAAGCCAAGGGGACGGACTCGGGAGTGGAAACGGTTACGGGCTCGTGGTTGAACGGTGACAGGGGATGCGGGAGCACAGCTGGAGACAACGACAAGTAAACTGGAGAAATATCCACTCGGACGGGGTTGAGGTTGAATATGGATCATGTTCCAGGAGAACCCGAGGTGAAGGAGACATGGAATATAAAGACGTGGAGACCAGAGGGTAGCCGGTGCCCAATCAAGAGTGACGTCTTTGCCTTGAAGACGCCTCCAACCCCGGAAGAGGACCGGGTGTAAGTGGGATCTAACGGGCTGCACGGGGCAGGACGGAGGCTGACGGAGCCAGATGGTTGCAAGACGGTATTGACGGTGTAAAAGACGGTTTCCTGTTCGGGCTGAAGACAGTTTCCACGAAGACTTTCCGGAGCCAGGCCTCGCCAACCCCTGCCCCCCCTGCCGTACTTCGGGAATCCTCACGGCGATGCAAATCAACCACATTTAGATCTCCCTGCTGCGAACTGGACACGACCGCATGGCGGTGTTTCATCAGGGTTGCGCCAGCGTGGTTTGAGATGGTTATTGCTGAATTTGGTCAAGCTAGAGTGTGCTGGCGTGTGAGATTATGCAGTTCGTCTTGTTGGCCAAGTCCAATTTGATATCAGTCTTGGAAGTTTGTTCCTGTTGTCGTTGAATCTTGTCTGTTCTCTTGATGCAAATTTGAATCAGGTTCAACATTGGAACGGCTTCATTAAAGATTTTCTCTTTGCCGTACTGTGGGATTTCACACCGGTCTTGGAGTCTCCCACTTGACTCCGTCTTTTCAACTTGCACAAAACTCCAGTGTAGTTGGCGGTAGTTGGCCCGGAACTCGACCATCTAAGTTGTCAATGTCTTGGCTCTGGTCCGAGACAAACTATTTTGTGTTGCAAGAACTGCCATTCCGAAGGAAGCAATAAGAATTCTTCCATCATGTTGTGCTTGGGTTTCAGTTGAAGGGTCGATTGTTGGATTCGTGATTGTACGCAGCATGCCCGTGCAGCTAGAATGGACGTGTAAATCGAGAGAAAGCGGAAGGAGACGGTGAACAAGAAACGGCCACTGTGTGCAGCGGTTGTACGGTGGTCACTGTACCGTTAACACTGGGCCTAGCTATCACGCCTCGACGCCTTGGACGAGCCAGGGGTTAGGGAAAGCGCTGTGGAGGCTACAGGGGAGTTTGGGCCTGCCAAACCGGGATTCAGAGCAGCGGCTAACAATTACCAACAAGTCGTTTTTAGAAGCTGAAGTGGAAAGCCATGAATTCGGCTAACTCTGTTTTTTTTTATCTCTGCTGGGCACATGACACCCTCTGAAGGCCATTACGGTAAGTTACGGCTCAACCAAGCCTGTCACCGTCGTCAAGGTTAACGTCTGTTTCCCCTGCATTCGACGCCCGGGATGTTGACTGACATGATGATGCCCAAGCCCCAAAGGACGGAATTGAGTCAGAGCGTACCGGCCTGACCGAACTTCGTCCGTATCTTGTGACGGCAAGCTGCCTGCGCAAGGTATGGTTATGCTTGCTTTGACGCTGTCGACTCCCCTCGTGTTCAACTCTTTGATCAGGGGCAATACTTACTCCAAAGGATTGAAGGACAAGCCAATCAGGTGTTGCGGAATTGGAAAGACATCGAGAAGGAAGAGTTTTGGGATGACGGTATCCGGTAGGGCAAAACGCTCGCCAATTCGCGGCTCTGCGGTGATGCAAGTTTTAGTGACTGGCACGGTATTGCAGGCCAAGAAGTTCGAGATGGCGACACGATTGGAACAGAAAACCTGGGGCTTGGGAACTGCCCAGCCCTTGGCAGCCTGAATCTCCCGGATTTGTCCCTGTGTGTGTGTGTCTCTGTGTCAAGATCTCAAGGCTTGGCATATTCTGGGGAATTCGCGATGCCAAGCCGTGGTTTTGGGAGGCCTTTTCGGAAGGAAAGCCTGACTGACGGTGTTGTTGCAAGTTGATTCGATATTTTTACCCCGCAACAACCCGCGTTTTGTGGCCGTGTCCAGTCTTCACCTTTTCTTTACCCCGGCATTTCTGACTGGAGACTGGAGATTTCAGTTTTGGGACACCGTCCCCATCCGAGCGGATGCGCGGGACCCCGCCATTTTCATGACAGGAACCACTTCCCATCTCCATCTCTTCCGGTCTTCATTTCTTGAAACGCTTGAACACAGAGTCTCCCTTGTTGATCCAGATCGGCTCCAAATTTGGAAGAAAACATACTCCGATAAGTTTTCGGAGTTGCAATCGGTTCTCTTGTCCCAATCTTATCATCGGGTTAAATCGCAGATAAGACGTTTGATAAAAGGACGGCGTGCTGCTGTTGCATCGCCTTGAAGAGGTACATGCGTACCTGAATTTTGCCAAGCCGTGCCCCGCCCAATGTCACCGCCAGCCCACTTCTGTACATGTGGTTGCCGACGGCATTCCGTCATAGGTTGACGAGAATCTCGACGACACCGTTTTGGTGTTTTTGTTCTTCTTCCGACATTGCCCGAAACCCCTGGAAGAACATCGCCAAACCCGATAACATCTTGGGCATGCAGCAATCAATATTTTGAAAATTTCAAGGGTTCAGCTCAACCATCCACACCATCAGTTTCAAGTGGCGTTGAGCCGGACTCGTTCTCTAAAAAGTTGTTGAAGTGTCACTGTGACTGTCTCTTGGCAATCTCCCCTCTGGCTGTTGACGTGGTTGATGGGGATCGAACGTGGTGCACTCTGACGCAAACCAATGGATCTCTGGGCGGCTCTAGCAGCCAAAAACCTGGCCGGCCAAGGCTTGCTTCGAGAACACGGGCAGAACTCTCGGCAGTGTTAGCGCATGACTTGGGATACCTGGACAATTGCGCGTGGGTCTTTACGTAACTGGGCAACCATCGTGACCCCTTGTGGGAGAAATGTTGTTGTTGTCCTGGAAAGTCCATGGAGGCCACTGGAGTGCACTGGAGTGCAAAATGGGGTCGGAAACGGAGCCCATGAGAGAAACGGTGAAGATGCGAGGTGGGCATGTGATCACCGCTGAATCTTATTGTTCGGGAACTATCGTGTGCTACCTGGTACAAGGCCAAGGTACCTTGGCTGAAAGGGGTCCTCACTTTCTGGGTCAACAGACCGCATCGGGTCACGAGAACACAGCACGACAACAAAAGAGAAGCGGTAAGGAGGTTTATTTTGGACTTTTTATTTGCAGGCCAATGCACACAAAGCTGAGCTGTGTTGGTAGTACCTGGGGTTCTAGACCGACAGAACTCCAGACACAAAACTTTGCGGGTCACGAGAAAAGGCTTCAGAATCACAGCGTCACTGTGAAAATATTCAAACAATTTGTCCCGGTTTTGAGGAATATCGCCAAGCTGCCAATGTGTCAAGACAATGCAGCCAAGAGCAAGTCTGTGGTAATGGAGGAAAGAGCTTTTGAACAACTGCCCGAAGATGTGAAACCTGCCACAAGTTCTCGAATTACACAGCCAAGACCGCCGCCTGTGCCATGGTTTGCTCTTTCCGCTTCATGTGAAAATCCACCACCAAAACATGGGAAAGGGCAACCACAGCAAAGTTGAATGTTACAGAATCGCCGACGGGGGCGGAAAGTTGGCCCTCGACTTTTCCCGACTTGGACTGGTTGAAGCAATTGTCAAGTTCACACAGTAAAAAAGATCTAGACCCCGGCCTTCCCTTGTTCCGGTTTCTTCCATCGTGTGACATCAGCAAGCCCGCTGAGAGTCTCCAGTTAGCTCCGTTGGGCCGGCTAACTTTTGCTGCATCTTTTCGGCCCCGGTCGCTGACCCCCTACACTTCTGCCGATCCCCCGACATCCGCCGACTCGGGATCCCGTCCAATTCGATGCCAACTTGAACCTCCAAACCTGCGACGACTCCACTTTCAACATCAACGACACGACAACGACACCGCCGGGCTTCACTCGCGATTCACTCGACGATACTCGGTAAACAGCATTCCAGCTCATTCAAAGACCAATTGTCACTGAAAGCCATTAGTGTCGCGTGCCTTTATACCACATCTGCACGTCTCTCTCAGACACGGGATCTCTCAATCCAAAAGGGCCGAGATCTTCCAGGTTCAAACATTCCCTTTGACTCGCTTAACCAAAGAGCCTGCATCTCGTCTAATCAGCCGATTGACCAGTAACCACTGCATGGCAATTATCCTGCCGGAAAAGCATCGCGGGAGAGGCGTTTACAAGCTTTTCAGCCTGCGGGAGAGTTACATTGGCGAGTGTGTGATCTTCTATCTCCCGGCCCAAGATTTGCGTTCATCGTCGTCGATAGACAATTCAACGGGACGGACAGCAAAAACCTCAGTTCGTGTCGACGAATCGGTATCCAAACATCCGGCCGACCGTTTTCTTCCACGAGGAGAGCGAGAGCTGCAGGGGAAGCTACCAACTCCGGCAGAAAATCCTCGTCTCGTGTTGGTCTCCCGTCTCCCGTTTCAAGGCCCCATCCTCCACCTATCCATATCCTATCCGGTGGAAGCTCGTGCGTCCGTGAACTCAAAACCGAAACCAACCGTTGGTTGGGAACTCGCTCGGCGGCTATACCCGCATGATCCGAGCTCAGCACTGAGGCTTGAACTTCTCTGGGCGTCTACTGGGGGGAAAGACGGTTGGTCGTTGGTCCAGGAGGCGAACTTACCCCGGATTGGATGTTATCCATCCCAGTCGCCCTGATGACTTGGCTCGTGCCAACCTTCCAGGGGCTCTGAAGAAAACGTGGGTTTGGGTTGGGAAGAAGATGAGCCGGGACTGGCCTAGCTCCATGACCTTCCCCAGGTTCCTTCCAAACCGTGAAAGCGGATTGGTGAACGGACGGAGTGCCGCTCCAGTCTTCTCTCTCGCTTGCGTTTATCCTCTTATGGCTAGTTCGGTTTTTTTTCTTTACGTGTAAGTGCTCCTGAACGGCAACCGGCAAGTGTACATTCGTGCCTACGTATCAGATCCTTCCGGGCCGGCCCACGAGTCCCGATCTTGTATCTTACGGCAGCACATCACCGTCTCTCTACGTATGTAACGTGCGAGTTCAGTCGCTCATGTTGTCCGCCAGCCAGCTGCCGAGCCGTTGATATCCGGGTTGACGTCGATCTTGATCACCAGGTATTCACCCTCCCTCAGACACTCCTCCCTAACTCAACAGCACTCTCGGATCTGACGGCAAAACTAAGGGATTCGTCCGTGAAATGGGTGAAACATTCTCAATAGAAAGGTATTATTCCCATTTAACCCGTTTCGGTACATCGTTATCAATGATGATCACTCAGCTTCTTTTCATCTGAACTTCGAGATCAACATGGATTCTCTTCGCAGCTCCGCCGTGGCTGCTCATGGAGGATAGAGATAGCAGCACTCGCTGGTATCTCCTCTCCAAGTCTTCTTGTTTGTGTACCACTCTCACTCTCTCTCCCCCCTCTCAGCTCAACCCCATACCCGTTCATAACATACATACGTAACCTGTTCATGATACATCCACTCGGTCCATGGAAGTGGTCTGCCACGTCTTTCGTGGACACTCAGTCACATAAAGCTGGAACCTTCCACCACCAGAGTTTGCTTGCCTCTATAACATTCTTGCATCTTCAGCTTCCATGGTTTCTCTTTACCTCTCTTTGGTCTCGAAAGAAGAAGTGTGCAAAAAGGGAGTGTGCGAGCGTGCGTTGAAGCAAGCTTCGTATACACTGCCTTGGTTGTTACTCCCCTAGTGTGTGTACAGCACTTGTCCTCATACCTTACCCACATCACATCACAAGCACTTGGCAAACACATGTCCTGTTTTGGGTTCCATTCACATGTGGCCACTCACCTACATTACCTCTGCTCTCATCGTATCGGGTTCTCTCCACCATTTGCACCAAAACTCGCCACCCAGCTCCTCTATCCACCTAACCCATGCACAGTAAAATATCACGAAAAGCCTATTCCTGTGTAGCCCATCGGATTGCATACCGAACACTTGTACACTATGGCTAGACTGGACCAACCAACGAACTTGCTTGCTTCTCTTGCTCGCTTGTTGTCCAAGCTCGTCCAACCTCTCTCGTCAACTGTCCCGGTTGGCTGCATGTGCTCTGCTCACCATGTGGTCAGTGAGTAGTGTACACGTGTAGTATAAGTGACCATATCAGTGGAGGTTGTTGATCCCTTGTTCACTACAGGAACAGTTGACTAGTGTACGGTACTCTCGGCGTGGGTTAGGTTTTAACGAAAAGCAAATCCGGTAGTGTACACGTGAGTGGCAAACAGGAATCGGAACCGGCTTTGCTCCGGTGGATTCTTGACGGACTGAATCATCCGTCTCATTAAACTTTTTTTTTTTTTTTTTTTTTTTTTTTTTTTTTTTGGAAGTAAGGTACTGCAAGGTAAGGTGTGCTGTGTTAGCTTATGTTATGAGCATGCATTAGTCAAAACGATATAGAAGTACATACTTTTGGCGCAAAGGTTTCACGCAAAGGTTAGGTAGGTACCTCTAGGCATTGTTCTCTGTGAGACCGACCCTCTTCATTGATAAACAGAACAAGACGTCTCCCCGGATCTATGTCATTGAACAGCTTCAGAAACAATCGTCACTTTTTTTGGTTTTTTTTCTTTTGCTCTTCTGTTTCTCTTTGTTTGCAAGCCAAGTACCTAACAAAGATTGTATTTTATCCTGTTATATTATCCATTGCCGCTAGAGCTACCCTAGACTATGTACCCAGCTTTGGTTCTTACCTACGAGGAAGCAGTACCAGTACCAGTAGCTGGTTTCTCAGCAGGAGGCCCAAAAATCTTCCAGATCAATTGATAAAGACTCGCAGGATCTGCGTCCTTCTTCGGGTCCCAGCCCTCTTGCTCGACAAGGCGCTCCATCACTTTTGGGTTTCTCAACGTCGAACACAAAATTCTCAGGGCCTTGGCGCGCTGTACCTTCCATATCCTCCAGGCTTCGCGTGCCTCGAGGCTGGCATTCTCCACGCTCGACCGAGGAAAGTCCATAGGGGTACCGAATACGGCCGTGGACAGGTCTTGGAATGCGGCGTCGAGCTCGACGCGCAGGAAGTGGCTCCATGCGCGGATGTTTTCCGGACCGCGGAGCTCGATGAGACAACAATCGTGGGAGATGGAGGGTGAGCTGCTGCTGCTGCTGCTGCTGCTGCTGCTGCTACTATTGCTGCTATTGCTATAGCTGGTTGACATGATGGTGGTGGTTTTGGTTATCGTATCGGATCGTTAAGGTAGTGAGGCGGGTATTATGACTGCAGCAGGTGATGGCCGGGTTAGTGCTGATGATGGTTTTCATACCTACCTAACCTGTCGTTGCGCTTGACTTACCTAGGTACCTTAGATGGGCGTATGCCTGAAGTGACTGTGAAGAAGAATGTTGGTGGTTTTGTGATAGCGACATGGATTGGAAAGGAATAAGGGGAGCGAGGTGATGAGGGTTTTACGGACCGTCAACGTGTATGGTTGAAGTGAGCAACTTGTCTAGATTATGCGACAGCTGTTGAGTAACCGATACCTTACCATAATGTTTGGGTGTTTGGAGCATGGAGACAGTTTTGGGAGCATCAAATTGTCAGGTTCTGTGGGTAAATCAATCAAATCCGGCACACCGGCCAGCTTTCTTGCGTACCTAAATTGCTCGATGGTCTCGTTAGATTGTCTAAAGTTGTGCCTCAACCTGTTACTTGTTATTTGTTGGTTGCATTGTCTTGATTCCTGTGAAGCAATAGCAAGTCAACGAAAACTTGCATGGACCGAAGTCACCTCTGGTACCGGTAAGGTAGGTAGATTTCACCTTTGACAAACCAACCTTTGACACCAATTCGTCTACTTATGCCTTTAACCAACCTCGGACTTCGAACAGGCTTTAACCATTGTGAGACGTCAAGCCTACGAGAGCCTAAAAGTCTACTCTACAGGTTATTTCTTAAGTTCCGGGGGGTCTGGTAGACAGTCAATGTCTGGAAAGCAATTGCTGTTTCCCAAACATCCCCTAGTTGTCTATCAGACAACCGTCGTTGAGACTCAAGGTTTCCCAATTCGGCACCACCTGGAATAAGAATGAGACCCGAAGACCTTCCAAACCAACTGATAAAGATACGCGGGATCCATGTTATTAGGGTCCCAGCCGCTGCTTTGGAGCCTCGCAATTACATCCTGCCTCCTCAGCGTCGAGCATAAAATCTGCATGGCCCTAGCGCGTGCCAGTCTCCAAGCCTTGTGTGCGTCAGGCACCGCCGTCTCCTTATCCGGTTCGGGCACAGCACTAGCAGGTCCCAATACGTATTCTGCCAGGCCTTCGGCGTCAAGTTCGACTCGTAGAAAGTAGTTCCATTCGCCAATGTCACCAAAGCCTCTGAGCTCGATTAGGGCGCAAATTTGGGGGACGAGGAAGGCGTTGGACATGATGGGAAGATTTCGAGTGTCGTATATTTAGCCCGGTTGTATTACTATCTTGGATGATCTCCAGGTTAATGATTATGAGGATTTACGTACCCTATTGTCATGGACGGACGACGAAGATCTCTCAACTTACCTAGGTAGGTGGGCGCCCCTAGAGTGATACTCAATTTCCGTTGTCGAGATGAAGAGAAGATTGTTGAACGCGAAAAATGGTGACAACGAAAAAGGCTTGATTCTGGTATTGTCTTCTGGGAGAAACGGAAATCAGGGCGACCTAAATACTAAATAGGACGGAAGTGCCAGTGATTGGAAGCACAGTCGGGCACCAAGGCACGATTGAACCGGCCAACGAAAGCGGAAGCTGGGGGGGGGGGGGGGGGGGTGGCCAGTGAGGTGATTGGGTTTTATGGATGAACTGCGAGCCGCTTCGATTGGGCCATCTCCTTCCGAGATCAGGCAGAACCTGTAAGTGACCAAGGAATGCTTTGGATTTTTGGGACATGGAGATTGAAAAGTAGAAACAAAAGGTGAGCTGAAATCAAGGACGAAAGACCTGACCCCTAGCATATGGGATACTCTCAGGCACTCAGCCTCTTAAGCAGACACTGGCCCGTTGTGGTTGAACAACTATGGTCATTATCGAGGGGGTGTCAGTTATATGTAAACTGGTTTCTTCCGTCGAGCTACACGATCTCCTGAGTTCCGATCCCCGTCATATGAGAACTATACCTATGCTACATATCCCCCACATCTACGTGATATGACTTGCGCACCGGGTTGCCACCATTTCTAGGCATTGTTCTTCACAAGTTCCTCCTCGTTGACGAACTGGACATTGTGTCCCATCTCAGCAAGCAGCTTCACGCAGAGATCTCCCGAACCCCGTGTAACATATTCCTTGACGGCTTCCGCTGCCTGTTTCATGAGGTCCATGGTCCTCAGATGGCCGGGGCACTCGCCGCACGTAGTCATGAAGATGTATCCAATCACAAATGGCATTTGACTCTTGTCATTGAGGTAGCCGCTGCCAAAGATCTGCGACAAACGCTGATGGTTTTTCTCTTTGACCAGCTTCATCATCTCCCAGCATGACTTATGAAGCGTCAACCAAGGGAACGCCATCTCCGCGACTTCCGCGTTGAGAGCCAAACTTGCCGCCTGAATGAGTTCATCCGGTCGCAAGTACTTCTCGCGCTTTTTTGCCTTTAACCTCCAACGCGCGTTTCTTCTCAATGTCCTTCTGGTCCTTCTCGTCGATCTGCCACAGCAGCAAGTTTCCTTTGCCCAGCTCGCCCTTCGTCTCGAACCCGCTACGGGAAACAATGTCGTGGATATTCTTTGGCGTCCACGGGACTTCGGTGCGCTTCAAATACTTCTCCACGAAGATGGATGAAACTGGCAGGCCCTTCTTGATGCCGCGCGGGACACCAGCAGCCCCCATTTGGAGAACGAAGGTGTCAAGGTACTTCTTGGGAGTCTTCGGGGCATTTCCTCCAGGAAAGAAGCTGGAATCAGGGAGAAGGGCTTGAGCCATCTCCAAGTCGGCCCAAAACTGACGATCCACCAGCTTCTCATTCTGGAGGGCAGAGTAGAGATGGATTGCATACTGGATGGATCCCCAAGCGTTTGCAGCGTCGATGCCAATGGAGTTCACATCCCCTCGGAAACTGAGCAGGTTGAGGCCAGCAAGGACCGGAGAATAGTCCAGGATTCGGTTGGGTCTCATGGATGACGCGATCGGCATTTTGTTTCGCCGATAGTAGCTAATTTTGCACTGGTAGACGGGGTCCGCCAACATCTCTTGCCCTTGCTTGATCACCAAGCGCACCATGTCATCCATGCGTTCAGGCCAGTTCTTGATCCGCAACTTGCTCTTCTTGTGGTAATCAAGGTGATCCTTGAGGGTTTGGGTGAGATGCTTGATCTCATTCTGCAAGGACTGGGATCCTCGCGAAACATCGGCTCTCAGCAGGTGATGAATGTCAAGGAAGGTCTGGGCGGCGAAGACGAGTGAGAATGGGACCTTGTTGGTCTTGTCCATCTCTCTAACTCCACGCATGAACTCGTCCTCAACAGGATAGCTGGGAATGACACGGGTAACAACCGTGAGCTCACTTAGAAACTCCATGAGCAGGATCTGATCTTCTTTGAACTTCGCGTGTCCAGGAAGCTTATCCCGGTTTGTGGTGGGATCATAGTGACCCATGAATCCTTCCTTGATGATGGGCAAATGGTCTGGCGAGAGGATGGCGAGGAAGGAAAGCAGACAGCGGTGAGTGTTCATGAAGCATTCATCCGCAAGATCATACATCTCGTAGTTGAAATTATCAGACGCATCATCAGAGACGACGCTGTCGATGTTGTGGCCCTTTCGACGACAGCAAATGAAGAAGAATTTGTGTTGCACACCCCAGGTACCCTTTTCGAAGTTCTTGAAGTTGGGTTCGGCCTCGTCAATGATGCCGCGGCCCAAAGCGAGGGCTGTGTCGGTAGCCACAGCCGCCGCTGCGATATCGAAGAGGCCCTTCTGGTAGTTCTCCCAAATCCAGCGGATGACATCCCGGATGCGAGCAAGGTCGTTCATCATGGTGAAGAAAGTGAACAGAACATCCTCGAGCTCAGCGAGTGTCTCAGCTTCGTAGGTGGTCTTGTCTTCTGTTGGCTGGGTCGGTCTCTCGATATCAGAAGCATTCAGGAAGGCTTGTGAGGGCTCTTCGACGCCCAGGCCAGCGAATCTGTTGCTGATTTCATCTGACGTAGCAGCCTTGGACAATGCCGAGCTGGAAGCCTTGCTAGACATGCGAGGCAGGAGGGCTTCTCGGACCTTCTTCAGGACCTCAACAAAGTGGCGGTGCTTCAGATCGGCTTCGGTGTCCGGCCCAACACCATGCTCGGCCAAACGCTCACCGAAGCTGGAGCGAATGGAGATGACACGGTCGATGGTAGCCACAAACTCATCGGGAACAGTAATGGTAGGGTCCGCAGTGTCGGCAATGTGCTTTGCCAACTTGTGGTAGTCCGCTATGGCAACAATGTACCTAGAAACGCCTTGAATGGCGCTTTTCGTGGCTTGGACGGCCGCGCTGGCTGCTTTGCGGGCCTTGCCCTTCTTCCGGCCGCTGCTGGAGGGCTTGCTGGAGGGCTTGCTGGAGACAGATGAGGCGTCCGAAGTGTCCCAGGAGCCCGACTTGAGCTGGTCGGCAGGGAAGCCGCATTTCTTTGCTGTCGAAGCAAGCCATGATGCGACTGCATCCGTGTCCTTCTTGTACTCGAGGTACGCGCTTTTCAGCGGAAGGGGTAGCATCTTGCCCGTCTAGTCGTGGCGTTGGCCGTTGACGATCAGAAAAAAGATGGAAGAGAAGATGGATGTGAGATAACGGGGAACAGAATGGGGAGAAGATGGAAGGACGGTTGAGACAAGACACTGCAGCTCTTGGCTCTCTGCCAGGTGAAGTGTCCTATGGGCTGTCTCCAGTTGTCGGTCTGTTTGCCGGGCTGTTGCAGTCTAGTAATGAGAAGAACTTTGAAGGCAATTTTTTGTTGTTGTTATTTTTAACTAACGCTACTTCCGCCTCCCGTAGGCATGAGACGTACTTTGAAGGCATTTGAAGGCATTTTGGAAAGAGGAAGAAGTGTCCGATGCAGCATCATAACCCACAGATGCAAGAAGGCCATCAAGGATGACCCCGCACAACCTAAAGCTGCATGTTAGTCACCGTTTGAGGAATACCTCAACATTGCATAGGAAGTTAGCGTTCACCAGCGACGTCGCGTACCTGTCATTAACAACGCTTAATGTGCATATCCGTCTTCTAGACCGTCACGGCCCATCTGGCCTTCTTCATTCGGGCATCAAGTTCTCATTTACAATGTGTGCCTTCCAAATTTTACCATCTTGTGCTTCATTTGCCAAGAATGGAGCTGATTGTATGTACAGCCTAAAGTGAATACTAAAGACACGCAATGGATGATTAGCCCGAAAGTCGAGGTCAGCAGACCTCAATCTCGCCCGAGTGCAGTAAAACCTTGGAAAAGCTGAAGATACCTGAAGATTTAGGGTGGCAATTCGCTCTGTTTGTGTTATGGCGTTACAGGTATGCTCAGGGTTTGGAGGCTCTCATCGTCTTCCTGATAGGAGATCCTCTCGGAGAACCAAACTAACAAACCCACCAGTAGTATGTTGTGTTCCTGGGAGGCGTGATGACTGGGCGGTCGAAGACTAAGTCTTCCTCTGGATATAAAGCCCGGTCAAGCTGCGGCTGCACCTCGACGATCCCACTCGTTGGGACACGGCTCAAATACCACCTTCAATTGTGCCGTTACTACATCAACTCGGTGCCATTGGCGCCTGGGCTGGTACTCTAATGCTGTACAGTGACTCTTCGACAGCTGTTCTGGTGCAGGGAATCCAACTTGGAGATCGGCCGGAGAATATTTCAAGATGAGAGCCTTCAGCTCATGACACTATGCCACTGATCGGTTGATTGTACCATTGTGAAACCTGCTCGGGTGTGGCTGGCAACGGGAAGCCATAAAACATGGAAAAAAGAAGTAGGAGGAGGAAACTTACCTTTTGGAATCGAACAAGACGTTGAGCACACGATATGTCATCAGTCCCATCCCTTCTCCTTAAACCTTCAACCAACCACAAAACACCGCGGGAAGAACGGGTTTCCAAAAAAACCAAACAAGAAATATTCATTGTCCATCATGCCATCCTCTCGGGTATCATCTAACCATTGCCACATGACTTTTGTGTCTCTTTCAAAAAAGCATCATCACCACCTCTTACTTTCTTCCCTTGTCTGCTTTCTCTTCTCTTTCTCCTCCTTTTTTCCACGTATTTATTTCTTACTCATCATCAACCTCAAAAACTCGTCCTCATCCACGCCTCCCTTTCCACTCGCATCAAACTCCTCAATCATGGCCGTGATATCCGCATCCGGTATGTTGTTGCCCACCTGCTTGCTGACCCTCCTCAGGTCGTCCTGCGTGATCATGCCCTTGCCGTCGATATCGAACAGCCTGAACGCGCGACGGAGCTCCTCCTTGGGGTCGCGCTGGCGGATCAGCGTCCCCGCGATCGCCTGCGCCGTGGGGAGGTTGAAGAGCCGGTAGACGGGCGGACACTCCTGGTCGAGCGGCCAGTTGGCGGGCTTCTGGCCGTGGCGGATCAGCAGGTCGTAGGTCTGCGGCTTGGGCAGCTCGAAGCCGAGGGCGCGGAGGACGAAGCGGAATTCTTCGTACGAGAGGAGGCCGTCTTTGTTGGAGTCGAAGAGGTCGAACTGTATTTGGGGGTGGCGGTGGTTGTGTGTTAGCTACTGACTGACTGACTGACTGACTGACTGACTGGAATTGGTGGTGATGGTGGTGGTGTGGGTTGGGAAGTGATGGTGGTTGCGCAGCAACATGATATGTGTGAATTCGCAAAAATTGCAGGGGTGAAAGTAAACAAAGGAATTTGGGGGATAGAAACAGGACGTACAGCTTCGCCAACCCGTGTTTTCTGCTCGTCGGAAAGTTTGTTAAAGTCTTCCCTCCCGGGGATTGTGTACTGTATCGTGCGCTGCGAGGATGCCATGGCGAGTATGTGTTATGTTGTTGTGAGCTTTGGTATTGGTCTCGATGGTTGCGGATGACGGTTATCGATTCCCGGTCAAAACAGCGACGGACAGTTCGTCGAAGCGCAAGACAGAAGCCGAGGCGCGCGCGTAATGAGGAATTGGATTATGCGACTGGAAACCGACAAAATGCGGTCGCGAGGTTTCGGTGACTATTGGCGACAGAAAGCGCAATGGATTGGAGACGTGAAACTAGGAGAAAGACCTTGTCGTCGTCGATGCATGGTGATGTTGTTTCTGGCTTGGGGTCGTCGGTGTGGATGGACGGCCCCCGGTCAGTGGATGGGTGGGCTGTCCAGGCGCTGTCACGGTGGGTGAGTTTGGGGAACGCGTTCCATCCGCTCCTCCACCTTTTAATTGATTTCACGCGTCCGGCTCGCCAGGTGGTCCATGCTCCTTCCATGGTGGGTCTGAGCTGCTCCCGGCTGGCATCGAGATCAACAAACGGCCCCACTGAAAAGTGCAACAACTGATGGCTGCACTCTGCACTCTGAAGGCGCAAAGCTTCGCTTCCCCAAATCACAATTGACTTTTTGACTTGTCAACGAACCGAACTCGATTTTGCGACGGGACCTTCCGAACCTCAACACCGAACCGTCTTATCAACCGCAAACATGCAGTCCCTCGGCAAGAGAAAGAGAACCGAGGAGGAAGATGTCGAAAAGGTCTTTCAGAAATACTGGGGCGAGCTACACCATGCTCTCAAGACGGCCAAAGGATTCGAGAGACAGCGCCAGTCCAAGCGACTCCGCGACCGAAGCACACCACAAGACAAGAAGGCCAGGATAGAAAACGAAATCGTTGTCCTCAAGTCCCTCGACCTTTACCAAGCCGCCCATGCCCACCTCTGCTTCTCCCTCCTCCGCATCAAGCGCATTGCCGACAGCCCCAACCTACCCGAGGCCGTAAAGCGCGGCGTCTCCAAGCCAGTGCTCACCGAAGAAGAACAATCCGCTCTACACAACGTCACCAGCTCGCTCTGCGCCCGCCAAGAGGTCCGCACCGTCACAGACAAGGCAATTGTGGGGATATGCAAGGCCATGGGCATCGAGCCTCCTGAGAAGAAGGGCAAGAAGGGCAAGAACCAGCCCAAGGAGAAGGACGAGTCAAAGACCGTGGAGGCCAAGGAAATTGAGGACAACAAGTCGACCAAGGATAAGAAGGAGGTGGAGAAGAAGGACAGCAGAGTAGACAAGAAGGTCAAGGAAACGGAGAAGAAGGACGACAAGGCAAAGGAGAAGACAAAGACCAAGGAGAAGCCAGCAAAGAAGGAGGCTGTGGCAGCACAAGACTCAGACTCAGACGACGAAGAGCCGGTGAACGAGGAGGAGGAAGAGAAGGTTCTCTCCAAATACTTGGATTTGCTCGGCGGCTCGTCCGACGAGTCGGAGGCAGACGATGAGGAGGAGAGGTTTGCTTCCAAGGCCGCGGTCAAGAAGCGTCCCATGGCAAAGGAGCTTGATCCCATGGAAATCACAGACGATGAAGAGGGAGGATACGGCGAAGACGGCGACCTAGACCCGATGGAAATCACCGAAGACGACGAAGCTGAAGACGGCGACTCCGAACAAAACGGCGACGGTTCCGATGACGAATTCGAAGGGTTCAGTGACTCGGAAGAAGAAGACGAAGGATCAAACACCAAACTCCAAGAAGAACAGTCGGAAGACGGTCAAGAAGAAGAAGAAGAGGAAGAAGACGAAGACTCTGACAACAGCGGCATCGACGCCGCCCCCTCAAAGAAAAAGTCCAAATCATCATCAACCGCCAACACCCAAAAACTCCAAAACTTCACCATGGACTCGACCTTCCTCCCCACCCTCATGGGCGGCTACATCTCGGGCTCCGAGTCAGCCTCTGATGTCGACATCGCGCCCTCCCGCAAGAACCGCCGCGGCCAGCGCGCCCGCCAGGCCATCTGGGAGAAGAAGTTCAAGGAGGAGGCCAAGCATCTGAAGAAGCAGCAGGCTGCCAGAGACGCCGGGTGGGATATGAAGAGGGGTGCCGTTGAATCAGACGGCAAGCCCTGGAAGAAGGGCAGTCTTCTCGATAGGAAGAGCAACAAAAAAGAGGGTGGTGAAGAGGGTGGTGAGGCTGCCCAGACTGAAGGTGCTGGTGCTGCTGAGAGAGGCGGTGATAGGGGAGGCAGAGGTGGTAGGGGCGGCCATGGTGGCCGTGGTGGTGGCAGCTTTGGATCAGGAAGAGGAGACGCTGCTCCTGCTGCTCCGGCTAGGGCGCCCAAGAAGCGTGATGATAGCGGGCCGCTGCATCCTTCGTGGGAGGCGAAGAAGAAGGCGAAGGAGAAGGAGATGCTGTCGGCGCCGTTCCAGGGCAAGAAGATCACCTTCGATTAAGTTTTAAGGGGCTGGTCTGCCTTGGAAGAACTTGTTATATCATTGATACAGTTAACACGATATACCCAGAGGAAAGTTGTTGTCGGATGTCACCAAAGCATCACTATCTTGACCTACATATTATCGTCAACCACAACAGGATCGCATGCCAATAAATGTGAAGACGTCAGTGCCGTACCTCAATGGCCCGAAACTCTGGCACTAAAGTCTTTATCGTACTCAAAATGAAACATACTCTTCCGAGGGATATGGTTGCACTCCCCGCCTGATCTCTCACTATTATGTCTCCCCAAGGTTTTATGTGGTCAGCGGGAGTCTTCGTGATGTACGTAGTTGTTTTGCAGGGCAGAAGCGACACATGTACTTACGGATGTGTTAGTCAATGTTAGTGGTATGCACGTTCAAAGCGGCCTCTACTAACGTCTTGGCATCAAATATCCGGCCGCCGCGGGGTCCACCATTACGGCCGGGCACACCACTGCCTACCCTGTCGACCTCACCCGGCATCCAAGCAGCTTGCCGCTAGCACAGGTCGGTCACTGTGTGAAGCTCCTGGACTTGTGGTGGCTCAGTTCCACTTACAGACATCCAATCCATCGGCTTGACTTGACAACGGCATCGACAACTTGATGTTGCCGACCACCGACCTCACTTTGTTCTTCATTGCTTGAGAATTGCTCTAACCTCTTTCTTACTTTTTTTTTACTTCTACCTAATAATTGAACCTTGCTCTCGGTCCCGAACCCAACTCCGATTGACGCGCCAGGCCGGAGAGCAATTCCCGGTTCACGATAGAAACAGGCAACTGCTACCACACTACCAAGTACTGTTCCCCTAAAAGATGCGGATGTCACGACGCCTCCGACTTTGCGATACGTAGCGCCATTCCCGACCCCGACCGACCGAGTCCGATACTTTTTTTGCAACCCACGCTCCTCCCCGACGACATAACCAGTTATTACCTACACAATGAGCGGCCAAATGAGCAGGGCCGAGCGATTCGAGGACGAGAAGCGGAGGATCATCGAGAGTTGCTTCAACAAGAGAGATGACGACGGCTCCAGTAGGCACGCCACAAGACAACGAAGCAGTAATAATGACAAAACGACAACAGACATTGACAATGATGAACTAGCTATCGAAACATACATCACCCACATCCGCATCACCGAGTTCTCAACACACCCGACCTCGCCCCCGCCGCCCCAGGCCCGAACCCCTAATACCGAAAAGCCTCGCGTCATCATCGTCGCCGTGCGCAAGTCCGGCCGCGTGCGCCTGCACAAGTCCAAGGAGAACCCCAATGGCACCTTCTCCATCGGCAAGACCTGGTTCCTCGACGACCTGACCGACATCGAATCCTTCACCAGCCCAACCGCCAGCCCCAACTTCCGCGAGTGGGCCGGCGATGTGGGCTTCATCGTCACCCTGGGGAAGCCCTACTACTGGCAGGCCCAGACCGACAAGGAGAAGAAGTTCTTCATTGCCAGTATGATTAAGATCTATGGCAAGTATACCGGCGGCCGCGTGCCGAGACTGATAGGCTTCGACCAGCGTGAACTCGATCAAGTGTTGGGTGGTGCCCAGGCCCCGAGGCGACCGGCAGATAGGGGCCCGCCTTCGAGATCCGGCACTCAGATCGACCAGCATGGGGCGGCTGTTCCTCCTCCTTCGAGATCGGCTACATTCGATAACCCGCCATCGCGATCTGGGCCCTTGGACCACCCTCCCTCGAGATCCAACACCATTGACCATCCTCCTTCGCGTTCCGGGACCCTGGACACTGCTCCTAGTAGCGGCAATGTCTCCATGACATCTGGATACGGCTCATTTCCAGCTCAACCACCTCCGCCCTCCGGACCACCACCCTCTGCGCCTCCCCCTGGACCTCCTCCTAGTCGCCCGGTTCCCGGAAGAATGCCTTCAAGCACCAACTTGGCTCCCAACAGTAGAGATAGGGGGCCGTCGCCATCCAGGAGCATGCAGTCAAACAATGTGAGGTCGCAAGAGGAACTACCGCTGAGGAGGATGAACTCCAACCAGAGCCAGGATTCAAGGGCACCTTCGTTGGCGGCAAGGACCGAGGATAGTTCTAGTTTGCGTCCGGGGTCTAGAGCTGGTACGGGGGACTCCAAGTTTACCACCCCTGAACCCGCCAGGGCTCCGACACCTTCTGCGCCAGCTGAGGCCCCGGAAAGGAAACGACCGCCCATGGATCCTTTACGCCCGTTGCAGCCTGATAACGGGTTAGTCCCAGCGCCGCTAATGAGCCCTAGCCTGCGAGGACGGGGAGACCCAGTTCTGCCTCCTCCGCGAAGCGTGGAACGTATGATTCCTCGCAAAAATTCCATCATCACACAAAACAACCCACAGAGGGCATCATCCCCAGCCCCGCCTGTGGCTGACCAGGTGGTCACACCCATCGAACCCAGAAAGATTGAGCTCCCCGTGAGCGTGGCTCCTAGTCCGACCGCGAGCACGCCTGCTTCAGTCAAGTCGCCCATCACCGAGGGCGCCGAATCCCCACGAACCGACGAGGAAAGCCGACCAGGACTCGGACCCATGATCAAAAACAAAAAGTCCAGGGTACAGATTGCAGGCGCTATCTGGAAGGCGGCAACGGCAGCGTCTGCCTTTAAGCCGAGGCCAGGCGGTGCCGCTGATCGTCTACGGAACCTGACCAAGAATCCCGATGGGCCAGACGGCATCACCAGTGTCGTCCCGGCACCTCCTAGGCCAACATCCTCACAGAAGCAGGATCATCCGGCTCCTGATGGCTCAGCCAAGCCCGCTGACGGTAAGGCTGGAGTTCCAGAGGTCAAGGTGACGGATCCCAAGGGGAAGGCAGAGGATGTGGCCAAGGACAACAAGAAAAAGGACGAGCCGCTGGAGGCCGAGGAACCACAGCGGGCGGTTGTTGCCGGCAACGACATCAAGTATCTTACCACACTGGGCATCGATCCCTCGATCCTCGATACCAAGACAACCGAGTTTGCCAAGTGGCTGGACTACTTTGGTTGGGTGCCCGGTAAGCAGATGAGGTCGCGCAACTTTGACGAGATGAGGATCGATGTCGACCGTGAGCTTAGCAAGGCGCAGGCGGGTGGCTGGTTGGCTCGCTTCCAGGAGGAGGATGAAAGGGTGGATGCTATCAAGAAGGGCATCGATGTGGCGATTGCGGAATGTGATGAGCTTGATAACTTGCTTACTTTGTACAGCGTTGAGTTATCTGTAAGTTGCTGCGCTCGTGTCCCTGTGTTTTGGTTGCTAACGCATGGCAGACGCTCTCGGATGATATTGCTTATATCGAGGCTCAAGGCCAAGGTCTCCAGGTCCAGGCTGCGAACCAGAAGCTGCTCAAGAAGGAATTGGAATCGTTGTTGACTACCTGCGCCATCAGCGAGTCGGATCTCGCCGCTCTCAAGGTTGCGCCACTTGAGACTGCGGCTGGCGTCGAGGAGATTGAGACTGCTCTTGTTACCCTGTTCAAGGCCATGATGAAGATCGATCCCGCAATGGGTGCTGTCGAAGGACGCAGGAGTGAGGATGGAAGCGGTGGGCAAGCCATCGGCCTCAACAGCGACTACGGAAACATGCGCATCGTCCAAGAGAAGCGAGAGATGTACATGTCAGAGAGCACCCTGTTCACGCGGAGGCTAATGGAATTCATGGCACGACGATTTGAGGATGCCTTCCGGGCTACCAAGATGGCTTTGGATAACGCGCTCTCGAAGAAGGTCGACCCTCGCAACCATGAAGCCGGCAGAGATATTCTCTGGATGTACAGCCCGCTTATCCTCTACGCCAAGGAGGTTGATGCCGAGAACTGGGACCGTATCATGCAGATATACCAGGATATCAGCCACCCGATTTACAAGGCCGAGTTCAAGGAGGCGATGGAATCGTGGAAGAGGAACGCGAGGAAGATGACTGGCGAGGAAACGGCCGAATTACTGTTCTCTTCGCAGCAAGAGAAGAAGGAAGAAGGCCTTGCTACTACAGCGAGGAAGCTCACTGTCAAGCGAAGCCAGACTTTGGCGAGGACCCTCCGATCGCAGGTCGGCGAAGGAAGGGGCGGCGTTGCGGCAGAGAAGACACCAGATAGCAGAGCTCTCCCTTACGAAGTGTTTGCTGGCGTTCTGGACGATCTTCTTCCGCTGGTCGAGATGGAGCAGAACTTCGTGGTCGACTTCTTCCATGCCTCGACTCTGGAACAGGTCGATTTCCCGGATCTTGTTGTTGCGTCCAGGCCCCAGGATCGTCGCGGAAACGACCTCAAGCGCCATCGCATGATGGAACCGGATCGTGATCTGGCACGCAGGATTACTCGTGCAATGGAGGTCATCTTTATGTTCTTTGACAAGAACTTGCAGAACCTAATGGATTGGGTGTTAATGATGGATCCTTTGTGAGTCTACCTATGAGCTGATGGTTGAAATATCTTACTAACTGTTTCGCAGACAAGGTGTTGGTGTCCTAGCTACGCTGGAGCGCAAGATGGCAGACATCAGCCAAACCAACCAAGACTATCTCAATAACGTTCTACAGAAGCTTCATGCTACCCTCGAGACCAAGTTCAAGAAATTTGTCGACGAGCAGGTGCGCGCCATCGAGGATACCAAGGTCAAGATCAAGAAGCGCAAGGGTGTCATCCATTTTATGCGCATCTTCCCTCAATTCGCTGCGGCCGTCGAGAACATGCTCTCCTCCATCGCTGCTGCAGGCGGCAACTCCATGGACTCGCCCGTCTCCGTCAACAACCTTACCGTCCGCCGCATGATCGACCGCGAGTACGACCGCATCATCAAGACCATGTTCGACTCGCTCAAGGTTATTGCGCGCGAGAACCCAGCCGTGTCTACACTCCCTGCCACTCACGGCGGCGGCTCCTCTGGCTTGTCCTTCCCCGGCAGCGGCGCGGCCTCCATGATCAGCAGCGTCAACATCAACCTCGGCAGCAGCTTACGTGGCTCCTCGGGCGCCGACACGGAAGAGGACAAGGAGGCGCTCAACTTCCACATCCTGCTCATCGAGAACATGAACCACTTCATCGAGGAGGTCGACAACCCCAAGGGCCTCGAGGTGCTCGACGACTGGCGCGAGGCCGCCCATCAGGAACTCGCAGAGCATCTGAACCTCTACCTCAACACCGTCATGCGCAGACCGCTCGGCAAACTGCTCGAGTACCTCGAGAACATCGAGGCCCAGCTCGCCGCCGGCAAGAACCCCGGCGCCGTGGCCGCGCAGCCTAGCAACGCCAAGTCCACCTTCAATAAGGTGTTGAGCGGGTATGATGGGAAGGAAGTCCGCAAGGGCATTGAGACGCTCAGGAAGAGAGTGGAGAAACACTTTGGCGGTGATGATGATGCGCCCGGTGGGGATGGCGCGAGCGTGATTACCACAGGTAGCACTGGTTCCAGGGTGGTTGGCGGCGGTAACAGGAGTCTGGTGATGAGGGTGTTGAAGGAGTGCGAGAGGTTCTATGGCGAGGTGGAGATGAGGGTGGGCAAGATCACGACGGAGGTGTATGGGGGTGAGGTCTTGTGGGAGTGGCCGAGGGCGGAGGTCAAGAGTGCTTTTGGGCATGTGGGGAGGTGAGAGAAGAAGGAAGTAAAGGAAGTAGGAGAGAATGTTGTCGTAGTTAACCCGACAGCTTCGGGGTTTTGGAGTGCATAGTATATATCATTATTATTATCATTATTTGGCAGGTTGCCCGTTTTTACATTTCTAGAAGGCAATGGGAGGTAAGATATGGAGACAATTAGGTGGCTTCACGTTCCAACATGGCTCTGTAATCCAGAGTCTCCAAAAGTCGAACAGGGAGTAATGTAGCTAAAATATTCGCGGTTGGAGAAGACATGATTTGGTCGCATAGGTATGTCCATCCCGATACTCATACTCCGTCGCTGCTATGCACCGGTCTTCACATCATCCAGATATGAACGGTTTACGCAAACCTCCAAATTCGCGTCGGCCCCCACAACTTCTTCTATGGAGACCATAATTCAACTTGGGCTACCATTCTCTGGATCTACTTACGCAAGAATGTGAAGGGCTCAATTTTTCTTTCTCTTGCCCTCGGCAGTTTCATTTCAATTCTTCCCCTGCAGTGTCACCTGCTTTGTTGGCCGTGCGAATTTATTGCAACGAAAGAAACGATGATAGGGTACTGCCCAACATGCTTCTGTTGGACAGAGACCCGTCACAGGTACCGGTATCTAAACAAGGTACAACAAGATGGATGTTTGAGGGATGCTCTTTCGTGCATGTGTCACTGGTCAGAAATGTTAGAAAAGGGCGCCAGTTCAGTTGTCCACCTTGCCCAACGACGTCGACAGCAACACAAGCAGAACAGCGAGGGGCTCTTGTCACCCTATCAAATATCTCACTTCGCTCACAATCTCCATTGTTCGATTCGTTGGTTGCGTTACATACACTGACGCCAAGCCTTTGGGGTCCTACAGTTTAGTAAAGTACAACTCAGCCCTTTCAGTGATCTATTCCCAAATAGGTAGCTGTGAGGCGGCGCCCGGCAAGGTATCTTCGGCCGTCGCAGGGGCTGAGATCCTTCTGTTAATTGGGGACAGGTCCCGGAAGGGTGGATATGGGTGATTGTACATATATATTTAGATATCTTCAAGATCACTCCTCAATAACTTCTCTTTCGTGTGTCTCCTCTCGTCGTCGTCTTGAATATTTTACACCGCACCTCCGAAAACCGGAGTCAGTCCGTCCCGGTCAACTTAAGAAACACGAAAGCTTCCGTCACCAACCCTTGCATTGCAAAAGCGCACTGCACTACCTACCTACCTACACTTTAACGTCTTACTTACCACCTCAACGTTTCCTTCTTCTTCTTGGGCAACCAAGCAAGTAGAATAGAAACCAAAAACCACAACATCTTACATCTTTACCTCCATCACAAAAGCCTCATTCATCAAACCACGGCCAACAAAACAATCACAATGCACCCTCACCTCCTCCTCCCAGCCCTCCTGGCAATGACATCCACAACCCTCGCCTCCAACCCTCACAACCTGCGCAACATCCACAACAACAATCGTCGCCAAGCAGTAACAATCCAAACCGACACCACCGCCAACAACGGCTTCATAACCACCGCCACCACCACCGATTCGAACGGCGACCCAAAAACAATGACTTGGTTCACGGTGCCTAGTGATGGTGGGCCTGGTGCTACTACCGGTACTGCTACTGTGACCGCAACCGTGACGAATAGCGGGTCGTTGTCGACGATTACTTCTGGGTCGGGAGCTGGACAGGCGCCGAGTACGAGTGGTTCGACTGCGGGTGCCGCGAGAGTTACGGGCGTGGTTGGGATGGGAGCGGTGGGAATGGGGGTTTTGGTTGTGGGTGGGTTTGCGGCTGGTTTGTAATTGAATGGGTGAGTGGAGGGAGGGGAGTTATGAAGATGGAAAGAAAGATGGCCGCGGAAGGAAAGGTGTTTGATGGTTAAAGTATGCTTTGGTGGAAGGAGGTTTCTTTTGCTATTGGGCGTTAGGGATTGGGAATCGGGCGGGATGGTTCTGGGGCTTTGTTTGTTACCTGCACTTTCACACAAATTAATACGTTTGATAGATCGATCGATACTTTATAGTCTTTAAACAGTACGAAAGGTACATAGCTCGTATACAATCTGGAGACATTCCCCTCCTTGAACTTGATATCAACAATACTTCAGTGCCTATATACCCTGGTACTCTAGTACCTACAGGTAGGCAATGCTCAGTCCCAGACGCGGCCATCATATACAGGTTCTCAAACCAGAGACCGAAGGAAGAGCAAAAGACAATGATGACCCTTTGAGAACCCTTTGCCAACCCTTTGCGAACTCTGCAAACGCTTTGCCAACCCTTTCCCAACCTTACCCTATTTCCAACATATACAATATCCCAAACATAACCCGTTTCTAACGAGCCTATAACCAGTTCGTAACCAGTTCATCACATGCATGCATAAACTGCCTACTCCCACACAACCCAGCCCAGGCCAGCACCATAGCTCACACCCCTTACAAGCTCCTAGACTTATGCCTTAAGTCTAGAAAAAGTTCAGTTCAGTTCAAATCCCCATCATCCTCACTAGCCGTCTCATCATCATCCCTCTCCCTCCCCCGATCCTCATCCTCATCCTCACGACCCTCATCCTCACTATCCCAAACAACCAACTCCGGCGGGGCCCTCACCCCCTCAACATCCACCAATAAACTATCCGGTGCCAGTGACGCGATAGCTTGGGAACTACTCAACGGTAGTCGTCCCAAACCTCTGCTTCTTCCACTACCGGGAGTTTGAGTTTGACTTCTTCCTGCACGATTCGTAGCTGCTGTGGGCGTGAAACTACCCTCCTCCGGTACATCAATCGACGAACTCGACAACAACAAAATATACGAATCATCACCGTCATCGGGCACCGTCGGTCTGATGACTGAGGACTCGGATGCGGATGCGGATGCTGTCAGTGACTCAGAGTGGTGCAACTGCAACTGCGACTGCGGTCTACGACCCCTACCCCTACCCCTACCCCTACCCGTGCCCGTGCCCGTGCCTACGCCTCTACCTTGACCTTGACCTGTATGTGACAGCTGCGGGAGAGATGCCTCTTGCACCTCCTCCTCGTCTGGTCGGGTCGGAATGATTGGACTCGAAGGTCCGCTGGCTGTTGTCGCTTGCGATGGGCGGGCGGTGTTGTAATTGGGGTTGTTGTGGCCGCCGACACTGAAAGCTGTACCGAAGAGGGAGGTTGAGGCGCGGGTGGTTGAAGTGGTGGTTGCTTTGTTGAATTTTGCAAGAGCGCTGGTGGTGATTTTGCTGCTACTGCCGCCACGGGGTTTAGCAGGCGAAGGGGGTGGTGGCATTGATGCCTTTTCTTGTAGAGCTTTTGCTGTCGTTGTCTTGTTGACTTGCGGTTGGCTTTGGGTTTCGTGCTGATGCTGACTACCCGTGAGCCGCTGGCTTTGGCGACGGGTTTGTCGTGTTTCGGTCTGACTTTGGGTTTGGGTTTGGGTCGTTTGGCTACTGGCACTGCGGCTACCGCTGGCTTTGCGTGCGGTGTTGGGCTTTGATGTCGAAGCTGAAACTGAAGTCGAAGTCGAAGCCGAAGTAGCTGCCGGTCGTGAGCGAGGAGGCAAGGCAGCAGGAGGGGTTTTCATCCCTCCCCTGTCCACATCCAAATCCTCATCTTCATCATCCTCCATCTCCAGTTCCGCAAACTGAAACTTCTTCGTTGTGACCAGCACTTGTTTTTTCTTCGTGACCTTGGTCACCGTCATTCTCGGAGGTTGACTATCTCTAGACTTCTTTTTCTTACTCCCACTCGAAGTCACCCGTTCCCGTGTAGGTTTAGGAGGTCTTTGCGGGCTGGAAGCTATGGTCGACTCGTGCCGCAAGAGTGCTTCTCCTGCTTCGCCGGGCAGTCTCGCATCATCAGACTCAGAGAGCATCATCTGCGTCGAGCGAATGATGTCGCTTCGCAACTGCTGCTCCAGCTCTTGGGAGATAGTTACTCCTTGGTCGGGTTGACTCTCTGCTGTCTTGCCCATCACCTCATCCTCATCCTCCTCTTCGTCTCCTTCCTCGATAGCCTCAAGCTTGCCTTCCTCCTCATCCTCCTCTCCATTCTCCTCATCACCCTCCTCATCAAAAAGCGCACACCTCAAATTCGCCAGCAAATCCCCTACCGCGGCAGGCGGCAAAAGCCTGTACTTCGTCGGCAGACCCTTCCCAAACCCATGCTCCTCCAACTCCTCCTTCTTGACCGGGTTATTCAGTTGATACACCTGCACCAACTTGTGCGCAAACTTATTCCGCTCGCCAGCACTGTTGTTAGTGCTTCTCATTGTACTTCCACTGCTAGTACTCCCACCAAAGCTAGCTCCGCTGCTGCTAACAACAGGCATGACATAGTAACTCTCCCCGCGATTGAACTCCTCATTCCCCATCCCGCTCCCGCCCTCAATCTCTCCCGGCTTTTGGGGTGCTCCAAGCGTAGCCATGTACCTGACCTCGTTCACGGGTTCCGTAGCATAGAACCACACCCTGACGGCCGGTAACACATGTGGGCGGAACTCGTGGTCTCTGAATCCGGTAATGATCTCCTCGAGGTGGGTGGCGGGAATAGTGATGAAAACGTCCGAGGTGTCGGTGGGCGGACCCATTGCTTTTAAAATTTCCAGGGGCACGCGTTGCGATTCGAGGCCTTGGCTGTAGAGCTGGGAGCGTTGTTGAGTCTGGCGTTGAGTGTGCTGTCGTTGGGAACGTTGGGATCGCTGCTGGAGGATGGGCCTGGGTGGTGAGGACTTTTGTTGGACTTGGCGAGGGGAGATTTTTGCAAAGCGTGTGGTCTTGCGTGGGGAGTTTCTTTGAGGATCTCTTCGTCTTCGTCTTCTTCTTCAGCTTGTTGCTCTTGCTCCTTCTCCGCAGCTGCTGCCTTTGCGGTGCTTGGGGGTGGTAGCTGAATATGTACAACCTTACGCCGACCGGCGGCAGCGGCGGAGGACAAGGATGGCTTTTTGGTGTTAATGGCGGGTTTGCGATGGGGTGTCTCTTTAAGCACCTCGACGTCGTCGTCGTCGGCGACGGCGGAAGCATTGTCTTGGTCACTCCTGGAAGGCAGCTCGGTCTGCACCCTCCGTTTCGTAGTTGGTGTGCGAGTGATGTGAGACGTGTCACCGCGAGATTTTGTATTCACAGTGGACTCATCGACAGCACCGCGCTGACTAGAATTCCCCAACTCGCGGCTTGATTGCCGTAAACTACTTCGCACCGGCGAAAGCTGAAATTCATCGCTCTCATAATCCATATCTTCAGCGCTGGATGACGGAACCTCTCGGGACCGCAGCTCATTGCGCCTAGCAGTGGGTGTCGGTGTACCCGGTTCCTCCATCTCCATCTCCTCATCTGCATTCACCTCTGCTTCATCTTCCCCTGCATGTGACTTCTCTTTAGGAGTCCGGTTTTCCTTCGCCGAGTCCGGCGGCGGCGGGGGCGCAGTAACTCTCTGGTGCGTGGGTGTCTTCATCATGATCCTGCTCATAACAGGTGACGACGACCCAAAACTCTCAAGGTCATCATCTGAATCCGGGATCTCTACAAAGGCACGTTTCTTCCCGCCGCTGCTGCTTGCCTTCACTGCCGACGATCCACCAGCTCTGGGTTTTGTTGGAGTAGCTTGCTCCTCACCTTCCGACATGCCCGATTCGTCCTCTTCAGGAACAGGTAGCTCGGCTAGTGGCTGACGCTTGGGTTTACTCCTGATCGACATGGGAGTCTTCTTGAGCGGCGAAGGCCCAGGCGATTGATGGATGGAAAAGGGACTGCTTCCGCCTCCTATACTATAGGAGTCCTGGATTACCATATTCCTGGGCAGTTTGGAGATGGAGATGGTTTCGGTGTCGGTACCGGTATTGGTAGACTTGTTCTTCAGAGGTGACCTGTATTCTTCGATAGGACTGTATCTCACATCCAAATCCAGCATGGGTGTAAACGGTGTGGGTTGCGAAGAAGGGACCTCGTCTATGTTGACCTTGGTCATCCTCTTGGTACTCGGTGTCTGTGGTACTGCTGATGCGGCACTGTTGGGCGGTGCTTCTTCCTTAGCTTTCGCTTTCCCCCCTTTGGCCTTGGCCTTGGCCTTCACCTTCCCCTTGACACTCCTTGTTGGTTTGTTTACCATGATCGCTGGCTTCTTTTCCGATGTAAGCTCCGGTGATTCGTCCTTTGGTAAATCGTAAATGTCGTCCAGATTGACTTGTTTGTTGTTGTTGTTGTTGTTGTTGTTGTTGTTGTTGTTGTTGTTGTTGTTGTTGTTGTCGTCGTCATCATAATCATCCTCGTCATGGGAATCCTTAATCAACAAGTCATCCTTATCGTCCTCATCCTCGTCCTCCTCCTTACCAACAGACAGAAACTGCGTAAGCGTCTGTGTGTGGAAAGATGAACTCGGGTTGGGAGTGTCGCCCATTGTCTTCCTTCGCTTGGGATCTCGACCATTCTTCTTCTTGTTCATAGTCGGAACAGGTGTTTCGGTTTCGAGCGTATCCTCCAGCAGTTCGGACCCATCGGTTTCTGGTTGCATGCTCAAGGGGAAGCCGATCTGTGTCAAGGTTTGCTGTCGCAAAGCGGTTCGTGAAGGGTTTTTTTTGCCATATGTCTTGACGACTCTACTTCGGGCTGGAAAGTGGACTTGTTGCGGAATAGGTGACGAGTGGTATTCGCGTGATGTTGTCGTTGCTGTCTGGCGGAGACGATCTCGAGCTCTCGTTTGGGGCGCCATGGCGGTTGGTCACCTCCTTGTCCGGAGGGACCTTTCGATGTCGGTTGAACAATCAGTATGTGTCGTGAGGCCAGGTTCTTTGACTCGTCGGGGTGGTTTGGGGTGAAGTAGCCTTTCTGGCGACAATGGAAGTTGTCCGTGGCCGGTGTACCGTAGGTGGTTACTGGTTATAGTGGTGTGCCAGCCAAAGGTATACGGAAAACCCGACGGTAAGGTATTCACGGTCAGTTTCTGTTGCCAAGCAAGATTCAAGACATTGGGGCTTTGAAAGGGATTTCGGATCCTTCTCAGCCTAGAATACGAAAGGTGGTAGTCTGGATGCAGAGGTACAGTAGGTACACAACGCGGCATGGTGGTAGTAATCAGGCGCGGCAAGGCGCGCGTACAGCACGCGTTCGCACATGTTAAAAAGTGGGGCTACACTCCTAATGCAGCCCATTTAACCTCGTGTTAGTACACCAACACCCTTGCAGCTGACATCATCACCTTTTGAGATTCCTCTCTAACATACCGTACTGTACTCTTACACAATCTTCATTGCCAGTCGACTACCAATCTTTTTTAAACAGCACAATAACCGTGACCTTCATACTGCTTCTTTAATTGTCCTATCAGTCTATAATTTCGAGCGACAAGCCAGCAATGCTAATAACCATTTCCATGTGCCACGTCCATCCGGCTCGAGTACCTTGATGGCCTAAGCCTCAGTAGGTTCTCTGCCCAAGTCTTGTCCTCCTCTCTCTCCCTAATCAACACCATCATCACCATTCTTTTTTATATTGTCCCTATTGCCAGCCACGCTCATCCTTGTCATATTTCCTCCATCTCATTCTTTTTTTTCTTTTTTTTTTGGTTTGTTTGTTTATTGCTGCGCTCCTCTTTGATTGCCCATAACTACTTTGGCCACTTTGCTGTTCACCACCTGTTCTAAAAGAAAAGAAGGCACTTGCATCAGCCCACCTGGAAAACAAAAACCAAGACGAATACCGTTTATCTGGGACATGATGAAAAAGGGGGCCAAAACAAAAATCCATCCGCTGATCAGCATCTTTCCGTTTCCTTCACACCGTCCAAATGCAAAAGAACAAGAATGAACTGACAGGACAAAAACACTAAGCGTTCAGCTATAAAACCTCCGACATGTTCACCAACAATCCGCACACCGTCCATGCTATTCTTTACATTACCCGTGTTGACATGAATGAAAAAGACGCCGGTACGACCGAGGGGGGTGGTAGGAGAGTGGAACAATTCCTCAAACCGTACATCTTTAAAAGTACACTACATGTTCGATGAAACTAGCAGCGGACTGGATACCTACTGCTTATCCACGTTTTGGGTCAATACTAAACCACCTGCTCTCAGCATTCCTGTCCTTACGACAGATGGAACGCTCCTTGTCCTTCTTTCATGGCAGTGAAGAGCTGCTTCTTCAGGACGTGGATGTCCGAGTAGTTGGGAAGCTTCAGATAGTTGACGCACGTCATCACGCTTGGCAGGTAGTCGTCCGAGGTATAGGGTGCCTCGCTAGGCTTGCACACAACCGTGAACATGGGATTCAAGCTCTTGAAGCCTGTTGTGTCCGAGTTAGCCATCGCTCCGTTCAAAACATTTCAAGATAGGTGTGCTGCTTACCTCCAATAGGAAGCTTCGGGCTTCCCGTTGTGAACTGGAGGAAATCACGGCGCTCTGCCAGCGTGAGCTCACTCATGATCTGCAAGAGATTCCTAACGCTCTTGCTATCCATATTGTATCCGTGATCCGCCTTGATCGAGTCGTTGAGCGCTAAAACAACCGTTAGCATGACTACAATATGTTTTTTTGCATGTCCAGTTGACTTACTCTCCAATGACCAGTCTTCATCCACCCGTCCGAAAAGACTGCACAGTTCATCTGGCGTGAAAGAGCTCAAGGCCGAGTAGGGGAACACCTGGGAAAATCCAGCGCGGAAAGCCTCGATCTGGCGACGGACGCCACTACCCAACGTCATATCGATCACCTTCTCCAAGTAAATATCCACATTCTCGATAGTTAACCGCGTCTGGGATCCGTTAGGGATGAGTTCAACTTCAGGGTAGCCGGGAAGTGTGAAGTCGAGGTAAAGATCGTCGATCTTGAAGTTATCAATCATGATGTTTTCTGTGTCCGTCACCTTCTGGACGGCACTCCGGTTTGGATCTTCGTCGATCTCCTTCTTGGCCAGGGAAAACTTCTTGATCGTCATCAACGACCTAGCTATGACCGGGTCCACCGATTTAATAGTAGCAAGCGTAGGTCGTGTGGCGGTCGCGTCACCCACGCGGAAGAACAAGGCGTTGAAATTGATATCAATGATGCGAGAATCAATCATTGATCGGGCGACAAACTTGCCCAACACCTTGAAGAGCTGCATAATCTTCTCTCCCTCTTCCGAGGTGGCGAATTCATCGCTCAACGGCCGGGGGAACAGTCCGGTAGGTCCAGAGACAAACTCATCATCCCCATTGAGCTCGTTATCTCGCCAAAGCTTGAGCTTCCTCTTGGAGAATTCCTTGGAAACGGTCGAGTAGAACTCGAGCGTGGGACCCAGTCCGGTTCCCACTTCTTCAAAGTATTCGACTTCCAGGATGCTCTGAGAAGCGCCATACAGCTCCATGACCTTGACTGCCGATTCAAGGATTTTAGAACGAGAAATTCGGACCTTCTGGCGCTGCAGTCGTCCCAAGTAAGGCCGATCATCTCGCCCGTTTCGGCGCTCCTCTTGAGACTGCGCGTTCCAGCGTGCCATTGATCGGGCGTAACCAAATGAGGTAGATTGCAAGAAGAGGTGGCGAGTCTCGAAGGGGAACAGGAATGGATAGAGCCTTGCTAGATCCTCGCTCCAGCTGGGCAGGCAGTTGCTCGCAACAATCAGAGGCTCCTCCAGCTGGCGGTTCAGCTTTGCGGTCAGCTTGGTGTTGACGAATTGAGACAATGGCTCAACGTTCAGCTTCAGGGTCTCCTTGTTCTCGACAAGAACCTCGTCGATGTTCGCGTTCAGGTCATGGAGACGCTTTAGCAAACGAAGAATAGACAAGGTGATGGGATGCTTTGCCAAGGACCCGGGAGTGCCGTTCTCATCCGCCTCGACTCCGACGTCAGAGGATGGGCTAAAGCCAACGGGTTCAGGGGGAGGAGGGCCAGGTACACGTCTGAACTTGATTGAGTGGACCGCGGACCAAATACTTCTGGTTACGTGCTCGTCGGCGGCAAGGCTGGAGCTATGCACGGCCCGGTAGATGGTGGTCTCGTTGGGGATGACCTTACCGTCAACACTGAACTCGATGTGCCAGTCTTGAGGGACAGCCTGAAGAGCTCCAGAGTATGAAATGGGTTTTGACGAGGGCTGAGGAGTAGGAGTGTTTTGCAATGCCGCCGTCAAGGCGCTTGTTCGGTTCTGTGTGGGTGGCGCAGCAGGCTTGCCTTGGCCCGGAGTGGGCACTCTGGTCCCGTCCTCCTTGCGCGCAGTAATCCTACCACCAGCAGCCACTTCCATGTTAACAGCCGTCGGGTCGGGGGTGGGAGCATCATCCATCCCTTCATCCAAGTCACGCAAAACGTTGAGATCGCTACTATCGGCTGCCTCGTCTTCATCTGACAACTGTCGTTCGTCGGCACATTCGAGCGCATTCTCGAGGTCGTCCTCCTCCGGAGGTTGACGTGGAAGAGAGCTATCAGATGCAGCTTGCTTACGAGCAGAGCGGCGCAAGCCACCCTTTTCCTTGGACGTAGAGGGATCTGGCGTCGCCGGAGTCTCGGTGGTGGGTTGGGATTTGGATTTGTGCTTGCGTGAGGGGCGCGAACTGGACGCTTGAGCAGGAGCAGCCGCCGACGGGTGTGCGGGGGTCGATCGGCTGGATGGCGGCAGTCCTCTTTCCGCAAGACGAGCTGCCGCTGCCGCGGCTCCCATGAATCCCGAGGCGCCCATGGCAGCCAAAGCTCTGGTCACAGCATCGCGCCTAGAGGCTCCGTGAGGACGATCCGACAAGCTGATCCTGGGCCGCAGGTAATCATCCAGTGACTTGAATGTCGTGATAGCGTGAATCGACACCATGATGTTGCGGTAGGACCGGGGGATATCCGATTCTTCATCAGCGACAAGCTTGAGACGTATCTGCTTAGCTAACATGGACGCTGCCGTGCTACGGCTACCGTCGAACGAGTTGTAGTGAGCTGTGATAACCTCAAAATGTTCAGACCTGCTTAGCAAATCCTGCAACTTGTGGATCAGAACACTGAAAGGTGTCGCGGGAGAGTCTGCGGTGGCTGTCTTGGGCTTCGACTTGACACTATATCCCATAAACACCTGCAAGAATGCATTTTGTGCTGTAGCGGCCAACTCCTCGTCGGGGTTGCTGAAAACGTGTTCCAAAACACGAACAACTCCAGATCCAAGGAGTTCTGCGCTGGTGACGCTCTCCAGAACGTCCGCATCAAAGTAGGAGACCAACTTTTGAAAGAGAACTGTCCCATCCTCCATGGCTGGGCCTCCTGGTTTACGGCAGAGGTAGAACTCTTCGATCTCGGTTGCCAGGTTCGATAGACTGGCCAGAATCTTACTGGCCTTCTTTTTCATGGCTTTGCCCTGCTTCTCGGTCTCGTACATCTCCAAGAACTTCTTCGCAACCTGCCTAATGCTCGACTTGTAGGTGTTCGTGGGAAAATCCGTAAGGTATCGTGGGGGCCCGTCAAGTGACATGGTCTCTCCTTCGGAGCTAACAGGTGATTGATCGTCGTCCTGGATCTCATTCTCATTGCCATCGTCGTTCTCGTCGTTCTCGTCGTCTTCATCGTTCTCATCGTCCTCTGTGTCTTCTGGTTCATCTTTATCGAGACCCTCCCCGCCTTCATCATCCCCAATCATGTTGGGGATGTTCAGTGTCGTCACCTTCTGCTTCTTCATCCTCTTCCGAGGGTTTCGGGTGTTCGTTGTTGGCGACGCCTTGGTCAAGTGCGGAGGATCGACCAGGAACACCGGCCAGGAATTCCCCAAGGTTGACTTGATCCGGCTCCTCCTTGACCTCTTGCTTGGTAAGAGAAGGCTTTCTCTTTGGCTCAGGTGCATCAGCCGCCAACTTTGTGATTTCGGCGATCACACCTTCACGGTAAAGCTGATAGCGATAGACCGTGTCTAAGCGACTCATGAGCAACTCTGTGGCCTGCAGTGCCAGCCCAACCAGCAGAGGATGGTCTTGCTGGGATAAGATGGAGGCCAGAAAAGAAGCATAAGGGACTGATCTGAGAGCCTCGGACAGAATGTCCTGGTCCAAGTTGGAAAGCATTTTGAGCTGGGCGGCCAAGACCTTCTGACGGACTGTCAGATTGACGGTACTGGAAAAGGCATCCGTGAGGGTCGGGAATAGAATCAAGGCGAATCTCCGAACCTCCTCCTTGCAGCCCTCCATGTATTCGATGCGTTTCTCGTTTGCAGTCCTTCTCCTGGTGCTCTCGGCGGATCCACCCACAGGACCTGCAAATGTGCCCAACTCCATGGTGTAACTGATCGACGAGGGGTCGCGCAAAGGCACACTAGGCAGCAGTTCGCAAATGACGTTGAGTGTCTCGATGATCTGGTCCCTGGGTCTATGAATCAAAGCCTGCATTATGAGCACACTATCGAGCTTGGAAGCAAGGTCGTCGTTCCCACTCGGCGGGGACACGCCCGTAAGAATCTGATACAGCGTCTCGACTACATTGAGCTTGAAGAGTTCGGCCGACAGACGGGGGCTCGCCATTGCCGTGAGCGCAAGAACGCGTAGGAACTGAGTATGAATATGCGGGCTGATCAGGTTGGTGGAGCCGGGGAGCAAAAGACGGAGAATGGCCTTGAGCAAATCCACACTCATAAGCTCTTCCAACTTTGCCGGGTGGTACTTGAAACTCTCGGCAATGCGCGAGACACATAACGAGGCCTGTTCAACGATGCGCTGATCGCTACTACCGAGCACGTTCAACAGAATGGGCATGACACCTAAAATCTCGGGAAAGGAATCTTCGGGGATGTTGCGGCAGCAGTTCGCAGCCGTGGTAACAGCGGAGCGTTGGGTGCTGGTTGCGAAGAAATCTAAATAGGTCAGACAGGCAGTCAAGCCGCCTTCGCGCATGACACTTGTGGGATATTCCACCGAGATTTTTCCAACGTGCTAAGTGCTTGCTCCGCTAGGTCGATGAAGGAGATCTGTAGCAGTTTTTCGCAGAGAATATGGACGGCGCCCCCATAGACCAAGGCCGATGTGCTTCCCGGCAGGGCCTCCATCAGATTTGCGAGGCAACGGCAGGCGACAAGTTGGATTTCAGGGTTCTCCTCTCCAGTGATTTCGTTGGGCCCCATAAGCAGCACCAGGTCGGGCACAATCAGGTCGGGTGAGAGATGTCCGCTGAGTTGGTCTTCGTTTGTCATGAGGAGAAGGGTGGATAGTTCATGCAGGGCCATAAGTTGCACCGACGGGTCGTCCTTCCGCTTCAGATCTGCCATGATTTTCCGCACCTGAGCCGAGACCCCAGACATGATTCCAGTAAGATGTCTCAGCGTATCCTGAAGGCTGTGGGGATGACGCCCGTGACCACCAAAACCAGTAAAGGGATCGTCATCTTCGTCGTCATCCTCGTCGTCGTACCGATGATCGTCATCGTCGTCATCGTCATCCTCGTCGTGCTCGTCACTATCGCTAGGAGGACTCTCCTTCGGAGGGGGAGGTGGTGGAGGAGGTGGCGTGGGATCCTTCTCGTGCTCGTCGGTCCCGGTCATGACCACATCCTGGTCTGCAGATGATGGTTTGGCATTTCGTTTTGACTTTCGATTCGAGGTTGATGCTGATGCTGGGACGGCTAAGTGAGTGTGCATAACACTGGACATGTCAGACACAGCTTGCTTACCTTGCGCATCCTTTTTGTGACGACTCGACCTCCGGCTTGTTGATGCCGAAGAAGGGTTCGTCGGGGGGTTAGGAGGAACGGCCGGGTCACTACAGCAGACAGGTTTAGATTAGCTTCATGGTCGTGATAGAGTTTCTTAAGCTGATGATGACATACTCTGGGCTCGACATTATTGTAGAGGTAGCTGGTGCCTTGCCTTTCTTACGGCGTGTAGTGGTTGTCTTCTTGGTGGTTGAGGAAGCGGCGGAACTGGATGCGGCGGCGGCAGGCTGGGCTGGGTGGGTAATGGAAGATGAAGATTGAGAAGCGGGTTGCGTCACTCGCTGTCGCTTGGAGCGTCTGGCCGAGGATGAGAGCTCCGCAGCGGTCTCGGGGATGTTGTTAGCTTCTGCAGCGGCGGCGGTCTTGCGTTTCTTAGCACTTGAGGACCGAGCTAGGGTCTGAGCGGCGGCAGGTGGAGCAGAGGAAGCTTCCGCGGCGAGGGCAGTCGTTGCAACGGTGGTGGGTTGGGCAGCGCCAGGAGCAGCAGCAACAGCAGCAGTCGAAGTCGAATTATTAGCTGCCTGGCTCGCAGCGTGACGGGCGGCGGACCTGGTAAGTCTGGTAGACATGGGTAAATATTGAGCCAAACGGTATCATGGGATGTGATGGGGATGGCTGAAGTTCTGGGGGAAAGAGTTAAGAAATAAGAAGACGGAGGCCTAGTATGATGTATTGGGTACGGGGGACAAGGGGGAAATGGTGATGGAGTGGAAGAAGGTTGAAGCTGAAGGTGAAGGTGCCTGCTGACAACCGAGATATTCAAGGCCAGCCAAATGCATGCTCCGTTGGTCAGTGAGGTCGGAAGGAGTGTATCGCGAAAATGGTGGGGTGACTTGGGATGTATCGACAGTCGGTCGCCCTTTCACGTCTGTGACTTGGTCGTCTCGGGTGCAGGTTCCAGCAAAGAGGAGTCCCCTGGTAAGTGTGGTCCAGTGCCCAGACGTCTTTCCAGTGAGTGGTGCCTGGAGCTAAGGTAAGGTAGGTACCTCTAGAGGTAGCTGACAAGAGGTTTGACAGTCGTACCCAGACCAAGGACCTCGACAAATCGTTAAGGTTGTTCGTGGGATGATTTTGATGTGAGGGAGGAGAACCGATTTAAGTCGCGAGGGCTGGTCTCGTTACTTTTCTTGACAGAAACGAAATCTGCGTCCTGCACTGCAGTTGCTGACTGATGCTTGCGTTTGCGTGCCTCTTTCACCGGGACGCGACCGCAGAACCGAGATACCGAAGTTTGATTGTTTTGATGAAGTCGGGTTGTGGGTTCAGGGTCTCGAAGTGGTTCCGACCAGCTGGACGGGATGTGCAGATATATGCTCACGCACTTGTGGTGAAGGGGCAGGCAGAGGAGGGCCTCAGCACGGCAGGCAAAATAAATGGCAGCCTTGTTGTTCGGGGCCATGCGTCCAGTGACCGACGATAGAGCAGGCTGGCCAAAAGGTTGGAGCATGCACGAGGAGGTTGCGGTTTGTTTGGCGACAACTCGACTCAAGATGGAAGGGTTTGGAGATTGGATACCCACTCCGTCCTCTTCCTTCCGACCGAGTACTCGATGCGGACGGGAGGGTAGGCAATCAGGAAGGCCAGAGGCAGCAGTGAAGGCGAATGGGTGCAGAAGGGACGGATATGTGTGTGGATGAATATGTGTATCTGGATGGGGATTGTTTGTATTGTGGTGTTGTGTTGTGTTGTTTCTGTGCTGTGTAGGTTCTCCTCTCTTCTCTCTTTCTTGACTTACCTTGCAGCAGCTGCAGCAGGAGAGCTCACACTAAAGGCAGCGAGAGCAGATGACGGAGTATGAGGACCGAGGGTTCGAATGCGTTTTGGATTTGGGGAAGGCGTGGACGGGTCGGAGATTGTCGAGTTAGGCGAGCGCGATGGTGCGGGCAATGGCGAAGAAGGCAGGCGCACTGCGTGATCGTGGTCGATAGCCGATCTGGAGCGCGGGTTTGCAAGGCTTCGGTCTGCCATGGATTACGCCATGAGGCAGGCGGGTCGGAGACCGGGATTGGGATAAAAGACGGGTTTGGGGTCGCGTGTAACCGATCGGATGGAGGATAGAGGAAAGATAGCTATCCTCTACAGATAAAGTCGAAACGTTATGGGATGCAACAAGCGGAAATCGTGGTGCTCGGGGCGACGGCGGTCGTGGTGATGGGGTCCTGGGTCGTCAAAGAGTGGTAACAGTAATCGCAATGGTGTAGTACGCCGTAGTAAGACCATTCGCTGCCAAGGGCCGATTGCGGTCTGTAGAGCTATCGCGCTTCGGAAGGGCTGGATGATGTGTTTTGGCCTCTTTGGACGACTCTCGGACGGCAGGTTGGAAGGCGACGGAAAATCCGAGTTGGTAGCTGGGCTTTGGACTTGTTCGAAAAGGCTGACAAGCAAAAGTATATATACCAGGTGTTGTTAGGCCGATACGGTATTGTCGGGCTCAGGCTGTAATATGGATGGTTAGAGAGACTTGGTCGTTGTTGCTTGTTGTTGAATGGTTGAAGTTGTGGGGATGATTCCACTTGAGAGTGAGAACAGCCAGTGACGCCTTCAAAGCGGAACGGGAATATGATGAATGAATGTACTGAACATTATCATGCGCGGTGGTCCACGGGGAGTGATTAAGTAACCAACCTACATGAAGCACGCAATGACGACGTTTGTGTATGGGCAACAACGTTCTCGAGAAGTTGTTCGGCAGGAGAAACGGTCAACAGCTGGACATGTCCGTTGAGTGCGATGAGGTGGGAAATGTTTCCCTTCCGACTCGACTCTCTTGTTGGACCCCCCATAGCCGTTGCCCATGGTGGTACCCTGTATTGTTTGAGCGGCTTGGGCGCTTGTTGGCCGTTCATCGGTGCCGCCCACCACCGGTTCCAGTTGGCGCTTTTCATTTTGGACGACGCGGGCAGCATGACCCCTACCTTGATTGGGGGTTGCTGTGGACATGTCGTTTGGAAGCGGCATGGAGGGTTAGATTCGGCTTCGGTTCCTTGTGAGAGACGTCGGATGAGCCGCTCTCTCCTCACGAATCCAAAAAAAAGAAGAAAAAAGGGCATTTATAACCTCACTTTCATGCAGCCCTCATATGTCTATGTGGGTTTTAAGCAAGGAGAGCGTGTGATCTTTGTCGTTTTGTGCATCTCTTTACTGTATATGCAAGGCGCATGCTCCCGAAGTTTCAAGCGAGAGGTCCACTTACAGGCCTGTCTCCATGTTTTTAAAAGAAGTGCTCATTATGCTAGGGTTAAATACGTCTCTTCACCCCACGTGTTGACTTTCTCCTCAAATCATCAATCCTACCAAAAGGCCAACAACTTTTTCTTTCTTGAAATAAACTTTGTCAACTTTAAGAGATGCCATCGTACCTAGCGCCGGATATCAACCAACTGGTCAGGCCGAGTTTCCTTGTCACAGCGGCATTGATTCCATGTCAGTGTGCAAAGTCGAGAACCTGGACATTCCCAAGGCATAAACTTCTCTTCTGTCTTTAATGGAACGAGAATCGCCAAACGCCAGCTTGCGAATACCCTCTCGTGCACATCACACGAACCAATGGAAAGACACTCGTACTTTACAAGGCCCTCAAGCTACACGATACCTCTGCTACAACCCATCTGACCAGCCACCAAAACAAGGATTCTGATCGCTTCTCTTTCAAAGACTATCCGCCGCATCTACCCTCTTCATCGCAGAGATGAGCAAAAACCGTGGAATCCCCCCATCGTTTGGCCAGTCAGGGTGTTTACGGCTATCATCTTCACTAACACCCCATTCATCCACGACAACAACTTCGAAACCCACAGTACGGAGTGCCTTCAGATAACTTGAGCACGACACTCATGTTAGCATATGTTTAGGCCGTCAACCCAGGTAGGTAGGTAGGCAGGTAGGTAGAGATGCCTTCGCTCAAGACCCGGATCGGACTACTAACCTAGAAATGGTACGATGCTGCTTCCTAACCGGCGCACCCAGCCAATTCACCTCCCGTTCTCCCTCAGCAAAGTAGCTACTCAAAGGCCAGTCCTGCTGGCCCTGGGCAGCTCCAGCTCCCGTCTTCTTGTTGAACCCCGGCCGTTGCGGAGCCGTGAAGATGGGGTGTTCAACAGAAAAGACGAACAAGCCGCCCGGACTCAGAGACCTAAACACCTGGCGGAGAGCCGCCTCCAAGTTGACGAGGTAGTGCAGAGCGAGGCCGCTAAAGGCAACGTCATATGCCGCCTCTTCCTCGGGATCCAGTTTTTCGGATAACACCTCGATGTCCATGTCGACTTGGCGGAAGGTTATGCCCGAGTATTGGTCGGGCGGACTGAGCGCGCGGGCACGGCTGAGCATGTTCTTGGACACGTCCATGGCGCACACAGCTTTGGCGCCTTGGTCGAGAGCCCAGCGGGAGAACCAACCGTCGCCGCAGCCGAGGTCGAGGACGGTCTTGGAGACGAGAGACGGTGGGAGCATGGTCTCGAGGAGCGGCCATTCGGAGGCGCCGGCGAGACCTTTTTCCATACGGGGGTACTTGCTGTAGGACTCAAAGAAGGGGATACTGTCGTAGATGTTTTGGCTCATGGTGGTGGGTTGATTATAGGATCGCGATATAGGTATGGGCAAGAGGAAATCTAGACGTAAAGAATGGGGTCTAGCTGAAAGATGGTAGATTATCTTTGATGAAGAGGGATAACGGTGTTTGGAACCTCGTTTTTTTCTTGGACAACAAGAGAAGGAGACGGATGCTTATTTATCCTCGTTGCTCTCTTTTTTGCTTCTTCGCCCTCTCTTCACCCTCACTTTACCCTGCCTGCACATCCTCCCAGGATCTCGATGTCCTTTTGGACATCGAACCATATTCTACTCTGAAGGCTGCGAGACTCCTTTAAAGGACCACATGGAAAGTAGCAGCGATCTGAACAAGCTATATGTACCCTTGAGAAGCAAACTGGGACGATTCTGATGTCGTTCGTGAGCAGACGGCCTCAATCGGAGACAGGCATTCCCTCATTTAGCCGATCAAAAACATTAACGAAGTGGAAACCTGCCTCTCACAGGACACACCAAGGGACCCGATTCTGTGGTTCGTGGTTCGCAAATCATGCGGATATGACCATGGGTGGAATCTCGCCGGTCTGGCACAATGGGCAGCTATCTGACCATTTTAACCATGTAAACTTGCTGGCGACGGCAGGATGGTTCGAGAAAACCCATCTTTACGCGCAATTGTGTTGCGTTACACGAGTTGGGATACCTTATACGGGTGAGTGAGTGCCCTGTGTCGATCAGGGGCAAGTTGCAACGGACTTTGTTGGACAAAACAGATTTCTGGTTCAGTGTTCACTCACCGATCCTCACCGATCCTCACCGCGGTGAAGGTTTCGTATAAGTCGTCGGCACACTCACAGACAGGATTTGGGGCAAAGACTTTAAACCTTCCTTTCGGTTTTAAAAGGCCGATAGATCTGAAGTGACATCCAAGACTCCAAGACTCCAGGGCGCCGGAGAAAGCAAAGCCAATCCCCAAACAGAAAAGTTGGGTTTGATTTCCCCGCGTTTTTTTTCTCCATTGCATGTCTGAGTAAAGGCCGGTTTCCGTCGGCATAAGTGACGTCGATCCGCGCTACAACTCCTCTGAAAAGTCCAGACCAGGGGGGAAACAACAAACCATCATTTGTTGATGAATGGATCAATGTCCTCCACAATCCCGTTCGCCGGCATAAGGTACCTATCTGCTATTGCCGCCGTCTTTCAAGTCATGCTGTAATTTTTCTTCTCGTTGAATTTGTTTTGTGATTGACTGGTCCACGATCTCTCTTCTCTGTTTCTTCATTCTGTTGTCTTTTCCCGTCTCGGTCACTTCTTGTTTCTTTATCCTCCCGTCACCGACCCAACATTCACACAATGAAGAGGATCGCCCGTTCCACTCAACGGCCGTCGTCGTTGTTGCGGCCACTTACACCGAGTACCCACCAACCCCGGCTTGTGCCAATTGCTATTCAGTCCTCGAAGACGACGACGACAACAACAGCAACAACACAAACAGTCCCCAGCAGTCGTCGCCATGCCAGCTCGCTCTCCCAGAGACCAGACTCTAGCCATGTCATGTTCCCGGGAGCCGTCAAGTCAGCTTTCAGCAACTCCATGACCTTTGAGGAGCCCTCCAAATACGATGCTCTACCGACCTACCGGGCCGTCGACCAGCACGGCCAGGTGGTCGACCCTTCGTTCAAGCCCGACCTGAGCGACGAGGAAGTGATCAAGCTCTACCACGACATGTTGACGGTGTCCATCATGGACCTGATCATGTTCGACGCGCAGCGCCAAGGCCGCCTCAGCTTTTATATGGTATCAGCGGGCGAAGAGGCCGTTTGCGTAGGGAGCGCTTCCGCGTTGTCTTCCGAGGACGTGGTGTTTTGCCAGTACCGCGAGCAGGGCGTGTTCAAGCAACGCGGGTTCACGCTGAGTGACTTTATGAACCAGCTGTTTGCTAATCATAAGGACCCTGGAAAGGGCAGGAACATGCCGGTGCATTATGGTAGCAAGGAGCTGAATATTGTACGTCTTGCCATGATACTCTTCCCGATCCATCGCATTGGCTAACCGTTTTGGTTTACTAGCACACAATCTCCTCACCATTAGCTACCCAGCTCCCCCAGGCTTCCGGAGCTGCGTATGCCCTCAAGATCCAGAGGATGCAAAACCCCACGGTGCCCCCGAGGGTGGTAGCCGCCTACTTCGGCGAAGGCGCCGCCAGCGAGGGTGATTTCCACGCCGCGCTCAACATTGCCGCCACCCGTGGCTGCCCAGCGGTCTTCATCTGCCGCAACAACGGTTACGCCATCTCGACTCCAACCCTGGAGCAATACCGGGGTGACGGCATCGCCAGCCGCGGCCTCGGCTACGGCATCGACACCATCAGGGTAGACGGTAACGACTTCTGGGCGGTGCGGGAGGTGACCAAGCGGGCGCGTGAGCTGGCCCTGCAAGACGGCGGCAAACCCGTCCTGATCGAGGCCATGACTTACCGCGTCAGTCACCATAGCACGTCGGACGACTCGTTTGCGTACCGTGCCAAGGTCGAGGTGGAGGACTGGAAGCGGAGGGACAACCCGATCGGAAGGCTGCGCAAGTGGATGGAAGCCAAGGGCATCTGGGACGAGAACAAGGAGAGGGAGGCGCGCGATAGCATCAGGAGGGAGATCCTCAAGGCCTTCTCCCAGGCGGAGAAGGAGAAGAAGCCTGCAATCAGGACCATGTTCGAGGATGTGTATGAGGAGCTGACGCCGGAAATCAAGGCGCAGATGAAGGAGTTGAAGGAACATTTGGATCAGTTCCCGGAGGAGTATGACCTTGGGGACTTTGATGGCGGGAAGGACAGTCTGGCTAAGTAGGTAGACGTTGGGATAAAGCGATTTGTGTCTTTTTTCATCCGATGATTTTCATCCAACCTGGGCCTCGTACTCTGCTGCCGGGACAACGGGAGTCCCATAACTTCAGTTTCCAATTCACTGTTCAAGTGATGCGTGCGCTGAACAGTTCACCTTCATCAACTGTCCCGTCCCTGAGCGCACATACCACAACGGCAAACTGGGACTGTATTTAAGCCAATTCTCGCATCGTAGTCATAGCTTCGAATTTCGTGGAGTAGCAACACCCACCATTCCTCAATTTGTCCTCACCTCAAAGCCCCGCGATATCGCATCACAAGCAAGACCAACGGAGACCAACAACATCAACAAGCCATCCCCAAACGAACCATCAACCATGTCCGGCAGAGACGCCATCGTGGCCATCATCATCTGTCTTCTCGCAGTCATTACCGCCGTCGTCGTCTTCCACAAGAAGATTATCAAGTTCCTCGCGCTGTGGATGGCCGACGCGAAGAACGCCGCAGCTGCCGTCAAGGAATCCAAATCTTCGTCCTCTGACATCGACCTCGAGGCCGCGAAGTCTGAACCATCTGCCAGATCCGAGGCCAGATCGGGATCGAACAAGTCTGACGATAGATGCGACACTGCTTCATCGGCGTCTTCAGGACCGGACCTTCACGTCCGGACCATCCTCTAATCCAAGTGAGTACCTCTGAATGCCCTCACCTTCAATATTCCATCACTGCCCTGCAGGGGTCAATGTTCGAGAATCCAAAGACGCAACCAATTCGCGAATTCGACCCTGCGCTAGCGCCTGCGAACATCTGGAGAAAAAAATGGAGATCAACCAAGGAACCCCCGCACCACTCCGCGCCGAGGCCCCCGCAGTCTCCATTCAGAAGCTACCCCGCAAACAAGGCTGGCATTGCTGGACAGCAAGTTGCACACGCACAAGCCACAGAACTCGGAGCACCAGCCACCCGAGCTGAGCTGAGCTGCGCTGTGTGTTTATGACCCCTGCCCGGCATTGCGGCACATGCAGATTTCGCAGCCTTCCCGATTGGGGAATTTCCATTGGATCCATCGCTGCGGGAGCTTTCATCGATCGAATTGCGGATTGCGACGCTGGGGCCGAATCTGAATCTGAACTGCGACAACTTTCTTTCTTTCTTGAACATTTCTCAATTTCCGTTGGGGGCCCGTTTTTTAACCCTCTTCCGTTCTTCTCCAGATCCCTCTCTATCTCTCTTCCCCGGACTCCTCTCCGCAGCCTCCTTACCATCCAAAAAAATGGTTGCCCGTCCGGCCCTCCGAAGGGTCGCGATCCCTTCGTCGCTCAGAACCTCCACCACACACCTCGAATCCCGGATATCACGGTCCCCCTTCTCGACAACCCTCCAGTCGCGCAACAACCAGAAGCCAAACAACAACAACTCAGTACCCGAATATGCCATTCCCGATCCTGCGCGCCCTACCCACTTCGGTTTCGAGACCGTCACCGAGGCCGAGAAGAGAGAGCGTGTTGCCGGCGTCTTTACCAGTGTCGCTGAGTCGTATGATCGCATGAACGATCTCATGTCTTTTGGATGGCATCGCGTATGGAAGTACGTCCTCTCCCGTTGTACCCACACCCTACCCTGTGTCGCATCCCCTTCCTCCCTCCCCGAAACTCCCAGAACCAGAGCCAGAAACCGTAGACTAACTAACCCTCTTCTCTTGTTCCACAGGGACCACTTCGTCTCCTCCCTCAACCCAGGCTTCACCCCCCTCACCGCCCCCGGCTCCTCCCCGCTCGCCCCCCAACACATCCTCGACATCGCCGGCGGCACCGGCGATATCGCCTTCCGCATGCTTCACAACGCGCACGTCATCAACGGCAACCAGGACGTGCGCGTCACCATTTCCGACATCAACCCCGCCATGTTGACCGTCGGCAAACAGCGCAGCTCCGCCCTCCCAGCCTCGCAACAAGCAGTCCTGTCCTTCCTCGAAGCCAACGCCGAGGACCTCACCCAGACCAAGCCGCTGGGCGCCAACCAAGTCGGCTACTCCCCCACGAACGGAATCCCCGACGAGTCCGTCGACCTGTACACCGTCGCCTTCGGCATCCGCAACTTTTCCAACATCCCCGCCGCTTTGCGGGAGGCGTACCGCGTGCTCAAGCCCGGCGGCGTGTTTGCTTGCTTGGAGTTCAGCAAGGCCGATAAGCACCCTCTTTTCAACACTATTTACAAGCAGTGGAGCTTTTCGGCGATCCCGCTGATCGGACAGCTGGTCGCGGGCGATCGCGATAGTTACCAGTATCTTGTCGAGAGTATCGAAAAGTTCCCTAGCCAGGAGGATTTTAGGGATATGATTGTCGATGCGGGCTTCGTGGTGGGCGGAAAGGGGTATGAGGACTTGACGGGCGGCGTGGCTGCTATTCATAAGGGGATGAAGCCTAGGAGGAAGTAAGAGAAAAAAAAGTAAGAAGGATGAGCGATTGTGCTGAGGGAGTTTGAATCCCTGAGGGAAGGACGGGAGAGACGGGGAAAATGATGGGGAGGTGTCCCGGGGTTTGAAGCCCGGGGCAAAAACCATGAGTGAGTGGTATGTGGATACCTCACCAAGCTCACCAAGCGCAAAGGGAGAAAGGAGAAGAAAAAAAAGCTGCGACCCTTATAAAAACGGGAGACAGCATGTACTTTTATCTTTGTACATATTAGAGGGATTCGTTCGGTCATCAACCACTCAACCCATACTTGTACTAAAACAACGGCCGCTGGAGGATGGTTAGGAAACACAAAAAAGGGTACAGTAGACGGAGTTGGCCTGACCTAAAAGGTATCTAGACCTGGACAGAACGAATAACGGAGAGGGAAAATAAAAAGGAGGTAATGAGATGAAAGCCTTAATCTTTGGTAGTCTTTGAGTTGATCTTCGTTAAAGGAGTTGATGTGCAACGAAGCATTCTGGGAGATAGATGGATGTTCAGGTTGATCGATTGATTGATTGATTGATTGATTGATGGGCCGTGACTAGTACAATAACCGCTAGAGTCTATTCTAGATGGACTGGATGCAATGACTTCCCGGGAGACGGGGATGGGAAAACGGACCGAGTTGAGTTGACTGTAAAAATGGTACGAACGAGGTTGTTCCAGATTTGAATTGTTAGTATCTTGCCTACAAGTACTTACGTTTATAGTTTCTATCGATATAAGAGTGGAAACAGGCCACCAGGTTTACTTTACATCCCTTTTCTTTTCTTTCTTCCTTTTCTTTCTTTCTTTTCTTTCTTTCTTTCTTTTCTTTCTTTCTTTCTTTTCTTTCTTTTCCTTTCTTCTAAACATCTCGCGCTCTTTTTTTGACACGCTACCGTAGACTAACATACAATACATTACAAACACAAAACAGACCCAATATGCCATGCCCATCCATTCATCCTCTATGTTAGCAACATCTTCTTCTTGTTCTTGTTCCCTTTGTATAACCGATACTTGCTTGCAAATCGCAGCCTGAGGTCCCAGTGAGGAAAAGAAAAAAAAGATGAACAGAAAATAACATGACCTACGACGCAAAAAGCAAAGCAAGCAAATCCGCCGAAGTCTACTGCGTACATGGGAAGAAGACCTCAACCACAAACACCATCCACCTCGAGACCTATGGTATCTACCCTTCTTACAGTAATCTTTCAACGAACGCGATCAAAGACCACTCTGAAATGAACAAATCTGAGCAATATTTTGCTTTGTTGAAATTGTAGTAGTTAGACTGTAAAATGTTTTCATCCTCTGCTCTGCTGTTCTTTCCCCGAATCGCTCAAATCTCATCCGTTCAGTAAGCCCGGTCTGGTTCGACTCGACTTGGCTTACCTAGCCTAGCCTGTCTTGAACCTGACTTGACAAAAACCCATACCCTCATCCTACCCATAAGTCGATTCACCACTTCTTTCTAAACCTGGCTATCGTACTCGTGATTGTCCTATGATTTCCTCCAAGGTTTTGATGTTGTGAACTAAACGTTGGTCGACTCCGTCTTTGAATCTGTCTTCGAGTCTTTCATCGAGTCTTTCATCGAATCGTTCTTCAAATCCTTTGAATCTTTCTTCTTCAAGTCGTCGATCTTCGACTCCGCAGCTTTCTTGTCCTAAGAGTCAGCCGGGGTAGCAGAAGTCGTAGCCGGGCTTCCGTCGCCCTTCAAACCACCACGGCGCGAGCCACGTCCACCGCGCTCACCACCGCGGCCACCTCTGGAACCTCCGCGTCCTCCACGACGACCGGCACCTTCACTGTCGCTAGCAGTTCCACCGCCAGCGCTGCGGTATCCGCTCTGGGTACCTTCCCTGCCACCCCTGCTGCTGGCCCAAGTACCGGCGCCACCGCGGTTGTTGAACGGTCTCGACGCGGGAGGGTTGAAGACCTTGATGAGCGGCTTGTTGCGGTCGTCCGAGCCGGAGCCACGAGTCTTAAACTCTTGAGGCAAGCGGTCCAGGGCACCGTCACGATCCTCGACCGTCTTGAAAATGACTACTCTGTTAGTCTGACCCCACTTATCGACCTTGACGATCTTGGCCTTGTCCTCCGCCGCGAACAAATCAGGGATGGCGTCATCGCTCGGTGGTTGCATGACAAAGAGGCCAATCATGTTCTCAACAGCGCTCTTGGGCGCCGGGGAAGGCGTGGGCTCCGGGTTATTGGAAGCTCCGTTCGAAGGAGCGGATGCCGGCTTCTCAGACTCTCTCGAGGCAGGCGAAGCGGCCGGAGCCGGTTGTGGCGTGGCCGCCTTGGGTTGTGTCGGAGCGGGAGACGGGGCGACGGGCTTGGCGGTTTGCGCGGGGGCCTGCTTGGGGACCACGGGGACCGCAGGTACAGCAGGGGCGGGCTGCGCAGCGGACTGGATGGGTGTGGAAGCAGCGGGGCCGGTAGGAACGGGGTTAGCTCCTCCAGCAGAGGCAGGGACGGCACCCTGAGCCGCATTCACGGGCTGCTTAGCCCCGCGATGGGAGAAGTTGAACCCCTGAGCTCTCATCTCTGTTCCAATCCTTCCATCGTGGATCTCCAGTACTAGCCAGCCAAAGGCGGCATCAGCAAGGTTGAAGTTCCACATGTTCTTGAAAGCGCTCTCGTCGACCTGCCCAAGCGCAGCGACCGACTGGCCTGCAGCTGCGCCACCGAAGGGGTTCCCGCCAGCAGCAGTCGTAGGCATCTTCTCAACAACACTAAGGGCGTTCTTAAGCAAAGTCTGCTGGACATCGTTCTGCTGAATCGCAGGCTCGACCTCGCTACGGACAGTTTCCCACACATCGTTGAAAGACGCTTTGGAAGCGGCCAGCTTGCCGCGGTAATGATCCAAAGTTGGGTTGACGCTGAACTCGTTGTACGAGCTTCCGTAACGGAAATGGAGACCAGCCGAAATCGAGAAATCCGCCTTGAGAGTTACCGAAAGCTGGTTGAGGATGCCCTCGCGAGCGGGGGAAGCGTGGGTGATGAAGATACGGGTCTCGGTAGGGTCGTAGACGCGGTTGGCAGTGTCGACAAGCTCGCCCATCTGGAGGAGTGTAGTCCACATGGTACCTTGTCCACCAGCGATCGTAGTCCGTCCTTCTCCATTGTCGAAAAGCTTGTGCATAACAACAGCACCACCCAAACCGAGAAGACGGAGCTTGACACCGCCGATTTCGAGGAGCTTCGACCGAGACTCGTCGATCACGAACAGGTTGGGCACCTTGTACTCTCCTGATCTGAACTTCTCAAGCACCCGCACATCTTCGCAAGCACCCCAGACTGTGTAGACAGGAACATCCAGCTTGAGCTCACCCGAAATGAGGAGGGGCAGCTCGGAAAGAGGAAGCTCGCTAGCGGGGAAGCGGCTCTTGACGGGGCCAGCAGCGGCTTGCGCGATAGCCTTCTTGGTAGACTCGGAAATCAGGGGCGAATATTGGGCAACATGCTTCAAGGTCCTGTTCAAACGTTGGTCAGCGAACGAAGACCAAGTTGGGCCGGGTATTATCGTACTTCTCCGCAATACGCTCGAGAGATGTCTCGTCGTAGAAGCCAAAATCACCAGTGTGGATGATGTAGTCGGCGCGGGCGGACTTGGCGAGATCGTTCAAAGACCGAAGGTTACCTGCAGGAAGGAAGGGGCAAGTCAGTAAGCTAGGCGCAAACGGCCAGGGTTGTCTATCACCGGGGAAGAAGCTTACCGCGAACATCTGCAATGCAGAGAACTCTGATGGGACCAGTTTGCAAAACGCGGCCTTGGTTCGGGAGGAGAGGTGTAGCGCCGGGTACTGGGCCCTGGTGAGGAGCGGCACCGTTGGGCAGGAACCCGGGGGCGTTGTATGTATTACGGGGTTGCTATCGAGGAAACGGGCAAGTTAGCATACACGCGTCAAGGTAGTAGCGAGAGCCCAAGATGGAGCGTGTCAGCTCGAGCTTTGTAGACAGCCGGGCGGTCAAGAGCGACCTGGCCAGCAGCCAGACATGCTCGGGGAGACGTGACGGTGATCTGAGAGCATGGTGGGGAAGAGGTGGGATGGGAGTTGGGGAACTTTGTTGAAGCTGGGCAGCAAGGAGAAGAAGCAGAAAAGAAGGAAGGAGGAGCTCACAGATGCCATCCCGGTAGAGGTGCTTCACTAGAGAAGACTGGAGATGTGCGTTGGGGGAGATTGGGTATTTGCTGGCTTCGGGCGACCAGATGGAGAGGAGAGCTGAGGTGTTGTTGGAGATCGGGATGGAGGAAGAGCTGAAGGCCGAATGGAAGCTACGCGTGAACGGGGTGAAAGGTAGGTAGCTGATGGCGGGCGTGGCAGGGGTGCCAAGTATGTGGAAGTCAACTCTTAATGTCGACGAAATGCGCAACCGGGCGGTGATGGTGCCGAAAGCTGAAGTTCAACAGACGGGCGTTTGGTCGCGACCGAGAGGCGGGGTATCAAGCAGAAACTGACGACAGCGGCCCGGGGGTTGGATCGAGGTAAGGAAGAATATTACGCGAAGCGGAGGTCAAAGAGGGCCTCAAGGACGCGGTCGCAGGAGAATACGTCGGGATGGTGGTTGGTGGTGGTTCGGTTGTTTCGTCGACAATGTCGGAAGATTTTCAGAATGGTTCAGTGATTGGAAACTTGAGGCCAGACAGGAGGGGACGGGAGGGGAGCTCTGGCTCGCTGTAAGGTATCTCTCTGCCTGGGCTCCAAGCTGGACGGGTGGGTACCTTGGTACAGCTCCTTCCCGCCTTCCCTATTGAGCGCCTATAGAAACCATGCAAGTGGTGGCCACAGGGGCAGGCACGACGAGCCCAGGCTGCCCGACTGCCCCAGACCGCCCTCGAGACCGCCCTGCCAGGCGCTGCCAACAGTGTCAGTCCTCCAGTTCAATACATCATCACAATTATCAAAAGTCAGCAATTGGTCGATCAGCAATATTCCCAGCTGTGATGCTCCTTTTTGTACTATGCTATAATTGTTTTGGTAAAGTTTGGTGAGGCTCGGAAAGATGAGTTGTGCTTGCTGATCGCAGACAAAGAGGCAGGGGAAGCTCGTCTTGAACCGAACGGCAAGGGGTCAACAAGGTACTCAACGGTGTCAACGAGCAAAGGAAAACAAGGGAGAGGGTTGTTACAACCATGAATTCTTGCCAGGATACCGATTTTGGAGTCATGTTGTTTTTGACAAGTTGGACATGCACTGAAGATGTGAACTTCACTCGATGGAGAAGCGCAAGTCATTGTTGTTCTCACAGTAGAGCGAGGTCAGCCCAAGAAGGTCAAGACGAGAGCTGCTCCCACTCGGAGAGGATTGTCGAGAAGATGCCACGACAGCAGTTCTGCGCTGTGATACGAACCAAGATAGTAAACTCTCTCTTTCTCAAGGGTCTATAGATCCCGACTCTTTCAACATGTTTGAAAAACAATCAAATTCCAATAACGTCCAGCCCCAATTCCTACCTGCCACCCATCCACTTCCAAACAACCATTTGTCTCTTTTGTAACACCCAAAATATCTTTATATCTTCCCTCGTCCTCGCCGCCTCCCCCCTTCCATGTCATCCATTGTATCCCGAAACGCCAATCCTGATGCTCGCTGCTGGCCGGGCTGCTTTTTGCGTAGTGGCTCCTGCCGCCGCCGCTGCTGCTCTTGTTTACAAAGTTATAAAAAAAAGGAAGATTAGGTAAGTACAAATATGTTCTTGTCAGGTGTCCCACTACCTCCTCTCACACTATAAAGCAGCCCGAACCCGCCTCTTATTCTTCGAGGCAAGACCTCCGTCAAGCCTGATGTACAGTTGATCCCACCAGTATGATGGCTTGGGACTGGTACCCCAGAACACCTGACCAGCTAGGCAAAGGCTGAACTAACTGGAAAATGAGCGGTGGCCGCCCTACCACATGTCACCCTCCTCGTCCTCTTTGCCCTTGTTGCGATATTCCTCTTGTTGTTTTTCATGACGGGCGCGAGATTCGTTCCGTTGTTGCTCGTATTCGTAGATCTGAGCGTCATCGACGTACTGAGTGCCGCCGCCCGATGCCTCGCCGTAGCCATTACCAGACTGTATGACATGTTAGTATTCTGATTATCAAACAGATCAAGTGGGCGTTAACTTACGCGATGGTACTCAAAGTTGAAATCGGTTTGGCCAGACATCGCCGCCATTTGTTGTTCAAGAGCAAGTTGCTCCATCGCTCGCTGCTGTGCCGCCTTTTGTTCGGCTTCGCGGCGCTTGCGCTCTTCCTCTAATCGCCTTTGCTGCGGCGAAGTGGGCACATTCAGCTGGGGATGCATCGCCTGGACCTTAGCCAGATACGAGTACATAAAGTTGCTGAGCAGGACTTGACTGTGCAAGGGTCGGCGGGGATTCGCAAGCTTGATGTGAGCCATCCGGTAAATGGCTCGCTCTTCAATAATTGGGAAGCGGGTCCAAGAGTAGTCGACATCGGGAACGAGTTTTCGGCGAGGAGGTTCTGGAGTAAGTGGTCTTTGCTCCTTCTTCTTGGTGGGCTCCTTATCGGCCTTCTTCTTGCCTCCGAAAAGGCCACCAAAGAAGCCTTCCTTCTCCTTCTTGGTCTCCTTCTTCTTTTCCTCATTCTTGCCGCTGTCGATGCTCTCCCGATCCAGCACCAGGCTCTCCCGGCCCTTGGAAGCCCCTTCAATAGAGTTTTGTAGGACGTCCAACCGGGTCGTATCGTGGCTCTTGTCTCCACCCTTGGCCTTCGCTTTCCGAGCTTGCTCCTCTTTCTCGCGCTCCTTCTCCTTCTCGCGCTTTTTCTTGTCCTTCTCATCGCTCTTGAACCATTTCCACCCTGACGATTTGGTAGGGGTCTCGACCTCTTCCTTCTCCTTCGCCTTCTTGTCCGTTTTCTTTTCCTCCACTTTCTTCTCCTCCACTGCTGGTGCAGGTGGTGTAGCCACGATCGGCGCAGAAGGCTTAGCCTGACTCTTGCCATTGACTTGCGGTGTTGGCTGGGTTGACTCAAGCGACGGTCGTTTTTCGGAGCGGGTCGAAGGTTCCTCTGCCTTCTTAGTGGAGGCCTTATCGGGCAGTGGCTTTGAAGTCTGCTCCTTTGTCTCTGTTGGTGGCGTCTCAACAATCGCAGGCACCGGCGGCGGGGCGGCTGTGGGTGGCGGTATGGACGGAGCCTTCTTGACAGGGAGAACCTCCGCTGGTGCCGGGGCAGGCGGGCTGATCGGCTTTGGTTCGTCTTGAAGGGCTCCGGAGGGGGTGTCTTCTAACGATCGTCGAACCGTTATTTCTTCGGATGAGCCCGGAGTCTCGCGGTTGAAATTTTGCCGTCTTCGCACCGATTTCTCAGGCTGCGAGTAGAGGTCGGCCAGGACCGGTTCCGATTGTACCCTCTTCAGGCCTTGACTTGACGCCTCGTCCATTGTCGGGACAGGGGGCATATCATCTTCGTGCTCTGATGACTGCCTTCCGGAGATCCTCTTCGAAAATGAAGTTTTATTCCCGCGTACACTGCCACTTTTTCTGTATGTCGTCTTTGTGGAGCGTCTTAGACCCATACTTGGAGCAGGAAGAATCGGAACGTCGTCCTCGTCCACCTCTTGGTGAGTCTCGAGCGCCAGCTTCTTGACTGCTTTGGTAGGATCATCTACTAACTCGCCCAGGCTAGGTTCTGGATTGCCATCGCCATGCCGGGAGCGCTGCCGTTGCAGCCTCTCCGAACCATCCACGTAGTCGATGCCCTCACTGGTCGGCTTGATCTGGCGAGAGAGCATCGACTTTTTTCTCCTCAGGCCCCCTCCACCTGTCGAGTCACTTCGGTTCAGGTCAACCGACAACATGGAGTCACTGGACCTCCGCTTTATTGCCTGCACACGATTCTCCAGGAAGTCCTTGAACGCCGTAGGTTCGAGTTCCGGATGTACTCTCGCGGGCACCCACAGCAGGCGGGACGGGTCTGCTTCGTCATCTTCACCCGTTGGTGGGCCGGACTGGACCAGACCCATGTTCGAGAAAGGAAGGAGGTCGGGATCGTTGAAACCTCCAACATCCATCGACAGTCGTCGCAGCGCCTGCAGATTACTCAACTCTTGTGCGATGTCGTTGGCGTCGTCGATATTCGTCATGGGGAACTGAGAGGCCGATCCGTCGGCCTGGAGGTCCCGTATCGAGCGTGCTGGCGAAAGCGGGGAGGTCGGCCTTTCTGACGAGCTGCTCGTATCACTTGGTCTCCTCTCTGGGAAGGTGTTGGACTTCTTCAAGGCGTGTCCTCCTATGAAACCATCATTGACCCCCTTTCCACCGGTCGTATCGTGTAGTGCTGCCTTGCTTTTGTCGGAGGTTGTCCGGACTAAGCGCAGCTCATCTCCCGAGTTCTCCTCAGAGGGCTCCTCGGCAAGGCTAGCAAGGCGCTCTAGGTGATCTCCCTGGGTCGCAATGAAACTAAGGGGGCGGCTAGCCCGGCGGCCGTCTTCGGGGCCGGAGTCGTCGTCGTCGATGGTATACATGGTTCCTATGGTCTCGGTGACGTGACGGCTAGGGTCGGATATGGACAGTCGGTCGTGGCCGCGTCGGCTGGCGAAACTGGAGCCAACATCGCCTCGGGGACGGGATGAGGTCTGCTGGAATAACAACAGGTTGGTCAGTCGAAAGGAGGTTCTCCCGATCCACAAGGACCCATAATTTTTTCATGTCTCCCATGCAAAGACGATCGCCCAGGAAGCGACACGCGGTATCCGTATTCGGAAATTGACGTGCGGCTCCGCCGAGAGCATGGATCCAAATCCCGGCTTCCGGGAGTCGGGAACCAGCGAGGGAGGAAATGCGGACGCACCATCATCTAGACAAGAGAATAAAGGCCTATTTGCGGAAGGAAGAAGGGCCGGATGCCACAGCAGCCCTCGGGTGCCTTGTTTTGCTTTCACAGCCAGACAGGATCGTGGAGTGCTGTATTAGTCGTCTATCATGAGCAGATCAGCGAGACCTGGCGCGGGAAGCGATAACCCCTCGAGCAAGAGGCAGGCAAACAAGCAGTCAGATAGACAGACAAGCAGTCAGACAGTATTCGCGACAATTGTTGACAAAGCACGGCTGGCAGGGCTGGCGGGTAGCTATAGCAGGTGCGCCTGGAATCAACGTCACAGGGCCTCTCGGGTTGTGCGCGTGGTGCTTCAGCTGTCGGGGAACGGGATCGGGGGGCCGGTAATATCAAGCCGTGATCGGAGTAATCGATGTCTCGGTCGACTGTAGCATGCGGTCACGCTGTCTCGGAGGCGGAAGGGCAGAAACGAGGGCTGGGCTTTGCGAGCTTTGCGGGTTGGCGAGCTTTGCTTGGTATCAGCGAGTGTGTTTGGCGGGCGCCGATAAAACGAAGTGAGGGCGTATCACAATTTGGCAGTTGGGAGGCTCGCTACCGTTCGCTCGCTTCGATCGATGACCTAGCGTAATGTAGCTAGGTAGGTATGTAGTGCAGTTGGCTCGCTCGTCCACGGGTCGTTGGGCTGTCGCTCGTTCGCTCGCTCGGTGGTCCTCGTTATCTCGTTCGGCACCTTTAGTTGGACTGGAGGGATAGAAAGTGAAAAAGGGCCCCTAGCAAGGTTGAAGATTGCAAAGTGGGAAGAAAGTCTTGTGTATCTGGAGGACGGTTGGAAAGAAAAAGAAGGCGTGGGCCGAGCGCAGATTGGGTGGTCGTGTTGGGATTATTGGCCGTCGAGGTGGTGTTCTTGGCTGAAGGAGTGGTCCTTGTCTTGTTACTTTTGGCGTCCGGAGTGGTCCCGTTAGTGTAGAACCCGAATGGCAACCTGGTATCGTCCTGGTCTAGTGTACCTAGTCGGATTGGACCAAGCCTCAAAGAGAGGAAAACGTGACTTGAAGAGCACAAAGTTGGATGATGTCGAACGAATGAATACCGGACTGAATGGAGCACCGTTGCCGAGATGCGTTGAGGTTGATTCTTTCCTCGTCCTCGTCTTCCACTTCAGGTGTCTCCCGCAGTGACACTTCCACTTTTGCGCCCCGTGGAATCGGTAAATTGATAAATTGGGCGATACCAGGGGCGGGGGTAGAGGGGGACAGGCATACCTGGACAGCGGCACAGGGGCACCCGCCAGACCCGTCGTCACAGGGGAAGGCGCTCTGTCTGTGGCCTGTGCCTTCCATCACTCTCTTTGGCTCTTGTCCTCTTTCACACGACAACAGGGCGTTTTCTCGGCGCGGTTCGAGATCGGGCGCATTTCTACGACGCTTCTGCTTGGTTCTCGCTCTGCAGTAGCGCACACAACTGTGGGTGACGGCGACTCCTGTCCCTGACCCGCGGACCGGAGCAACCCCAAGAGTTCCCCCCCTTTGTCACGTGGCAGCCAGGGGAAAGCACTGAACCGCCGGCTAAGGACAGTCTTGGGCGGCCCAGTTCGGACTGTCACCAAACTTCACCACCTGTTCCCAGTTGTCTTTTTAGATGAAATCCAATATCAGAGACAATACCAAGAGACTGATGATAATCCGCTCTCCCTGTCCTCGGTTTCGCATCCTCACTTCTAAACACCCCGATGACGCCTATCCTCGGGTCGCGACAAGGACCCGCCTGAGGATTTCTTCTGTCAGCCTGTCATGGGCTCTGTTACCACTTACCTCTACAGGGCGAACCATGAGAGGACCGATCATCCACACGCTATTCTATACGGCACCATAGATTGGCGGCCGCAGAGAACCAAGTGGCCATAACCTGTGTTCTAGAATAACACTGCGCCGCCTCAGCATCCACCCCATCTCGACAATCAAATAAACCGAACCAGTTGCGACTATCGCCGATTGAATCATATCATATCATATCACTGTTTGCGCTGTTACGGTCTCTGTCGCCTCAGGCGTATACTAGAAAGAGGGCGCTATTCACCTCCGAGCCCCCCTGGTTCCAGCCCAATGGATGCTATTCTAAGTCCTCTACCGAGATGATTCGATACCGGCACCTCCATTAACAGAGCCACATCGTGGAGACTGTAACTGGGTTGTCAATAAGATTCTTGAACAGATATAAGATGCGGAAGAAGAGAGGGTTGCAAGTCGCAAGAAGTCATCGCATCAGTCACAATGATGAACTTGTACACTCCTAACAGCAGCTCGTTCGTCCGGTGACAACGGCCTTGTTTCTTCCCCTGTTGCAGGTTGCAACACCATGACCCTGGGCCTGGGGAGTCCCATCCATCCATCCATTTATACCCTGGACGCCATGGTGAGCCATGACATTGACGGGAGTAGTTGTACCAGGCCCTCGGTTCGGGTGTAACCTGTCGAGAGCCGGTCCTGCCTGTCGGCACCGCACCGTCGAGGGTTTGCAATTGCTTGTAAAACGCTAGCACGTTCGGAGCTGGCGGAGTCGCGGAGTCGCAGAGAAGAAGATTTCGAACATTGAAGGAAGCACAGCACAAGCCATGGAAGAGAACGTTCGGTTCGGTTGGCGCCGGTTCATCCGGAAGTTGGGATTGCCGGGACGAAGGACGGGGACCGGGGTCGGGGGTCGGGGATCATTGAGCTCGGACGCTTTCATCCCCCGTTCATCATGGGGGTCACCGCCGTATCTTTGAACCTACACTGCCTGAAAGCCCCCCGGGTGCTCCGAACCGGTGCTCCCTCCGGGCGGCTTTGAGTGCCGGCTGCCGGCTGCTGCTGCTGCTGCCTGCGCCAAGATTTTTCGGATACGAGATGCGACGGATGAGACAGGATGTCGGGCTCAGTCCTAAAGACGGGAGGCCGATGTTAACATGTGCATACTTTTGCATCACGCACGATTGAGAGGAGGCATCTGCATCTGTCGGCAACAGGGAACAAGCAGGTGCAGGTGCACATGTCAGATGCACTGTCAACGTCAGACATTCAGACATCCTGCAGATTAGGCCCGGATAACTATTGTAGCGCTGTCGACGACCGTTACCTCGAAATGAGATTGCGCAACGAAGTCATCACAAGTCTCTCCAGTGGGCAGCTCTCTTTTCAGGCCTCAGGGGGAAGCTCCGCAGTTGAGGGTTAGGATTACAAGTGCGATCAACCAAGTCTCAGATAATCACCACTGAACGGGCTTCGGCTATGGCTTCGAGTGTTGCGTTGCCTGGAAACATCATCGATGATTAAAGATGCCATGGTCAATCGAGCAGTTCAACGCCCCGCAGACTTCGTTGGTTGAAAAGCATTTACAGACTCCCAAGAAGGGAAACCTGCCTGCCAGTTTTGGTCATAAGCGAAACAAAAATAAAAAGGGTATTCTCTTTCAACCGGTATTGCAAAAGCAGACAGTCTAACCTCTGATTCCCAGATAACCAGCAAACTCCTCGCTATACATATCCAATTATGTATGTATCCAAAGGTATAACCCATTATGCACACCCGACTCCTCGTCCACATACCAGTCATCACATTCCCATCTTCAAGCCCCAAGCCCCGTGTCCCAACTCCAAACTCCACCACGACAGCCTCACTCACTTCTTCACCCCATAAACATTCTGCCGATAAGTCTCATACGCGCTATGCATATACGCCTTCTGCAGGGGACTAAACTCCGTCAAGCAATCATCATCCGAATAATCCATAAAGTTATGAATCGCATCCAACCCTTCCTGATTCGGGCACGAGTCGCGTCCGACCTGGCATCCATAAGCCGGACTGGCCTCCATGGGGGTATCGCTAATCAAGTCCCCTTTCCCCTCACACCCTCCCGCGCCGAACGTATGGTCCAGCCCGAACCAGTGGCCTACTTCGTGGGTGGCCGTCCTGCCTAGGTTGAAGGGCGCGAAGGTGCCAAAGGGTAATGTGTCGGACCGGATGACGACGCCGTCGAGGGTGAACATGTCTTGTTCCGGGTTTGCAGGGTCGGTCGGGTCGGAGACGACGCCGGATTGAGACAGGAAGACGGGGAAATAGGCGTACCCTAAGAGGGAGTCGGGGAGGGTGATGGGGAAGTAGAGGTTGAGGTCGGTGTATTCGCCCTTGCGCAGGGCGGACTTGAAGCCGTATTCGTCCTCGGCGACGGCCCAGGTCTGGTTGATGGTGTAGGAAATGTTTTGGAGGCGGAAGGAGAGCTTGGCGGAGCTGAAGTCGGCGTTGAGGACCGAGATTTGTTCGTGGATTTGGGATTCCTTTTCGGGGGTAAGGGGTGGTTAGCAGATGCAGTAAGGGAGGGGGCATGGAAGTTGGATGGAGGACAACTAACCTCGAGATACCCATCTTCCACCTTGGTTCCGTTCGCCAAGACGTGCACATAGACTTTGATTTCCTTCTCCTGCAAATCCTCGATTTCCACCTTTTGGATCGAACTCCCTCCCGTCTTTTGGGCGCTTGTCTTTAGGGCATCGAGCTTGTTCATCGACTGAGAGGCGAGGATGTTGTAGTTATGCACCTGCTCGGGAGTCATGTGTGGTGTTCCGCATCTGTTGCTGCCGCCCGGTTGAGTTCCCTTGACGAACACGCCAGTAGAAGAAGCCATCATGGCCGCCGCGGCCAAAGCTACCTTGTTGAAGATCATCGTGTCTTGAACTGAGAAAGGAAATCAGGTACCACTGAAACGGAAAGAAAAAAAGTTGACAAGTTGACTGAATACTCAGGAGACCTCCATCTTTACCACAACCGTGGGAAGGATATGCCCCCGTCTTATATGGGATTTGGAAACCCAGTCCTCGACCGCAATCCCTCGTAAGGTACGGACCAACGAGCCGTGATGTTTGCCCATTTTCCCCGGCGGCGGTTTCACGTACATGGCGGTGTCATAAACCCGCAAAAATGGAATAAATGGGGATGTATCTAATCCCCTTCTCGCCTAGCAACCGGTTGGCGACTGACTAGACTTAGGAATAGAATCCACGGGCTTTTGTTTTGCTTAGCTTTTGGCTGCTGCGGCATTGCGTTGTGGCACCCCTGTCAACCCGTGGAGATGTCAGCAGTGAGCTTAACGTAAATAAACATTGGTGATAGGGTGAGGTTGCACTCTCGACCCTGGCCCTTGTAGTGTAGCTGTAGGTAGCTGCAGGCTACAAGTACAGCCTCTTGTGGGTTCAGGTTTGTGATCCTCCCATAGAATCGGTTTTAGGTAGACACGTTACCCCGGATGATAGGGTCTTGGTCTTGGCTTGGCCCAACGGGACGGTGAGATTACTCGCTAGGAACGGAGTTTGGGAGTTTCTACACTTGTAGGGATGGATACATCTGGCATGGATCGGGAGTCGGGTACCGAATCTGTGAAGGTGATGAGTAAACGGATTTGAATAGGAGCCGTTTAAGAATGAGACAATGTCACCTGTTGACCCAGTTCTTCTTTTAAGAACTCGAGAATTCCCAATGATAGTCTAGAAGCATCAAACGGCGTTTACTACAGCTCACTTTACCAGGATTCCGGATTCCGAGCTCTTCTCGCAGTAGGGTAAGACAGACTAGGTAAACTATACCACAAGTCCACAGGATATCTCCAATGCAGCCTATTCGGTTTCATCGTGCTAGCTGACGACCCGCTCATAGGGCACAAGCGCATAAAGATTACCTTTCATCGTCCGCAGCCTGATCTTCGAATCTTATCTTGTTGGGCAGTGCCTAACCTAGCGTGCTGGTTGATGCTTTGTGGTGGGTTGGATCATTGGTTGCAAGTGAGGTGAGGTGAGCATTTGGATTGTTGGGGCAGGGCGGGCCAGGGAAACGAATCCTTTGCCGCTCAGCGCTTCGCCTCAAAACAAGCGCCGTCCACCTCTACCACCCTACCAGCCACCTGCTGCCAAGGCGTAGATGGATCTTCCCCAATGGCGGTTTTTAGCGTATTTACTTTGCTATTTCCAGGGGAACAAAGCTTACCATACATTTTACTCTGCCCTCCCCGTCTCTATTCTCGCTGCCTACCTATGGGGCTTTCGGTCGTCGGCAAACCTAACTACAGGCTCTTGACGATGGGGAACGGTTGGTTTTAGACTTACTTCAAAAACTCCCGGGTCTGCTACTCTCTGTGTTACGCAGTCCAAGAATGTCCCAAGGTGTGACGACATGAACTACCTTAGACAGATACGACCCGTGACACTTTCGCTGTGTGATGGTTTTTGCTGGAAGTGGTATGTGTGCTGCAAACTGAAGAGCCGAGACAAATTGGTGTGACGATGATAATCTGTAAAATGTAGGCAAGCTTCTCGAAGATGTCTGGATGAAATATAGAAACACGACGACACGAATGAGCTTTAGCAAGAGGGGTAAGTCTGGGAGTGCTTTGCTGAAATGATTCGGTGAAGGGTAGAAGGGAAATTGGGTACGACAGAGCAGGGAAAGCGTAGGTTAAAGAGGAAGGTTCATCCGAAGGATTGGCGATGTTGATCATGCCTTCCATTTTCGAGGGCATCTTGACCCTTCCCCCTTGCGAGTTGCCTACCGGTATTCGTTCGAACCTCTTACCGAAGGAAACGGAAGCTACTGTGTATAAGTAACAGGGTAGTCAGAGATGGGCTGTAGGAATAATAATACCTGGAAATGTTTCGCGCCTGTAATTTATATCGAATCGAGCTATCTTTAGATTGGGTAAAAGTGCCTTCGTGAACAAGTCATAAAACCGCACAATCCGATGACGCGAGACGTGGAGGCAGTAGTGCTAGGCAGTTTTGTTATTCCACAACGCTGTTTGTGAATTTATGTGATACTACACCACATCCCACTGACTGTCTTCCATCCTCGTACTCAAATTCCCGTCTGCTTGCCAGACCGGGCAATACCACATCATCAAACCCACCACCACACTTCCTTCTTCATCTACCCCCGCTGCGCAACCTCCTCCTTGGCCTTCTTCACCACATCCACCCAAATCGGCGGCCGCCTCCTCCTATCAGCGCCCGCCTCTTCACAAACCGCACCAAACTGCAACAACTGCTCCTCGGCACACCACTCGCCCATAGCCATCAATCCGACCGGAACCTCCCCGCGTCCCTGAACATCCATATCGTTCACCAACCCTGACTCGGGGCTAACAAACCCAGCCGGGACCGAAATGCTGGGAAGGCCACAGAAATTCGCCAACCACACGTACTCCATGCTCTGCAGCGTTCTGTCTCCATCATTGACACCCCACTTTAGCTCGCTCTTGGTCTTGATCGGCAGGCCCTCGCAGCTGGTGGTGGGAGTGACGATTAGCATGCCCGGGTACTGCTGCCAGAGCCAGGAGAGGTGCTGCATCAGCACGCGGCGCAGCTTCATGGCGAGCATGTAATCGGAGGCCGGGGTGACGGTGCCGAGAGCGATGAGAATGCGGTTGCCGTAGGTCAAGTTGCTGGTTTCCGGGAGGAGGGTGGCGGCGTCAGTGAGGACGGTGATGGCGTGCGCGATTTGGCCTTCGGGAAGGAACGGGATATCGATTTCCACGGCTGTATAGCCATGGTCGGAGCACAGACGCCTGATCATGGTGTTGCAGAGGGTTTGGATGGCGGGCGTGGCGCGGGCGAACCAGGCGGAGGGGACACCGAGGACCTTGGGATTACCGCCATTGGGAGGGGTGGTCAAGCTGAGGCGCTTCAAAGGTGGGAAAGGCGAGGATGGATGAGGCTTGCAGATGACTTGGAAGACGGTGGCTAGGGACTTGATGTCCGCGGCAATGGGACCGAGGCAGGCGCAGGTCAGGCAATGGTTTTGGCCGGGCTTGAAAGAGAGACGGCCATGCGTGGGCTTGAGACCGAAGACGCCGCAGAGACTGGAGGGAATGCGAATGCTGCCGCCACCGTCGCTGCCGAGACCGATGGGGATGAGGCCGGCGCTTACAGCGTAGCCAGTTCCAGAGGAGCTGCCGCCTGTGTAGTAGTTGGGGTTGTGAGGGTTCCTGGGAGTGCCGTGGATAGGGTTGTTGCCGGTGGTGTCGAGACCGAACTCGTGCATGGAGAGCTTGCCGAGGATAATGGCGCCAGACTCTTGCAGCTTGCGCACACACCAGGTGGTGATGGAATCTTCCTCGTGGATAGTTCCCGTGTAGATGTTCTTCGAACCGAGGTTGGTTTCGTAGCCGTCGATGTCGTACTCGTCCTTGACTCCGGTGGGAACGCCGTCCAGGGGTCCGAGGGAGCGTCCTTCCTTGTACCGCTGCGTAGAAGCCCTTGCCGCAGCCAGAACTTTCTCAACCTTGCTGTCGAACCATGCTGACGAGTACTCGGTAGGGTTCTCAACGTCGCGGCGGATCAGAGGCAGCAGAGCTTGAGCAACGTCCAAGGGCGTGAGTGCGCCTGAGAGGTAGAGTTTCCGGTATTCGTCCACTGAATAGTACTTTGCCTGGGGATACTTGTGCTGGATATCGTCTCGCTTGGCGGCCTCGGTCTCGGGGATTTCATCATCCTGAATATCATCCTTGGCTTCGTCGGTAGGCTCGGAATCCGGATAGGGCACGATTTGAGGTTCAAACCATGGCTCATAATCCTCGATATAAGGGCGAATCTTGCGTAGGTCGCCGAAGCCGGCGTTGTGCCATATTATCTCCCTGACAAAACGAAGATATTCCAAGCTGGTGACCAGTGTTAGCTCATCATTTGAAGCGACTCTCTCCCTCAGAAAACTCACATCAAGGCAGCGGCGCAAATGAACCAGCCGCGAATGGGCGGATTGGACTTTCTCTCCACGACATATGGAACATCCGGACTGGTAAATGTCAGTTAGCACATGTGTTTGCTTTTCGGTAACCTTGAAAGCTAAGCATACCCTCTCAAGGGCTCTGGATAGTTCAACAGTCTTTTGGACTGTGAAACCGAACCCATGTTTTGTGAGATGATGCAAGGACCATGCAAATTGGTGAAAAGTTCAAAGTCGTGAATGCTTGACGCTGCAAGGCAAGATAATACTGCAGAGAATGCGTAGCGTAGGTATGCACAAAGATATGTCTTGTTTACGTGCTGCCGTGCATGCGTGGTCGGTTGATGCCGATACGACAAGGCCCGTCCCGTGTCTTTTCAACAAGGGTTCAGTCCGAATTCAAGCAACGAATCGCCTTGTCTTGCTGTTGATGAAAAGTGAACGTTTGGGTAAGAACGGTGTTCTTTTCGGTTCTTTCGGTTTGGTGCTGATAGCGAGCGGCGTGGTGACTGGTGACTGGGACCAGAAGAGAAAGAACGAGGGACACGTAGGGCGTGGGTGAGAAGTTCCTCAGAGGCCAAGGGAGAATGAGTCGCGGTTGGTGTTTGAAAAGAGACAAAGCGTGACGCTGTGAACTTGTGTGTGTGTGTGTGTGTGTGTTGCGCGCGCATGTGTGTGTGTGTGTGTGTGTGTGTGTGAGAAAATGTGCATGTGAACAAATGCAACTCGAAGAGGAAGTAGGTTAGGGAAAGCCGAATGATGATGTGTTCCGGTTCATTCTTATATAAAGAAGGGCCGTTATCAATTAGGAATCTTGTTTCTCTTTCACAGTTTGTTAGTCTCTTCCGGTAACCTGATCTTTCACAGTCCCTGCATGTTTCATCCCGAGGCTTCCATGGCAAACTGACATCTGCCATCTATCCGCTGCCTTTTGGTACCTATCTGGCATTAGGCATTTCGAGGATCCCCATGTTGACTCAAACATTTAACATGTCTAGGGTCTGTCTTTGGTGCCACCATCACCATCCTCACTCAAGGTAAACGATGTTGCTAACTAATGGCGATGGCGTTTCATGAGGATGGATGCAGTGGGATGACGACCAGGAGCGGTCAAAGGTCGGATTAAGCTAGTGGGGTGTCCCCTTCAGGACTTTTTGCCGGCCTTGTTGTTCCCGACTCTTGACCTTCCGAGACGTCCGAACGGCACCTTCCAAGATCGTGTCATCCGGTGGTTATATGTATACCGCTATGTCCTGTTGGTTGTCTTGCCTCCTCATTCATAGATGGCATCTGAGCCGTGATGCAATGCATGCACTCATCATTCAAAGCGAGCCGACCCGCCCATCCACAGCTTACCACCTATTGCTCAGATGCCATTTGAGGCTCATGTCGCTGTCAACGACACCCAAGACCTCGTAAACTGCCGTCCACAATTTGACATTAATTATACACAAGACAGATCCTCAAGAACTGTTCCTCCAGATCGACCCATGGACAAGGTTGGTCGGCCGATGGTTGGGCCACCAGCCAATTTGAGGCAACCATAATCACACTATTGTTGATGTCAACTTTGGAAGCTGAAATGGGATGAACCATAACCCCTCGAATCCCTCTAAACTGGTTTCTGCTCATAGCATGCGACTGCGCAAATGTTGATTCTTTCATCCCCAACCGAACAGCATTGAATTATGCTGGATTGATGTTAGCGACGGGACGTCAGAGTTTGTTTGGAGAGGCCCATGTCTCAGCTCTTCAGCATTACAAGACGGAAAGCGGAAAATGACCCCGCAGCAGTCTCAACGCGGGGTATCCCTGTAGTTGTTAGCGCAAGATGGAGCTACCTCCTTTGCCTGCAATCAAACCTAACAGTTCCTTAACAGACCTCGTTATTCCCCTTCACCTGCAGTCGGGTTGCGCAGTAGCCCGGCTCTTCCCCTGCCTTATCGGGGCCGGTTGCTTGGTCACCCTAGAGGTAGCTCCGCGCCCCCACTGATTCACAGGAAGCGACAAGCGGACCAGCCAGCGCGAAAACTCCAGTCGGGAAAGCGCAGCATGGAGAAAAGCAAACGGTTTCCTTGGTTAATTTTGACGTTGGCTCATCCTCGGGTTGAATTTGGGCATCTTTCGTCAACACTCACTCTTCGACGTCGGATTTCCATACGATGAATAGCGAACTCCAGCCGTCTCTTCTTCCTTATTTACCTCATGTTAATGCCACAGAGCGAAACCAGCGGTATTCCACTACGTGCATCCTTTAAGCGACAACCATAACCTTCCACCTGGGATGGGGGGAAGGAAAAGAAAAGCCATGTGAAGCCATCAGGCTCAAACTCTCAGGAGGAAAAGGCAAAGACCGAGTCTGTAGACCCGGCCGTCCTTCAAGAACAATTATTTGTAGGTTCTCGCTGGATTGGAGCCCACCAACACGTCTCATCACAACGGCTGGCCCCAAAGTCTTCCGAGTTTCTAAGGTCTTTAACCGCGGATTATCCAATTGCAGGAAGAGTTTCGAGATCTAGATCAGTCACTCATTCTCGCCATTACCCTGGAGCGAAACATCCAAACGGATTATGACGACATCAGGGACATCCTCAAAACGCTGGCGCAGACCGCGTCATGTGAGGCTTCAACATCGTTTGACCCCTCCGGACTGGGGATGTCTACTGAGGGGGTAAACGGCGACGACCCGAGCAGAGCATCATGTCCGACTCATGGGTTACGGAAAATGCCACGACGATATCCGACTCCGTCTTCTCCAGCGGCTCCTCCTCGTCCGAGGACCTCAAATTTTGCGACGCAGCAGACCTGAACGAGCTCGATAAGGTCGAGCGACTTCGTCTGGTGTTTCCCAACTTCAAGGAGCACACCCTCAAGTTCGTTCTCAAGCAGAGCGGAGGCGACCTTGACACGGCCTTTGACGATCTTTTGACGCGGCAACACCTCCACGAAACTGGCCAGCTGCCCAAGGGGCTGGATGGGTTTTACGAGCCACAGGGCAGCACTGCAACCCGCAGAGGCAAGAACAAGTCCAAGGATCAAGGAAGCAAGGGAAAGGCGAAACTTGCGCTGAACTACGCAGTGGTATCACCGACAGTGGACAACGAGGAGTTGGAAGGGGCTAAGGGGCCCATTCGACCCTCAGGATTAACACAGCGCGGCATATCGAGTACACAGGTAGTTACCACCTCCAGTGTCGGTGTGAGGCGTCCCAGCCTGGTACCAAGCCCGGACAGCGAGTACGGAGTCACCAATCTCTACGCCCAAGCTTCGGCCTTGGCTCGAAAGGGGCCATTAGGGCGACAAGGCGCCATTGTTTACACGGAGCGCGCCCGGGAAGAAGCCCGTGCCGCCGCAGAGAGGATATCGCTTGCATCCGAGCAACTAGTCGACCAAAAGAGCACGTACTGCAGTATTGATCTCCACGGCGTCACAGTCATTGACGGGGTTCGGATCGCCAAGGACCGAGTCTGGCGGTGGTGGAACAATCTGGGCGAGCATCGCCAGTCCAAGGCCAAGTTGGAGGGATTCACGGTGGTTACGGGTGTCGGTCGACATAGTTCCGGTGGCGTCTCGCGCCTTCGCCAAGCTGTGGGTGCCGCTTTGAAGAACGACGGTTGGAAAGTCGACACGCTGACCGGCCAATTCTACGTTACCGGGAGGGTTTGATGGATGAAAATCATTGGGATTACATACGCTGTCGATGGGACATTTTTGGACATGTGCTTGTTCGAGAGATACCCTGTATGTATGGTTGATATCTGGAGGGGCGGAGTTGGAGCGTGTATTGTTTTGGCTACTTGGGACTGCTTTGGCGGTCGTCGGATATGCGCTAGGATGTATTGATGATGAAGTAGCGATGATAGCCGATATGTGCTTCAAGCATTTCACACCCATAGTTGGTCTTGTCATAAATATTTTTGCCTCAACACCCTGGTGATGATATTGTGGTTACCTAGGCAGGGATATGTTAACCCGAACCCTGAACCTCAGAATACCTAGCGAGACCTTTATCGCCTTACCGTTTCCAGCTGTTGACCAGATCTTGGCAGGGATTCACAGCTGTGGACTTGTGCCGCGTGATCGATCCTCAGGAACAGCATCGGCGTCGCGGCCTCGACCAGGTCTTGTCTCGTCAGTTTCTCCTCCCGCCTTTTGGCCCCAGTCCGAAACAGCCAATCAGATCAACAGGGCGGTCTTAGCTGCTTGATGACGCATGCAACAGCCAAACGGAGGCCACGAACAACGGGCACAGCAGCACTGGCAGGCACCAACTGAAAGGGAAGAATCAGAGCGCGCGCGCGGGAGCTTCCAGTGAGTGCCCTGCGTCTCACCAACTTCCAGTTTCCGTTTCCAGTTCTGGTTCCGGTTGCCCATCTCCAACTCCCAATATCAATTAATCGGAAAATAAAAGTGCTCCGCTATCATCATCGACATTGAGGTCCACCATTCTATTCTTGTCCGGACCACGTCCTCTCTCTCTCTCTACCCACTGGTCATCAGTGATAGTTTCACAATCGACGGTCGACAACCACAAGTTGAGGTCTACGAGCCATCTTCCCAAGTAAATTCGAGAACCGTATCTATCACCGATTTGACCAAGACTGTTGGTACGATATCATACGCGGCCTGATACATACTGCATCAATCTCCCAGGAAGAACCTCGATCGCATTGTTTTGAACGGGATCTTCCCATTCGCACCCAAGCCGCCGAGCGGCAACGGCAACGTCAACTACACCAAAGACGTCCTGCCTGGATTGACGCGTCATCATGACAAAGCTATCCACGCTAGTCGCGGCCAGCGGCGGGCTTCTATTATCGGGTCTGGGAAGTGTCACAGCGGATATCTATACGCCAAAGCACGAGGCCGGACGATGCGCCATCAGAGGCCACTGCGGATCCAAGAGTCTCTTTGGAAGCCAGTTGCCCTGTGTTGACAATGGCTTGGCTGAAGAGCCAGACGACTATCTCCGTCAACAGCTGGTTGATCTCTGTGGCCCCAAGTGGAATACAGGGCCGGTGTGCTGTCTGGCTGAACAGGTAAACACTCTTTCGACTGGTCAAAGTCAACTATGCAAGATGCCGAGACTGACTCTTCCTACAGGTTGACTCCCTAAAGTCCTCCCTGTCGACGGCGAACCAGATAATATCGTCTTGCCCGGCGTGCAAAGACAACTTCTTCAACATGTTCTGCACCTTTACCTGCTCTCCCGACCAGTCGCTATTCATCAATGTCACCAAGACGCTTGAAAAGAACGGCAAGACACTAGTAACAGAGTTGGACCAGTTGATTTCTGAAGAATATGGAACCGGCTTCTACAGCAGCTGCAAGGACGTCAAGTTCGGTCCTACAAACTCGAGGGCCATGGACTTGATAGGCGGAGGTGCCAAGAACTACACGCAACTGCTCAAGTTCCTCGGCACGGAACGCTTCGGTGGCTCGCCTTTCCAGATCAACTTCCCCGTCGAATATGAAGAACCCGGCACGAAGCCGCTGCCCATGAAGCCCAAGAAATGCAATGACGAGGACCCGAACTTCCGCTGTGCCTGTGTCGACTGCCCGGAGGTCTGCCCCACGCTTCCGGAGGTCGAGAAGGCTGGGTCTTGCCATGTTGGCGCCCTACCGTGCCTGTCGTTTGCTTCGATCTTGACTTACAGTGTCATCTTATTTACCTCCATTGCTGCGGTGGTTGGCCACATTGCCTGGAAGAGACACGCTAAGCGCAGAAGTGAAAGACTCCGTCTTCTTACCGATGCGGCACCCAGCGACGATGAGGATGAAGGAGACTTGACGCAGAATGGAGCCATGATTGACCGTCCCCAAAAGACATACATCATCAACACATGGTGTGATTCTGCTTTCAGCAAGCTGGGGTACCTCGCGGCCACATTCCCGGCCATCACCATTGTCACCAGCATCCTGATTGCTAGCATCCTCAGCATTGGCTGGTTCCACTTTGAGCTTGAGAAGAACCCGGCCCGTCTGTGGGTGAGCCCAACTTCGCCAGCGGCTGAGGAGAAGGCCTTCTTTGACTCTCACTTTGGCGCTTTTTACCGTGCAGAAAAGGTCTTCCTCGTGAACGATACCAACCCCTCTGGTCCTGGACCCGTCCTGAGCCGTGATACTCTCCTCTGGTGGATGGATGTTGAGAAGAGCATTGCGGCGCTTAAGGGTGCCAACTATGGAAGCAGTTTCCAGGATCTGTGCCTCAAGCCCACCGGTGATGCTTGCGTTGTTCAGTCAGTCGCTGCTTACTTCCAAGATGATCCCGACTCTGTTGATCCGGAGAGCTGGAAGAGCACTTTGAGGACCTGCGCGGCATCGCCTGTTGAGTGCCGCCCTGCGTATGGACAACCTCTTGACCCTAGCATGATTCTTGGCGGATACCCAGAGGATGGTGATGTTGCGGAAGCTTCAGCCATGACCGTTACCTGGGTGTTGATCAACCCTCCTGAGGACTCTCCCGAAGTCGACCGTGCCATGGATTGGGAAGTGTCGCTCAAGAACCGACTGTTGGGGTTGCAAAACGAGGCCAAAGAGCGCGGTCTCCGCCTTTCCTTCTCTACCGAGATCAGTCTTGAGGAAGAACTAAACAAGTCCACCAACACCGATGCCAAGATCATTGTCATCAGCTACATCATCATGTTCTTGTACGCTTCGATCGCTCTTGGTTCCACCACTCTGTCCTTGAAGGACTTGATCCGCAACCCGGCTGTTTCGCTGGTCGAGTCCAAGTTCACGCTTGGTGTTGTGGGCATCGTCATCGTTCTCATGTCCATCACTGCCTCGATTGGTCTCTTCTCCTGGGCTGGTCTACGGGCTACCCTGATCATCGTCGATGTCATCCCGTTCATCGTTCTTGCTGTCGGTGTGGACAACATCTTCTTGATCGTTCATGAGTTTGAGCGTGTCAACGTCAGCCATCCTGATGAAATGGTCGAGGCACGGATTTCCAGGGCCTTGGGACGAATGGGTCCCTCCATCCTCTTCTCAGCCTTGACGGAAACTGCGTCCTTTGCGCTCGGTGCCTTTGTCGGCATGCCCGCAGTGAGGAACTTCGCCATCTATGCGGCTGGAGCTGTCTTCATTAACGCCATTCTTCAAGTGACTATGTTTGTCTCGGTGCTGACGCTGAACCAGATCCGCGTTGAGGATTCTCGCGCGGACTGCTTCCCTTGCATCCAAATCAAGTCTGCTAGAGTTCATCTGACCAACAATGGTACGGGTCAGGCCCCGGTCTACCTCGAGGCTCCTGAGGAAAGTTATCTTCAGCAGTTCATTCGCAAGACCTACGCCCCTCGGTTGTTGGGAAAGAAGACGAAGGCTGTCATTGTCATGATCTTCTTGGGCGTGTTCGCTGCCGGAGTTGCTCTGATTCCTGAGGTTAAGCTGGGTCTCGATCAACGTGTTGCCATCCCGGATGATTCCTACTTGATCCCCTACTTCAACGATCTCTACGAGTACCTCAACACTGGCCCTCCCGTCTATTTTGTTACCAGGGAGTTCAATGCCACTGACCGGGTGCAACAGCAGAAGGTCTGCGCCCGGTATACCACCTGTGATCAGATGTCGCTTCCGAACATTTTAGAACAAGAAAGAAAGCGGACTGAAGTCTCTTACATTTCGACTCCCACTGCCAGCTGGATTGATGATTTCTTCCAGTGGCTTAACCCCGAGAATGAGAGGTGCTGCATGGAGCGTCGGAGACCCTGCTTCGCAAACCGAACTCCGGCGTGGAATATCACTCTTTCGGGCATGCCCGAAGGTGACGAGTTCGTTTACTACTTGAAGAAGTTCCTTGCTGCGCCCACAAGCGAAGATTGTCCCTTGGGCGGGCAGTCCTCCTATGGCTCTGCTGTCTTGGTTGATTCGGAAAGGGACACCATTCCGGCCAGTCACTTCCGCACAAGCCACACCCCGCTCCGCAGCCAAGAGGACTTCATCAACGCTTACGCCTCTGCCCGCCGTATCGCCAACGAGATCAGCGCCGAAACTGGCCTAGACGTTTTCCCCTACAGCGTCTTCTACGTCTTCTTCGACCAGTACGCCTCCATCGTCTCGCTCACCGGCGCTCTCCTCGGCTCCGCCGTCGGCATTATCTTCATTGTCGCCTCAGTCCTGCTTGGCTCCCTGGTCACAGCAGCGGTTGTCACCTTCACCGTCGTCATGGCCATCGTCGACATCATCGGCGCCATGGCCGTCATGGGCGTCTCGCTCAACGCCGTCTCCCTCGTCAACCTCATCATCTGCGTCGGTATCGCCGTCGAGTTCTGCGCCCACATTGCCCGCGCCTTCATGTTCCCCTCTCGTACCTTCATGGAGCGCGCCAAGAACCGCTTCCGAGGCCGCGACGCGCGAGCATGGACTGCTCTCTGCAACGTTGGTGGTTCCGTGTTCTCCGGAATCACGGTTACCAAGCTGCTCGGCGTCTTTGTGCTCGGTTTCACCCGTAGCAAGATCTTTGAGATTTACTATTTCAGGATCTGGGTCGCTTTGGTCCTCTTCGCTGCTACACACGCGCTGGTCTTCTTGCCTGTGGCGCTATCGTTGGTGGGTGGCGAGGGGTATGTTGATCCTGAGAGCGATGGTGGACTGGAGGAGGATCTGGCGAGTAGACGGTATCGGGCGCTGGTGCCGGATGCTGATTCGGACTCGGAGGAGGAGGAGGAATATTAGAGTGAACCTGACCCTTATGCCAGTCCGCTAGCGTCGACAAATGCATTGCGTGAGAGAGCTGATGAGGGGCCTTCCACCGCGTCTGGAAGTGCTTTGCGCGAGGGAACAACGAATGATGCTCCTGTCACCAGAGGTGCTTTGCATGAAGAGACGGATGGACCTTTCACCACGAACGCTGAGCTCTTTGGGGTGGGGATCATGGGTGCGATTGCGAAGAGATGGGGTGTTTGATGGATGTGAAAGGAGGTTATGGTATGGTACAGTATGGTATTTGGTGTTTATGATGACGATTACGGAGGCTAGGGCATGAATGGATTGGAAGGATGTGTATCACATAAGCACGGAATTGGAGGAATAGCGGAAGGTTTTAAGTCAGCGTGGTTGCGGATTTTAGGTTTGCAAGTTTTCTTTTTGTCCTTTCACTTGGTTTATCTCTTTTCTTTGCAAAGGAGCCGGAGTAGTGAGAATTGTTTTCATGATTTTGCATGACAAAAGCGTTCATACGGTCAGGGTCAGTACATGTAGGGTATCATGATAAAGCATGGATTGACGACATGATATGCGCTAGGCTGGTGGTTGGTTGGACGTTGGTGTGTGTATGTTTTGGGTTATTCGAGCTATATGGACATTGACCATAAATACGTTCAGACGGGAAGCGCTTCTCAACTTTCGAGGCCGTCAAAATTATGATACGAATCAATCAAACCTTCAACCTCAAACCCACCCCTCCCCATTGTCCATCACCCTATCATTCCCCTCCTTATCCTCACAAAACCCACCCATCCTCCCCTCCCCATCCCACACCTTCCTAACCTCCTTTAGTCGTTTCGCACACTCATCACTCCAAAACCTCGCCCTCCTCACCCGGAAATCTGCATCGCCCAAGTAACTCCCCACCAACACCGCCTCTCTTTTCTCAACAAGACCCTTAAAAACATCCTTAACCCACCCGGTACACCGCTCATCATCTCGCGGGTCCGACCAAACGGTGTATACGGCAAAGTAATGATCCGACTGCATGGATAGGGCCATTGGCTGTCCTTGTGGATCGAGGAGGGGATGGCGAGAGCGGGGGTTCATAGAGAACCACAGCGCGCTGGATTGCACTGTTGGGAGGGTTGTGAATGCCTTTTCGAGGACGTCGGGGACGGATAATGCCGCTGCCCCTTGTTCATGATCATGAAAGCCGGAAGAAGACGCTCCAAAAACCTCGGAAAGTTCGGACGGGGGTGAAGTAGTCGGCGATGATGACGACAGGTCACTAGCGATATAAGCGTTATCAGAGCAATACCTGTGTCCCTCAGGGTTGGCTAGCAATTGTTGGGTGTATTCTTGCGTTAAGGAGGTGGGTTGGCAGAAAATCAGGTGTTTGGTTCCGGGCGGGTGCAGGTCGTGGATGGGTTGCAGGGCGGCGAGGGCGGCGGAGCGGGAGGTGGTGAAGAGGGTGAAGGAGGCGAGGATGGTGGGCTCGGGGTCGTAGTCTTTTGGCTCGGGGCTGGGGTTGGAGTTGGGGTTGGTGTCGGTTGGATTGGGATTGGAACGCAGGTGCGTGGAGACGCAGACTATTTCCATGCCTGGGTCGCAGGTTGGTGCGATCTGGGTTTGGTGTTAGTGAGTATGTCTAAGTGGAATGGTAGGAGGTGAGGTGAGGAAGAGGAGATCAGACATACGTTGATTTCCCACTGAAGAACTTTCTTGAAGAGAGAGACGGGGTAGAAGTACAAGCTCTGGTACATCTCCATAAGCGGTCGAGTGAGGAGGTAAAAGCGAGTGACGATGGCTGGGAATCCGGGACCTGCTCCGCGTGCGGCCCAGAAGAGATCCGGGTGGGAGTCGTTGTTGATGAGCAAGTGTTGACCGTCGGCTGTCACGACTTCCATGCTGATGACGGATTCACATGCCCAGCCCCAGTTCTGTGTTTTTCAGGATTCATGTCAGCATCCTTACCTTCATCCCCCTTTGTTTTTCCTTCCGGCGGAAAGAAAACGCTTCCTCATATCCATAACTTCCGTCCAGTTGCAAAAACTCACCTTACAATTCCACCCCATCCCCCCTTGCAACAAAAACCCTCCCAGCCCAACATCAGGGCAATGTCCTCCCGCAAACATCCTCCCCTTTTCGGCCAAGAAATCATTAAGTTCCCTTCCCGTCATCGCCGGCGGACACGCCACCACTTCCGACTCTTCATCATACCAAACACACGCCTCCGCCGGTCCTCTTTGGTCCGCATCCTTCACCAACTCCTCCGTCTGCCCATACGCACCATGATGCCCATGATGTCCATGTCCCTCTCTTAAAGAAGGAAGCCCATCCGACAACCCCAACTCACATAAATCAACCAACACCGCATCCCCCCTCACGCTCCACGCCGCCCAACTGTGGCCGCCGCTTCGCACACTTACGCGCTTGCCTGTGACCTTGGCGTAGGAAACGGCGGCTATTACTTCGGCGACGGAGCGCGGACGGACGACGGCGTGTACGTGCGGGGTGAGGGAGTAATCGCGGCGGTGGTTGAAGACGCGGCCCCAGACGGCGTCTGTGAATTCGGTGGAAGATCCGGATGAGGAGTGGTTGAAGACGGTGTTTTTGGGGAGCGAAGGAGGATGGTATGGGTGAGAATCGATTTCCATTTGGTCATCGTGGTTTTCATGTTTGTTGTCGGCTGCGGCAAAAGCTGCTCGGTCTCTGGCGGCAAAGCATGAGAGGATCCATGCTGGGATGGACGATAAGGAGGAGGAGGACGAGGAGGTTGATGGGTGGGAGGGTTGGGAGGTGATGGATAGGTGGTCTAACTTCTGGGCGAGGGGCTCCATTGTGGGCTTCTTTTGAGGAAGCAAAACTTGACGGATCGACCGATGAAGGTTTGTTTGCCCTTCTGTCCTAGGTTGTCAACGTTAAAGACAGCTGAATGAAGCTGAGGATGAGAGTATCATCGTTGCAACCGACCGTCTCACTGCAGCCCGAACCCCACACTATGACGGTCTAAACCCGCTAGCGGACAACAGGATCAACAAGCAAGCAGACGCCCGTAAGTGGCTGGTGATTGATGATCCATCTGGACTCTGCAACCTAAACCTCGGTGGTTCTAGTATAGATTTGTTGGTGTTGACATGATGGGAAATGCTCGCTTGGGCGATGAAGATGCTCTTGAGTTCAGGGTTCCATGGTGCCAATTGTTCCAGGTCGTTATCGTTCCATAGAGGTAAGTGAAGAAGCGCCTGAAGCGCCTGAAGCCACTGTAAACGCAGCGCTGTTGCCGGTGCTAGAGCGGGTGGGTGTCTCGGAATGGCGGATTCCAGAAACGGGGTGTAAACATTCTCGAAGCACGGGTTAGGGTTTGTCGAACGAAATGGGCCTTCAACAACGATGACGAGGACACCATGAAAGTCTATGATCGATCGCCACGTAAATATTCCATCTTTGTCTTCATGTATAGCTTAGAGGAGACTTAGTATCAGTCAACTGCTCATTATGATTCTGTGCAAGAGAGACAAAGTTCAACAGTCTTTTTTTGTTGGGTTGGAACCAGCCGCTGGCGGTCTTGCCTTAGCAACTTCGTCCTAGGAGTTTGCAGCCATACTGCAAGGATTGATGGCTTTTTTTCCTATAGAAAGCTATTTCTATGTACTGAACGGCGTAGGTTTTTTTTTTCCCCTTGCAGCAACACCTAATGAGAGGAGACTTTGCACGATACAGAAATCAGGAAATATGGTAGCTCAAGGCACTACATTGGTATAACAGAAAAGCTAAGTGCCTGTGTAAGTACAATGACTACTGATGAAATGAAAAAAGACTTGACCAGCAAATCATCGAATCTGTCCCTAAAAAAGTGATTCGAGTCCCATATGTCTGCTAGATGACGGGGGTATGTCTGAATGTAACATCGACCGTGTCTCGGGCGAGAGAACCAAGCCAAAAGATGATACATGCGATGAGATGAAAAAGCCAGGAAAAAAACAACTCCCGATATGCTCCAAGATCCACCTCACCTAACACCATGTCCGAGATACCCCAGTCGAACAAATTGCCTGCCTCACCCAACTCCGGCAACCCATGTCCATAGATGATGCAATATGATGATCTAGACTCCCAAGAAGAGAAGTTAAGTTGAAGCTGTCGAACCTTACACAGAAGGCTTCTTGACCGAAAGGGGACGGCCCACCTCGTGCAACTCGCAAATCCACTTGTACTGGCGTTGTTCGTCTCCCTCAAGGCCACTCAATTCTCTCGGGGTATGGACCCTTTTCGCTTCCGCGGCCGAAAGGAATCTCGTAACTCAACAAGAAGGGCAAAGTGCCGTTGACGAGAGGACTGCCGGTCTTGGGGTCACGCTTGAGGGTCAGGTGTCCTTTATCGTCATACTGGTAGACGAAGCCGGCCGTCAGAGCGCCCATCTTGACAGCAAGGTCGATGATGTGGGGCTTTCTCCTGAAACTCTTTCTGGCGGTGCTCGGGGCTTCCCTCCATGACTCCAGCCCAAAAGGCTCTCTCAGACTCCTCAAAGTTGTTGGGAATTTGCCAGTTGGAGTTGAAGTCCTCGCCGGCGACCATCTGGATACGGTGCAGGCCGATGCCGAAAGGCAGAGGGAACGAATCCTCCCAGTCAACGATGCCCATGACCTCGTGGGTATCGGGGTCGACAATGAGGTTACCGGCCCAGAGGTCGGAATGGGCCATGAACAGGGGAAGTTCGCTGATCTTGTCTTGGTGACGCAAAATCTCCATGGCCAGGGATCTGTAGGGCTTCATCTCAGGTTCGAGGGTGAACAAGAAAGGGATCAGAAAAGGAAGCACCCGTGTCACGACGGCTTCATGGCTCTTGTCCTGGATGTAGCCTTGGGCCAGGGCGCGACCGAGCGAGTTGCATAGCTTGGGAGAATGTGGACGCCCTGCTCCTGGACAACCTGGGTCCAGGTTTTGCCAACAATGCGGTTGGATGCGTAGATCCAGGACTTCTTGTTGAAGTCTAGCGGGTCGGTGATGACGGCGACCAGGCGGATGTTGGGGACGTATCGGTCGAATCCGGGGCAGCTTCTGGCGCGCTCAAAGGGCGTGGTGTCGAGAGAGCGGAGGCGGAACTGGATGACGATGTCGGTTCCTTCGTTCATGGAAACGAAGACAGTCTTGCTGTCAACTCCCTGGTGCTTGCAAAAGGTGGCATCTGTTGCTTTGGCGCCTTGTTCGCTGAAGACGTTGGCCATGGCCTTGGCCAGCTCAAGCTGCTTCGTCTTGGCGTTGAGACACTCAGGCAGATGCTCAGGAGTAACCCGACTGTACGGGTTATCCTCGACGTTGAAGACCTCTTCTTTGACCATGGTTGTATTGTGGAAGTTAACGAGTGATGGAGTGGTGAGTCCAAGCGGGGATCCAGTCGCAAAAAGGTTGGAAGGGCGAACGTGGGTTGTGTCGCAGAGGAGGACTTTAAGGTGTCGGGAAAATTGAGCTTACGTCGCCTATTGATTGTGGTCGGAGCAATGAGGCTCGCGCTTGATGTCCACGAGAGTTTGTAACTTGGTCACTGACACGTTGTGCTGGCAGGTCGTTGGTAGACCAGAGAGTCGTGACACTGTTGTTGGCAGATGTGTGGTTTGATGCGCGCAAACAAGAGGAAGAAGATAGTAGCCCGACAATGGGAGATACGACCTTCCCTTTTTACGACTGTTTGACGCTTCCTTCAATAAAGGACTAGTTTTAGCTCTGATTGCGTATTGAAACGCGATAGCGGTGATGGAAGTTGGATATTGCAAGGGGTTTTTGCGTTGGTTGTGCGTGGGTTTAGACATACCTCTGGCTTTCCAAGTGTTTCAGGAGACAGCGGTAATTGGAAGAAGGCAGTTTTCGTCCCTCGGTGAATACGTATCTGCTCCGCAAAATAGACGTTGACTCGACTTGCGCCGGGTTTGCGACGAGATAATGTGGGGGGAAGTAATGTGGACAAAAGGCTGGTGGTTGGTTTTGACGAGCACTGGACTTGCTTGTGTCCTCTTCTGGTAACGGCCCAAGGAGCTCAGAATAAAGAGATACCTCGGAAAGGAATCTTGTGGGTTCGCTCGTGGTGCAAATGAGGAAGACAATGGAGGAAGGAGCTAAGGAGGCTCTTGAGGCCCGTGACTGCACCGTACCTCCTGCCTCCCGGCCCGTTCCACCTCCACTTGATACAGATACAGCTTTCCTTCCTATTTCGTATTCACGTGCTGGTCTAGGTTTATCTTCCATCCCACAAGACGAGCCTTCTCCGATAATTTGGCGTTTCAAGCGGTGTGCAATCCTTCCAGAAAGAGCCAATGTGGCCGTACAAGTGCAAGATAAGGCAACGGGCCTTACACAAAGGATGCTCGGGAATGACAAGTACTCCCAGCAAAAGGAAGATCACGCAGCATAGAAACGACGACGGGACTTTGAAAAGGCTGCATTGATGAGGCTGAAATGTGGGAGTACAAGAATGGGATGAAGGTGGTTCGAATGACGTAGGGCAATAAGAATGCAAACGCAGATGCTTCGGACGATGCTTCTTCCTAAGATCGAGAATGGAACGTCACTGACGCTGGAAGATGTCAGGCCGACTCACTCGAGACGTCGAAACAACTGTACAAAAACATGAAGCTGAGGACAAGCCATCAAAATGTTGTGCGAGATCTTCCTTCACACACAATCACCATTCACTCCAGTCCACCACTACTCCTTCTTCTCCCCCTCACCATTCCTCCAAAGGGTATACCCATAATGCCATCCCTTCCCACCCATATCCATCCTCACCTTATAATTCTCCTCCGCCACCCTCAACACATCAAAGTCCACATCAACAGTCTGCATCTCCTCCATCTCGGCGCCCATCACTCCTCCCTTCATCCCTCCCACAGCAGTCGCAATACCCTCTTGGCCCTCTTCTTCATCCTCTTCACCACCAAGCGCAACAGGCGGCAACACGCCCTTAAGCGGCAACGCAACCTGGCTCATCCCGCCGGCATTACAAAACACAATCGCCGCCGTGTTCTCGCACGCCCTTGTGACACACACGCTCTCCAGAAAGATCTTCTCCGCATCCCTGTTGATCTTCCTCGCCTGCTCGTCCACGTCTGTAACCCACCAGTATGAAGGCACGACGATGATATCGGCGCCGTCGGCGATCAATGCCCTGAAACCCTCGGGGAAGGCGAGGTCCCAGCAAATCAACAAACCGGCTCGAATTGGTACCTGGGTTCCGTTTGGGCCGGGTTTTGTGAGGGGTGTGTCGAAGGCCAGATGCGGCTTGTGGCGCTTGATGTCCCCCGCTGTTAGGTGCGGCCGCTCGGGGTGCCAGAGGTTCATCTTCTGGTAGGAACCGGCGAGGGAGCCCGTGGTGGCGGAGATCCAGTAGGCCATGTTGCGGATCTCGATGGGCTGGCCGCGCCAGGTCGCGGGCTCTTGCTTGCCTTCGCTGCTGTCGCCGTCATCGCCTTCGCCTGCCGAGGTTTCCTTATCCTTATCCTGGGAAGTAGAAGATGATGAAGAAGCGGGGTGGACTTCGCAGATGGTTCCGGGCACGATGTTGATGTTGAGCTCACGTGCCAGAGACTGGTACCGAGCTAGGTAGCTGTTGTCGGCGGAGGATTCGGCGCATGCTGCGACGAAGGACGGGTGCTCGGGACACCAGGCTGTCAGGTGGTACTCCGGGAGCACGGCGAGGTGGGCGCCGTTGGAGGCGGCCTTGCGGATGTAGGACTCTGCTTTTTTGAAGTTCTCCTCAACGGCCACGTCCTATCGTTGTATCAGTTCCGTATTGTGTATTTAAAATTGTACAGTCGTGAAGCTGTGGTGTCATGCGGTTTTGTTTACGGTGGTGATATGGTTATGCAAGCATGAAGGGTTGGGGTTGACTGAGCATCTCGGGGAAGTGGAGTGGTGATATCATTGATGTTCCCGTCTCGTTCGAGATATTCGGCGTAAAAAGGGGACTTCGACACCACTACATACCTTTGGTTGAAACTGGATGAGAGCAATCTTGTAGTTTGGCGCCATCTTTGTAGTTGTTTGTGTTTACTAGAAAATGAGTGTGATGGTTGGTGTGTTGTTCTTGTATAGGTTGGGTGAATCAGGTAGACTTCAGTTGTCATTCCAAGCTTTCATTTAATAGCTTGGTGCTTGGATGTTGACATCCACCAATGAAAACAAAGTTCCTTTCATCCATAAGGTAACATGAACAACTTCTGAAAAGCTGGAGATAAGTGCATACTAGAACATGTTGGCATTGAAATGATCGATCATTCCGATACCATGGATATACATAATCTTCAGAAAACGTCATCATGGCCAATTGCTGTTGGTACATTAACGGGAAGAGGTTATAACATATGATCAAATTGTTAAGCACTTATCGCAACTAGAACGGGAAACTAGACCTGGGCGGAATAGGGTCATGATTTCAATTCCTTGTTTCATTTATTGTCTTTTACTGCCCAAGGCAGGCAAGGTTAGAAGTTCGGAGCCGGAGAGAAACTTCACCGAAAACCGGTCATCGACAACATACAATCTAATGCTTGTTTGTTCATTTGTTAGATTTTTCCTCCCATCATATTGGACGAGATCTATCCTAAACTGTCCCAAACCTTACACTCCCACCTACCTTTGAGACAGAACCATCTCGCAATGTGGGTGCCCAGCAATGGATTAGAGAGGATTACCAGTCTTATATCAGAGCGAAAACATCCACAAGGTACCAATGGGGAATATGATGATCAACGTCGATTCTTCATGCCGATGCATCTGCTGGCAATTTTGCGGGTTCTTTTCATGCACTTGTTCGCCATGTACCATGCGGTTTAACCCGCAAAACCAAAGTCAACTTTCGCTTATATCGAGGTGATATGTTATTGTTATCATTGTCGTCGAAATCGCCGTGCTCTCTCGCATGTCAAATCGACTTTGATCTTCGTAGTTGTCGCTGGCGATATGCTCATCGAGGAATGCATAATATAATCTTTCCGTTTGTGTTCACAAAGAAGTTGCTCTAGTATGCCATGACCGATGCCAATCCCAACCAACCAACCGACCGTTCGACCAATCTACCCACCCACTAACCACTCGCTTCGCCGCAAACGCCGTGTCATTCATATTTGGTCCCATTCGTTCAAGATTGTGTGTATGCATGTTGTTTTATATCGTGTACGACTGATTTAGAGAATAGTTCCGAAGCTGTGTGTGACGTTCCGTGTTAGTGCACCTTACAACGCATGGACAAGAACAGGAGAGACCCAAACTTACCCAAAAGTCCTCTTGATGCTGCGGACGTAGTACTCAAGCCAGTTGTTCTTGGTAACCTCCTCCTGGCCGACGGGGACGCCGGTCCACTCGACACGCATAACAGTGACCTTGTCAACATCGTTCTGGTCGAACTCGATCTTCAGGGTCGAGAAGTGACCGGCGGGCCACTGCTGAAGACGCCACTTCTGGACAATCTTGAGTGGTTCCTGAAGCTCAACGAACTCGCCGACCACGTTTCCGCCAAAAAGCTCGAACTTGCCGCCCGCCTTGGCACCCTCCCAGACCTTGGGAGGAGCGCGAGTGAAAGCGGCGATACGGCCGGCGTCGGTGAAGGTCTGGTAGAGCTCCTCAGCGGTGGTGCGGAACTCCTCGTTATCGGTGACAGTAGTGGTGTTGACCTTGACGGTGCCGTCGCTGCTGGTCTGGGTGGAGGTGCCGGCGGGCGCGCTCGAGGTGGAAGCCTGAGGAACGAACTTGGGGGTGGAGAAGCCGCTCGAGGGGTTGGAACCGGGAGCATGCTGGATATCCTTGCCGTGCTCGGCGATGAGGGCCGGGGAGAGCTTCAGGAACTCCTTGCGGAGCTGGGGAACAAGCTTGTTGCGCACAAGGTCCTTGACGGGCCTCTTCTCGTTGGCATCCGAGTAGATATCAATATCGAACACGAACTCGTCCTCCTCCAGCTCATGGGACACCTCGGGAACGGTAATGGTGCCCGAGACATCGTCGTCGGTGGCAGTGGAGCCTACATGCGAAACGGAGTTTTAGCCCGCGGTCCTTCAATTTTCTTCACGTCAAACAGCAGCGGGTGCAGTGGCAAGTCTATCTTTTGTCTCTCTCAAGGTGCAATGATGATGGCTCTATTCTATTACGGATCAACGTACCTGCGTACTCCAGGGTTAACTTGACATCAAAAATGGTGATCACTTTTCCCTTGCGCTGCGCAACATCGACATCTCCATCCATGCTAATAATCTTGCTAATCTTGGCAGTCACATCTCCCTCCTTGGCCTCAAGCTTGGTGAGATTATCCTCGAACCACTGCTTGGCCCATGGGGTGGCATCCTTGTTGACCCAGTGCCAGTTGTTGGGGTTGTGCAGAACCATTTTGACGGTTGTTGTAGATGGGGTGACAAAGTACTACTAAGAATTAGGAAAAGGGAATCTGTGAACCACTGGTTAGCGCAATGCTTTGGCAAACAACGTCATTTTAATGTGCGCAAAAAGTGGTGTGGAAAAGGCTTTGATCAGAGATGGTCCTGGTAGACCGCAGCGTTTGTCATCAAGGGAGGGAGTACAAGTCACCCTATGACTGGTGCCAGCTGAACAATCATCATAAAAGCCGTGGTGTCGCGGTGTTGCGGTGTCGGTCGGCACAATTGCTTGCTTGCTTGTGTGGCCATGCAATATGTTGCGCGGGATTGAGGGAAGACGGAAAAGAGAGGGATTGCGGTCTTACCTTTTAAAACACAAACAAATAACGGTTTGGGGTATTGATGGTCGTTGCTGTCGTCAATCGGAGAGAACAAGAAGTAGTGTCCAGGTGAAATGGGCGAGGTTCGCCGGAGAAGAAAAACAAAACACGGAAGAGTCGCAAGTCGGGGAGTTTTGTTTAGAAAGCTCTAGAAAACTGACTCGGCTCCATTTGGGCGGACAGCAAGGGCAGTAAGGCTGACCTATGCTTTAAAGCTATGACCACCATGCCAGCACGCGGCGGGGTAATGTCGGGCCTGAGCTGAGGCACCGCTCTCTTGGCAGGTGTCTCAGTGGAGCTGTGCAGCGTTGCAGCTGGTGCCTTGCAGCTGTCCAGCCAATTGGACACAAGGCCAGCCTTGTCTTCTCTCGGTTTCTGGACATGTTCGATGCGTCTCGCTGGACATCGTCAACAACCTCACTCTTCGAAGATATAAACCCCGATCGATTCCGGTGAAACCGCAATCATTAATCTCTTCCATCCAGTGTTCACATTTCGAAGATGAGCCAACTCTCGACAAGACCGACACCAGCTCCCACGTCTCGGGATCTATCTTTCCAAACGCCATGTCTTGAAGAGATACATATCTATGGCTGGTCATGAACATGAATCATTCAGATTCGTCAACAAGGCACAAACGGTAGGTTGAATGTCTGAGATATCGAGGAGTCCAGTGTTCATTCTATATCTCCCAATCAAGGTACTCGTCCATTCAACCTCTCGATGGATGGAACGATCAAATTCGGGAGATAAAGAACTGGCATGTTCACCTTGTGGTCTGGCGCCGACAAACTCGCCAGTATCACCATGTCGGCATGCCTAAATGCCTTTAACAAATTTCCCTCCTCTTAGTAATTCTGCCATTACCCAGCACCTAATCGACTCTCTCTTCGCAAACCCGGTCAGCTCGCAATGCTAGAAATGTCACACAATCATTCACTGACAGGAACATTGTGGCGATCAGCACTATCGATATGCAGATAACACTGCTATTTATAGGCATATTGTGTTGTTCCTGGGTTTCCCGAATTCGTGAGGGACAACAACATGGCAAAGATTCCAAAGCCCAAAGAACATGTGAACCTCAGTCATCACGAAATCTGAGAGAACGATTCCTTCAAGATCTCGCGGACTGCCTGTGGAATATTTGCTCTGTGCAAGCATGCTCGACATTAATGATCAACACGCACATCTTGCAGCTCGGCACTTGGACGCCTCCATGTCTGACGAGCGGCCGGCTGGATGCGCTATCCAGAGTCAGGTCCGTGGTCCTGGAATCGATATCACAGAGACATGGACTGGGCCTGTTTCACAGACGGGCCCGAAAGAGCTAGCTGGGATCTTCAAGTGTCTTTGTTGTGTTCACTGTGTTGCGTCCGATTGAAGTTGTGTGAAGAACCATCGTCTGATGATAGCTTGGCAAAAAAGTCTCTACAAAAACCAACCTGCCAATGATGCTGTGCACTACTCATATTCCCGGCCCTTGAACACTATTCACCATCGATCGGTTACCCACATCTTTTCACGTGGATGATCCGGATGATCGAGGACGACATCGATTTGGGACTATTTTCGACATCATTGTCTAACGAAAGCTACCTCAACATGGTCGTCAACGGGGCACTCCAGTGGGTCCATGGTGCTAATGCATCTTTAGAGCTTCTCTCGAAAAGGCTGTCGAATCACATTTTCCAAAAACAGCAAGGGGTTAAGCGCCGGCAACCATATCACGGATCCAACGAATCACGGACAAAGTACGGAGTTTGGAGTTTCGCCCTTGATCCAAGAATAGATTGCTCGGACACGCCATTTTCATTTCTCCAATCGCCTCGGAGCTGTGTTCTGGACTTTCGACTTTTTGAGTGATGCAAAAACCTCCATATCTCGGCCGAAGAAGAGAAAAAAAGAATAGTTTGGCCATGAACTTTCAGACTCAGCTCTGGGCAACGATATCCGGTGGAGTTTTCGGTCGATGATTTGCATGGGATACCGTACACTACGGAGTTGCTGTGGGATGGACTCCTCTCCGCTTCATTAGAAGCTTTTGCTTGCTCTCTTGACCACACACACCCAACCTCTTTGGGAAACGATATCGGTACAAACATGGCAGCACCTTCTCTGATGTTTTACCGGCTGCCTATCAGCTTGTCACCATTCATCGCGGGGTAGACTGTAGCACGACTCAGTGCCTAGCCAACAGTAACACGGGCACACCATCTTCTCCCCCAAGTCAGGGGCCACTTCCGGATTCGTCTCCTTTTAGGCCTGGGCTTTCTGGTGCCTATCGTGAGTTGGGCTACTCATAGATATAACCATTTGCCCATCTGGACACCATGTAGTCGGGAAAACGCACAGAGGCAGCCTTGACGGTGTCAAACTGTCAGGAGATACTGGAGGATAGCGTTGGCCACCTTATTAATTGACAGCAGGAGAGGCCAGAGCGAGAGTTGCAACCGTTTCCGTGCACATGTTCCCGTCCGTCTGCAACCCTCACTGTATCCGCAATTAAGCATGTGTGGTCGGTACCATGGTATGGACGGGCATCGTACACATCACGGTTTCATCTCTTGGAAGCTGTGATAACAGACGACGGGGAGCTATAGGGGGCCAGCAGTATCACCATGTCGGAAGACCACCTCTTCTTGGAGAAAGGCCGGCCTCCCAGTTGCCAAGATCGACCAGTCGTCTAGGCCAGTTTAAACGGGAGGCCGGCTCCCGCGTTTTATGCATTGGCAATGCTACACAACTAGCTCGCCGCTCGCGAGACCTACAGACCGGGGTTCTTGTGCTGGTTAGCCTATGGAGTTCGAGTCTACACAGTACATCTATGTAGTGTGAGCGTTGCCGCACTAGGGCGCGGCCTGGGGCGACCTCTCCCTTTCTTTCACCTCCTCACAAACATTTCAGCGGTCCGCTTATACAGCCCAACTCGACGAACTGCACTTCATCTACCACTTGCGCAAGCGGTGGATGCAACCTCCCAGCTGTTTCCTCAGCCGCGCCTTCATCAAACAGGTTGACCCAAGGCTCTAATTGGGGTCCTTTGCCATACCGTCAATAACATTGTTCTGGCAAGCGGTATCGTTCTGTGATGGCCTGGCCCTAAACAACAGCGACCCCACGTTCCGACCGCTTCCGAGTGTGAATGGAGTTGTGACGACGAATTTGAAGGATTATGCTTGGTGCGGGTTCGAGGCACGGTTTTGGGGATCAATAGGCATCCGGCACGCCGTCGACATCTCATCCAACACTACTACCGATATCCCGTTGTTGTTTTTTGGTCTAAAAGGGTTTACAGTCAGCCCGCAGGTCCTTGTGTGGACGTTGTGGTACCGTTCGAGCTAAATCAGGAACATCTCTCGACGACCCTCGGCCATGAGTTCCTCACGAGATCCCACGGCGCGCCTCCGCGCCGGCCTCAATCCCCTCTTAACGGCATCACTGGGGGGATATCACGGCCATCACGCCAACACACCGCTCTCGGCCGTGTCCATGTCTTCTCACGCCTTCTCATCGCATCAGACGCCTCTAAGCGCAATTCAACCATACAATCCTCAGGAATGGGTTGCGTCTCCGGTCATAGGGCCCGGTTCTGATCGTATGCAGCAGTTCCCACCACCACAGGGTCATCCTTATCTAGAGCCTCCTCAAGGTAAGTAAACCAACAAAAGAATGTTGATCTCATGACTATGCTGACTATGTTAGCAACCCCTCCACCTCCGCCCCCGTATTCACCTCCACGCAGCGCAAGACCGATGAGTATGGTACTAGAGCCGTCTCACGGGGCAAACATCTCGGCAGCCCGAGCTCCACCACCACCGGCACCGCCAGCTCAACGGCCTCCGACAGAGCCACCCGTTGCAACTGCGTCGTTTCCACCTCCGCCTGGCACGAGAGAGTCGTCACGAGAAAGGCGGTTTGGGTTTCCGTCATTGAGCAGGCGACGAGAACAACAGACAAGCACTCCCGTAGAGGCTCATCCGCCAGTCCGACACCAAGGGCTCATGTCTCGGGTTATGAATGGGAACGCGAACTCGCCGAGACCTTTGACGTTGCAAATACCCCAGCCAGAACAAACCCCAAGTCTAGCCCCCGCGGCACGAAGAGCAGTATCAACGCCTGCGGTTGCTACACCGACATCAGCCAGGTCCCGGTCGTCATCTCAGGTGCGATGGGACTCTGCGATGGCAGTTCCGCCTCCTCCACCGGGCCCTCCGCCGTCTTCAGCACGATCCCAAAGCACACAAAGCGTTCAGAGGTTTCCTTCTGGAAGTGACCCCATCATGTCACCTCCCACTCGCAGGCCACCTCCCAGTGGAGTTACTGCTTTGGGGCCTGTTCCGCCTACACCAGCAAACTGGCAGGATACTGAGGTTATGTCGAATGCTCAGGCCCAAGCCCGAACACCGTCTCCTGATAACAGAGTACCTGCTGCAACGGAAACTTCCAGTGTTGCAAGTTCCAGTGTACATCCCCAATCAGTAGCGTCTTCAGAAGCTTCGATGGGTTCGCTGGCTAGGACTTATGCTCAGAGAACCGACAAGTCAATCCGCGAGCGAAGGACGGAAAGCCGGACCAGAGGGAGCGTCCGTAACTCGATGGATGGGTCGCAGGACCTTTCGGATATTGTCGTTCCAGGCTCGGGTGGATTACAGAGACGGTTGACAATCACCCGAGGGACACCGAGGTCTAGTCGAATGAGTGACGGTCCCAGGACAGGAGAGTCGGTGGACAACAGCCACGAGTCTAGGGGTACCACACCGCGGGCCATGGGTTCGAATCAGAATCACTCTGGCCAGCTAACCCCGACAGGACTGTCATCGGAAACCCATCGGTATACCGAAGACCACCAGGCCCTCGCACCAAAGGCTCTTCCGACACCACCCACGGGAAGCCGAGCGTCTTCGACTTCTCATGTGCCCGCCACTCATCTGACACGACACTCGGTCATCAGCCAGACTAACGAGCAGTTCACGCAAGCAACTATCGACCGGTTCACCGCTTTTGCACAGAAAGAAATGACGGCATCGAGTGATGCCGAGCGAGTGCGCCTGTTTGCCGAGTTTTTTTGTCAGTGAATCCAGGATACGAAGGGAAAGATATGGTGCGGCTATAGGGGCCATGGGCTCCGAGATCCTCGATCTCACTCGTGACCTGTTCCGACCGATGGACACCCACAACCGACGAGAATCCTCGAACTCTGCTACAAGCGGAGTTATTGACCTGACCACACCGCAGTCCTCGGAGCCCAGGTCACATCGCGGTTCTATCGGCTCAGTCTTCAGTGGAAATGCCAATAGCCATGGCCAAACGCCGATCACGCCCTCGAGTGCCAGTCAGCCGATGACGCCAGGGAGCAGCGGGAATACGCCAAATGCCAACAACTGGCCGACTTCGAACTACATGCCCTCGCTGTCGCCCATCCTTAGCATGAGCGTGAGCGATGCGGTGGATGAGCAGGACTCCCGAGGACGTCCGGCAAGTCGATGGTGGGAAGCGGACTCCAGCGGCGCACCATCAACCAAGATGGAACGATCAAAGAGGGAATCCAAGTACATGGGCGTCCCCAAGGAGGCCCGAGAAGCTCTCCAATGGATTGACGACGCATCAGCTGGGCCGAGTAACAACCAGCACTGCTCCGACTCCGAATACCCCCCTGAGAAGGTTGGGTGGCATGAGCAAGACCAAACGACGCCGGCACCCCAACAGCAATCAGCTCGCAACTCAGTATTATCCAACTACTCAACCCCCAGCACCCCTAACCCAGCGCACCTAGATGTCTCTCGCCTGGTGACCCTCCCACCCCCGTACCCACGCCACCACCCAGCCGTCAACAACAACCACCCGGAGCTCACGCAGACCCGCAGCTCCGTGCGCATCATCAGCGACATGACTGAGATCGACTCCATCAAAGCGAAATTCACGCAAGCCAGCACCGCCGCGCGCACCTCCGCCGCCGAAGCCGCCAAACAGCGGCGCGCCGCCCTGCGGCAAAACCTACAATCGGAAATCGCCTCCGGGGCAATCGGCTACGCCGACGCGGCGGCCATCGAAACGGACGCCAACAGCGCCGAAAAGGAGCGCATCAAAGACCTCGAAAAAGCCGACTTCGACAATTTCCAAACCGCCGTCGTCGTGCCCGTCAACGAGATCTTACAAACGCGCATCACAAAAGCCACTGAGCTCTTCGACTCGTTGCGCTCGCGCCTCTTCGACGAAACGCACACCTCCAACCCCAACCTGCCGCAAGAAGAAGGCGACGAGCAGCCCGAACTCTTAGAAAAACTGACTTTGCTGAAATGGATCTTCGAAGCGCGCGAAACGCTGCACCGCGCGCTGTACGATCTGCTGTCGGATCGCAACGACCGCTACCGCGAAGTCGTCCTAACTCCCTACCGCCTTTTACATAACCAAGAAGACAAGATCGCGAGCGCTACGACTTTCTTCGCCGAAGACGCCGCCAAGCGCGCGCTCGCTTACCACGAGGAAGTCCTCCATCGCACGCAGCTGTTCCGCGACGTAGTCGAGGAGACGGTCGTTCGGGGAGTGGAGGCGCAGCTTTCTGCGTTTTGGGATATCGCCCCTCCCCTGAAAAGGTTACTCGATAATATCCCTCCCAGTTTGGAAGGTTTTCAGATCCAGATCCCACCCTCAGAATACGACGAGAACCCGAGCTACGTGGAACATCCCCTGCAGTACCTGTTTTCGTTGTTGCTGCATGCGGAGAAGAGCACGTATCAGTTTATCGAGAGCCAGACCAATCTGCTGTGTTTGTTGCATGAGGTTAAGGAGGCGTGTGTTAGTGCGAAGGCGAAGGTGATGGAGAGTGATGGACGGGATGGGGCGAGGGTGGAGCAGATGAGAGGGGAGGAAGGACAGAGGTTGACGGAGGATTTGAAGGAGAAGGTTAGGGTGGTGCAGGATCAGTGGAATGAGGCGCTCGGAGAAACGATTGGGGGCGTTAAGGAAAGGGTGGGCGGGTGGCTGTTGGAGACGGGCGGGTGGGATGAGAGTTTGGAGGACGGGGGTGTTGGTGGGGCTTGAATGAATGAGGAATGGGAGATTGTGAAGAGGAAAGAAGGATGGAGAAAAGAGGAGGAGTAGGAGGAGAAGGAGAAAGGATATGGCTTGAGAAGAAAGCTGTGGTAAGCGGTAATGGGGCTTTTTTGTCTAACTTTCTTTTTGGACATCTTGCTTCTTGAAGGACTTTGACGTACGTTACTTAAGCCGCTTCTTTGGACTTTGGATACATCGTTCGTTTTTTTGTTGATACCCCCAAATAAGCACAAATTTACAGATCAACGTAGATAAAAAAAAGATTTTTGTTCACATCTATTACATCTTCGCGTCAAAGGCACAAGTTCACATGCTGCACCAACTTGGAGAAGGAACCATCTTCTATGTACCAGACGATCCATTCAATCCACGGCTCTCCCAACGAATTTCCCCCGCGAGAACAGAAAACCATCAGGACGCCAAACACCGCCTCAATACCCAAAATTCAAACCCACCTAGTTACTCCTTCCCCTCAGGCTTCACAATATCCCTAACCTTAAACCTCGCAATGAAGTTATTCTGCTTGACAAACCAAGCATTGACAATCTCCCACTCCCTGTTCGGATCATCGAATTCGATCTGTTTCACCCTAGTGTGTTAGCCACCTATCCAGTCTGCAGATGCAAAGAATGAGAAGAAAACAAGGGGGTAAAAACTCACCTCAAACCTCCTCAACAAACTCGGCACTAATTTATATATCTCCAACAAGCTAATATTCTTGCCAATACACGTCCTGCTCCCCATGCCAAACTGGAACATATGGCCATTCATCGTCTTGATTCTTTTTTCCTCTTCTTGTTTCCTCTTCTCCCTCTTCTTCTTCTGTTCCTCATCCCCCTCATCCCCTCCCACTTCCTGTTCCAGCATCTCCTCATCAACATCATCATCAACCAACCACCTCTCCGGCCTGTATTCCTCCACCTTTGGTCCAAAGGTGTTCTCATCCCGATGCAAAACCCACGCACTAACCCCCACCACCGTCCCCCCCTTCACAAACTCCCCCGGAACAATCTCCATCCCTTGCGGCGGCACTACTCGCTCCATAGGCAGTCCAGGCGCAGGATGTAATCTAAACGCCTCCTTGACGCACGCATCTAGGTACGGTAGTGTTTGCGCCTCGGCCCAGGTTACCAGACCGGTTTCGTAATCGCTAAACCTCCCCTGGCGCGCAGCTTCATCAATCTCTTCCCTCAACCGAGCGAGCGCCTTGGGATTGCGAAGCAGGTAATAAAACACAGCAGACAGCGAAATCGCCGTGGTTTCCGAGCCGGCAAAGGCCATGGACACGGCCATTGTCTGGACCAGCGTGTCGGTCATGAAATTGGGGCGGGCGGCGCGGGCGGCGAGGAACTTGGAGAGCAAGTCGGGGGTTTGGACTTTGAGGGTGGCGGGTTTTTCGGAAGTAGGCAGGATGGCGGCTTTTTCTGTCTGCAGTTCGGGGAGGCGCTCGGCCATGCGCGCGCGCGCAAAGGCGGCGACGGGCATGGTGCCGTTTAGAAGACCCCATTGGGAGAGTTTGAGGTAGAGAGGGTTTTTGAGGAAGAGACGGTCTAGGAGGGGGATTTGGCCGATCTAGTCACGGAGAGAGGGGTCAGGCTTGGTACCTAGGTAGGTATGAAAGCGAGGAGAGGAGAGGGGAGCAGAGGATTGTAGGACGACTGGACTTACCGGAGCGACGTAGTTAAACAACTTGGTCAGATACGAAACGATCCCGTCGATATCCTCGTTGTGCTCAATGAACCCGTGTCGCTTGCTGTATGTTATCTCACCAATGACGTCGAAGGCATAGAACTGCAACCACCGAGTAAAGTCGCATGCCTTGGCTCCGCCCTCGACGTACAGATTCTCGGTCTGTTTCAGGAAGAGCTTGGTGGTGTTATCGACGAACGGCTCATACTGGACGAGAGCTGACATGGCGAAGGCGGAGTTGACGCAGCGGCGGAATTGCATGTGGAAGTCGTTGTCGGTGGTGCTGAAGAGGGAGGGGAGGTTATGGCCTTTGACGACGGATTGCTGGACGACGTAGAAGTCGGACTGTTGAGGGTCAGTAGACAGCCCAAATAGTCTTTTGGATCACGGCTTCTCTTTCTGGATGAATCTCACCTTCACAAACCCCTTGTTAAGACCGTATATCGTCTTGATGGCCTCCGGATCCGAGAAGGACAATGTGTTGGGCCCAAGACGCACAATGGGGCCATGTTTCTTGTGAAGCGCAATGTGTGTGACTTCTGGCCTCCGCTTATACACATCGATGAACCTCCACCAGTCTGTTAACGAAGCCAAGAACGGACCTGGGTACTTGTTCAGACCGTTGTGATATCGGTTCCTGACTAACCATCCCACAAGAACCGAAAGAAGTATTGCTAGCCAGTGTTGGGCCAGCACTTGTATTATCACGTCCATGATCATCTTGACTCAAACGAAGAAATGATGTGAGGGTAAGAAGGAAGGCGTAAGAAGTGGTGCCCTGAGGCGTCGAGCGTGTGTCTTCCTTTCTCTATGGGATGGACTGCTGATTGGATCGTCTTATGGTTGTTGAAACCGAATATCTAGGAGTTCGAGGTTGAAGGAAAAGGAAGAAGAGGTGATATTAAGTGGGATAAACAACAAATTAAAAGAGAAACGCCCAACCCGTGACGTTTGAACTTATATGTGACTGCCGGTTAACAAGAACCCATGTGGAGGGGGATAGCAGCTCTTTAACGGGTCATGGGTCAAGTAAGAGACACAAGCAAATCCTCCTGGCGGAGAAGAAAGGGAAACTAGGGTAAGTAGGTACTGTGCCGTCAATCCGTCATAAGAAACCCGAGGCTGATCAACCTAGCCATCCCGACCCCAACAACCCCCCCCCCCAGATGCATCTCCCGGTAAGTGTAGTCCTGGGATAGACTTGATGTGTCAAACAAGCAAGCAAGCAAGGCGGAGAAGTCCCTTAGCGTGAGTCTGTTAGGCTGACGGCTCGGTGGTCCTACATCATGATCATGTTGTGTGTAAGTAGGGACTTCCTACTACTTATCTTGCCCCCCAAACAAGCGAGCCATCCCGCACACGCGGGTAGGTATGAACTTGAGCAACCCACCGAACTGTGCAGACACAGATGAGCTGTTATAAGCCGAGCCACTAGACCCCTGGTTTTATAGGATAAGCCAAACACTCGTTGACTCTATTTGCAAGAAGTTTAAGAACTCTATTTGCCGTTTGGGAGACAGACCCTTATGAGAGAGTGTATTGAGTGAACCAGGTAGAAGTTCAAAGCGTATCCTGCATAGCACGGTATTGGTTAACCGGCTTCTCGGAGACTGTATACTTGGGTACCCAGAAGAGGTGTTGGACTAGGAGGTCACAGGGGTGGTGAATGTACACAACCTCCCACTCGTCTTCCACAGTTGGAGGAGGAAGTGCAAGTATCGTGTTATTCGAGTTGCCCATCAATCTGCCAGTTGGAGATGCAGTATGCCATACATGTAAGTTTGATCGTGGATTGCCACCCTCCATAACGGATATGATGAAGGGATATTGGGAGTTCAGTAAGAGTCTTGGATGCGTGTGTCAATTGCAAGGCCGTATAGGCGCGATACTTGCCTGGTATCTCACGATTGAGAGAGACAATGTACGTGTAAGTGAATGGTAGCAACCGCATTCCTAAATTGGAAATAACCAAACACTGCAGGGAACCGAAGCCCCTACAGGTTGGTGGCCACTTCCACAGGCATCACCAAGAAACAGCACTGCCGAAGGGGCCATTGTGGTGGTGGTGGTGGTGGTGGGTGGGGGTTACGCCAACGCCTAGGGAGGGGGGAGGGGCACATACGAGCCAATATCTATCGGCAGATGTCGTATCCAATCGACGACCGCGACAAGTTTGCAAGATTGGCATAGATCCTACCAAGATACGTAAACACAACAACCCATCGTGTTCCCGGAAATGGTCCTGTACAAAGACGTAAGCGGTTTTCGATGGCTTAAAAGGCAGTTGTGAAAAAGGCGGCAGCTGGGCTGTTAGTGACAGCGTTGAATGAATGAAAAGTTTCGGTAATAAGGGATCGTCTTGGCGGCGGTGAACCCGGAGTTGCTCAGCGAGCTCCATTTTGAACGTCTCACGTTCCCTCATGATCTGCTGCCCCATGTATTCGGTTGGTTTTAGCCTCTTGAAGAACGGGAACTGTTCCGTGTAAGTCGAGATGGTGGGCTCTGATTGTGGTGACGGAAATAGATTCCGGGGAGGAACGTCTTATGCTTCACCTCGAGGATTACAGCTTCTAGGTATAAACCCGTTTTGTATAGATCATCGTTAGCAGTCCGTACGACGGACCTGACAGACCCGTCGCTCTCAATCCATCATCTGATAAAACCGCATAATTGTACCCATGTTCTCGGAGTTCGGGAAGTGCCATCATTCTCCTTGAGAGCTGTGACAATCGAAGCGTCAAGGCGTGTCTTCTGTTGTTTCCGTGGTGCGCTTGTAAGCTGCAGCTGAGGAGGAGAAGAACGGCGAAAGGAGCTTGGTCGGTAGAGTCGATACGGAGGCCCCCTGTCTTAGAGTCCTTCGGCAGATGTGAAATGTGCTGTTTGTCTTTCCGGATTTTCAAAAAGCGGTTCTTGGCTGCGATGATAGACGTTTCGGCAATCATGGGTTGATGTCAAAGCACTTGATAGTAGTTGGGAAATGGTTCAAAGGAATGGAGCTCGATTGAGAAAGAGCAAGGAATGGAAGGCAAGAGTAAATTCGAGGGTTGCCACACCTGGTACCCTGGAACTGCATATAATTCGGACAGATGAAGGGCAGCTTATGCAGTGATAAAAACATATGCAAAAAACGGAACCATACTTGGTGGGAGACAGGGATCTGTGACCACGTCTAGGGTTGCTGTTAAGAGCATATCTGGACTTTTATGCAACTATCGATCAGGCAATTTAGTGGGGATTCTGCTCACAACCTTCCACTTTGGATATTGGAAGGAATTAACGACATCAAGTTGCAAATATCGTATGAAGAAATGCTGGAAGTCATCGATTGTAAGTATCTGTCATATCTACCCAGGTACGTAGCCACCCGGGCTCGAGCGCAAGAACCGCGCATCTGGAAATGGGCCTCAGGGCTACCACCCTTCCAGAAATGCATCTGCGAAATCATCCACGACCTATCGGAAGCATATCAAGGCCTTTTTGACTGGTATATATGCCTTCTGCAAAAAGAAAGGAAATAGATGAGAGAATTGCAAGCCGGTTACTTGCTGCCCTCTCACCAGTAGGCAGAGGTAAATATCTCGTTAGAACATGGGGTATCGACCATCAACGCCTACCCGAACACCAAATATGTATACCTGTCAATCCAGAGCAAAGACATTGCAAGTCCACTTGGACTCGTCAACCAAACCCCTCAAATGCCTCGAAGCCTCGTCAACCTCAAACTGAATCCATCATCTCAACATCACTATCATCCGCCCCTTCATAGCCACTATCCCGACTAACGTCCTCGTCATCCCCATCGCCATCCTCGTTCCCATTCTCGTTCTCTTTCTCATCATCATCCTCGTCACCATCTTTGTCAATCATTATCAACCCCCCATTTCCACCTCCACCACTTGTCCCACTCTCATCATCATGCTCATCCCCATTCCCGTCCCCATCATCATCAAGGCTTGTCAAATCAACACTAACACTCTCCCTCCCCCTCTCCATCCCCCTTGCACTTGCACTCGCACTCACACTTCTCTCCATCGACACCCTCAACCTCGCCCTCAACCTCCGTCGTGTCTGCACCCCCTGACTAACAAACATCTCCGAACTCGACGATCCCGAACGTGAACCTGGCCCTGAACGTTCCGAACGTTCCGAAAAGCGTGACTGTGAGCGTCTTTGACCAAAACCAGAAGAAGTAGACGCCGTTCCCGCTCTACCGGTATTTCTATTTACATTTCCACTCCCATTTCCCAACCACGACAACCCAGGTCTGGTAACGGGCCCGGCCGAAACCGACCTCGAGATGAACCTGGAAATAGTCCTAGACACAGAATCCCTCCTCGCAGCCGCGTTGTGAGGAGGCAGGTACCTCGCTGAGCCTGGTTGGATGTTAAGCAACGCAGCGAGGCTTGGGGGACCTCCTCCTAGCTCTCTTGGTATTGAACCATTCCTGGAACCGGAACCGGGGCCAGGGCTAGGGGATGAATGTGGTGCGCCGGGTGCACCGGGTGCGGTCGGAGTGGGAGAAGAAGGGAAGCCGTCGAAAAAGGAAAGGCTGCCGGGGACGGAGATGGCTCTGTCCATGAGGCTGGGGGTCATGCAACTCATTGGAGTCAGGGAATGCATGCGAGTGGGGACGGAGGCGATGGTGCTGGGGGCTTAGGAGGGGTGGGGAGATGGTGATGGGCTTGAATTGTGGTGCTGATGGTGGGGGTTATGATCGTCTTCATTATCCTCGTCGTCGATCGCCATCGGCGTTCCGGCGTCACCGGTTCCGGGACTGGTGCTGTGACGGCTGCGGTTGGAGTTGTATTCGAGGTGGTCGTTGTGACGGTTGTTTTGGCTGACGAAGAGGCTGTCTTCGTCGGAGTCGGAGTCGGAGGGGACTTCGATTATCTCACTACCAGCCCTTCTGTCAGGTGGTGAGTTCCTCTCCATGTCGGCATCTGAATCGGGATTGGGATTAGGATAGGAATCACCTAGGCCGTTGTCTTGGGAATCGCCAGAGTTCGACTCGGATGAACTGAAACCAGAAGATATGAAAGTGTCCGAGGAGACCGCAATACTCGGCGTGAGTGGATTTTAGGGGAGTCTGATATTGGCTAAAAAGCCTCCGTGGCCTCTGGTCGTCTTCTGACCCCCTGGACCCCCAATGGGAGGACCTCTACGACCATGATGCGGTCCCCCAGATGATGATGAGGATGAAGAAAAAGAAGAGCTCGAGCTCAAAGAACTCGAAGAACTCGAAGAACCCCTCTGTCTCGGACCGCTGCTCGCGCTCATCCGCGACGGAACGTCAGTGTCGTGAGGTAACCCCCCATCTTGTCTTAGCTGGTCATACGACCAGATACCACCATTATCGATGTAAAACCCTTTAACCAGCCCCCAATCTGCCCTAACGGGGTTCCAAGCCCCCTCTTGTCCATTTGCCCTAAAAAGAGGCTGCAAATTCTCCAATTTCGAACTCTCCCGACGACTGGGGACTTTTTGCATAGTAGCCGTATTCGTGACATCTTCAACGAATGGCTAATCCGCTACTGGCTCGCGAGTGGCGGTCCCGGAAGTGATGGCGTTGTGGAGATCGTAAAACTGGATCCATTCCAGGCCGCGGAGGGTGTAGATGAAATCAATGCCCTGAGTAGTGCGAAGGGCGCGGAGTTTTCATTGGTTGGGTTGTCCAGCGGTTTTATTTCCCATGAACTGCTTATAATTGCTGTCTCCGTATCGGCGACGCTGGTAGCGCTTACCAGACTCGTCGATATGAATTACTAACGTTTTGAGTCTTTGGCAATCTGGGAGAAAACTTAGGCCGAAGGTTCGTCGAGAGTAAGGCAGACGGCCCTTTGGGTCCAAGGCGACGGTCAGATATTGGTTTCCAGTGAGAGTAATCTCAAGATGCTGCAGGCGCTCGACGCGGGCCGGGCCGATGCCCTGGCAGAAGCGGTGGAATTCGCCGAGGCTCGAAAAGGCGAAGGTATTCAAGCCACAGAAGGCATGGATGCCGATGAAGTAGAAGCGCCTAGATACTAAGAGCATACGCAAGAGGTCGTTGGGGGCTTGGCCGCTATGAGTGATACTGCATTTTCGTTCGAAGAAGAAGAAGCGTTTAAGGCCACTTCGTCTGCTGAGTGCTGCTTCCTCTGGGAACTCTTCGAGTGGGACAAAGGGATCCAATCTGGAAATTGCGTGGACGAGTTTCCCCTTCTTGAATGGCCAGATTTTGAAGATCCTGGCTTGAACTTCGGCCGGAAGGCCATTGAAGTTAAATGGTCCGTTGTTAATATTCGATCCAGGAAGGTCCTCAATGGCTGCATCTCCTTCCTCTCGTGTGACGAACTTGATGTTCGGATGAACCCGGTTGATGTTGACACTCATGTTCTCTTCCTTGTTGCACTGTCCACACACTTCCTCCCATGTCGGATCTCCGGTCAAAAGGTGTTGTCGTACCATTCCTGGCCAGGCCTAGCTAATGTTAGTACTTTTCAGATATCAAGTTCACTTTATTATCACATACCCTTTCGGTGTGCTTTTTAGGCCCTGCCCGCACTCGTACGACTTGTTCTCGCAACTGTTCAATATCTGCTCGCAACCGTGCAATATCTGCCCGTAATCCGATATTCTCTCTCCCGAGGGTAGTTGCTTCTTCTACGGCTGCAGTCCTTTCGCTTAGGAGGGTGTCGTTGACTCCCTGTAGGATGCCCTGGGAACGAGCACATTGAGTGTTCATGCATGGCCCTTCGGCAATCCCATTCATAGTGGGTGGCGGCGTGGGGTCCATGTTGTGCTATTCCTGTCTCGGCAGATGAAATGTGAATGAGACGGACCGAGCGATTGAGTGTTGATTGTCGTTGAGCAAGACGACGGATAGCCAGGAAGATGTGAGTGAGTGAGTGACCGGGTATGCACGGTGACGGATGGGGAGGTAAGAGATTTTGAGGGGAGCTAGGACGTCCCGGCGAAGGAGAAGGTATGGTAAAGGATGCTGGAAAAGATGTGAGAGAAGATAACAGCAGAGAATGAGGCCGTTATCAAACCGGCCTGCCCGAGGCTTGTTGGGGGTATCGTGTACGGTTGTCAAAATCCAGGGCCAGGAGAAGAATACTGTAAGCCAGAAGAAGAGAAGAGGTCTTATAGTGGCAGGACCATAAACTGCTGGAGGCGCACGAGTGTTGACGGGGAGGAGAGGGAGGAGGCAATTGGCTCACGACACGGAGGTAGATATAACGATTGAGTTTGATGGAAGCCGAGGAAGTGTATCGGATGAATCTGTCGATATCGGAAGGATGAAGACACGCGAGCATCAAGCGAATGCGGACAAGGGAGGAAAGACTGAAGACTGGGAATTCGTACTGCTGGTGATTCTCGTAAGAAACAAGCGGTAATTTGATAGACTGGGGTATAGCAACCGGAACCACTCGGCCAGCCATGGAGGAGTGACTGCGGCAAGATCGCGATAGCGTCAAACCGCGGAGTTGGTCTGGGTATATAAGTCGTGCCTCAGCCGAGATCTCCGTAGCCGGGCCTCGTGGACTGGGAGATCTCGGAATCAGATATCCTTTACAAGGCCCTCTCAAGCTGGGCCCTCCCCGAATTAAGGCCTCGTTCAGTCCCATCTTTTGAACTGTTTGCTTGAGAGAATCCCGGAGAGAGTGGATGACGATATCAGGAAGTATCACTTGGCGAGTATATGCAAAGATTGGAGAGACAGCGTGTATGGATTCGGATGAAGAGGAGTCGACAAGATGGTTTGTTGCCATGGCGAAAGCAAAGGGTTTGTTTACATGGCGATGGCAAACACAGGCCGGAAGACGGTGATCGCCTGGGTGATATCCTCATGGCAATGCGAGTGTGGTCGTCGTTGACTCGGGTTTCCAAACACTTGACGGGGGAATAGTGGAAGAGGGTTCCCGAACATGATCGACACCATGGTAAGCACCCGTTCAGATCACTGATCAACACAAATGAACACTGGAAGTATCTCTGATCGTGGTCTCCATTGCACCGATAACACTGATATTGTAACTCCAAGCCGCCAAAGGTTGATAAAGCTGATTGGCACCTTGCGATTTGCCGTTGATGCTTGTAGGTAACTCGGGAGTGTCCGCCTCAATGGCTGTCGAGATGGTTCGGATGCAAACCCGAGGGCTGATTTGCTCACATGAGGGTCTCGAAAGTCAACATAGAGCGAAGAGTTGGACGGCGACAAGCTCCAACAGGCGGGAGGAGAGGCAGACAGCTTGTTGTGTGGCATCGGCATCGGCATCGGCATCGGCACCAGCAAGCAGTCGCGCGTCTAGCTGCCAAACCTTGGACCTTTGACCATATAAGCCCCAAGCTCAAACCCTCCAATAACTCCCGTACCCATCCGCCTTCTGTCTTGTGTGTGGCCTAGCGGTATGGTATACTGTACGGGAGTCAGAAACCATTGCTCAGTGTGCGGTACTGGCGGTACAGTTTTCGTAGGTCGCAGCTGGTCCTGAGTTCGACTCGGGCTTGGGCGATTGAGCTTTTTGCTTTTTTGGTTACTTCGAAATTCCCTTTCCTTCCCAAAATGTCATTTCACTGGCTTTGATCCTCTCGGCCATCTGAACTTGGATATTGCATATCTTGCTTGGTCGTTGTCGATGCCATCGCCATGGATCGTATTAATTGAGTCGATCCTATCCGCCCTCAAATTTCCTCCTCTCGGTCTACCAAATCGTTGTCGCGGTGCTTCCAATTCGATCTTCCAAGCCTTTTCCAAACCCTGGCTAAAGCAGAACTCCCATAACGCCTGTCTTCAACCCAATCCCACCCAAATCCAACAATAATACAATCTTCTTTCTTATACACCCGCATACGGAGCGGTCATGGCGGTTGCGGTCATGGCGGTTGGCCACAGTTTTACTTCTCCTCCTCACCATCCTTGAACTCCTTGGGCAAGTCCATACCCACCCTCTTGGCCGTCAACCTGACCCTCGTCTCCTCGTCCATGCCCATGCCGGGGTTGTAGCGTTCCAGCAGGGTGACGTATTCGCGCTGGGCCTGGAGGTAGGCAAGGAGCTGCTCGGCTTCGGCGACGGAGGGCTTGTGTACGGGCGTGGTGGCGCCGGCGGAGGCAGGGGCGCCGGTGGACGAGATGAAATCGCGGAGGCGCTGGTGGAGAGGGGCGCGCGGGGTGGTGAGGAAGGGCCGGGGAGGAAGCTCGCGGAGGAAGGCGCGGTAGAGATGGAGGAGGTTGGTCTTTGCGGCAGAAGACATTTTGGCGTGTTTGATTTGGGATGACGATGTTGGTGGGTGGTGGTGGTGGTTGGGTTGAGAGGTGCCGATGTGGAGGTGGACTGGAGGAGGTGGACTGGAGGAGATGCGACGAGACGAGATGCGATTGCGGATTGAAGACGGATGAGGTCAGTTTGGGACTTGGGTGCTCCAGAAAAATGTCTACTATGCAGTATGGTAGAGCTTCCAGAGAGCTCCATTTAGCTCTGGTATAACCCCAACCCTAGATGAAAATGACTCCGCGGCAGGCAAAACTGGTTGTTATCGGGAGTATAGCATGCCATACCTTATCAATTACAGAAAGTCGGCTATCAAATCTGCGACTTCTCTCTCTCCCATCATCGCTGCTGTCTTATTGCGCCAGACAAGATCCCGACAACCCCAATTTGTCGGCAACATATTCCGCCATGACGAATCAAAGGGCAATGGCCAGTATTTTGGCCATGCCACCCAACCTAAGATGTCTGGTCCTCCGACAACTCGCAGCCTCTCCTCGACCTGTCGCAGTCGCTGCCCCGATCTCCTCCATTCGTCTCTTCACCTCCACGACAGCGAACGAAGCACGACAACGCTTGAGAGCAGGATCTACTTCAAGGCCTCAACCAACACAGACGAATAAGCCCCAGACGAATAAGCCCAAGGAACAACAATCGGAAAAACCAAGAGCGAGACAGCCCGAGAAGCCCAGAGCGAAGCAACCCGAGAAGCCCAGAGCGAAGCAACCGGAGAAGCCCAGAGAAAGGCAACCCGAGAGGGCCAACAAAGCGAAGCAACCCGAAAAGCCCAAAGAGAACCAGCTACTCGACAAGAAGCTATTCGAGAAGCAGCTATTCGACAAGCCAAAAGGGACGCAGCAATCGGAAGGGAACAAGCCCAAAGTGAAACAACAACAACAATCAGAAAAACCCAAAGAACCCCGCCTCAAAAAAGTCAAAAAGACCGGAGGCCCCGTCGAAAAAGCGCCTTCCTCCTTCTCCTTCCTTCCCCCGCCCTCCAACGACCCCAACCAGCTCGCCGTCCCGGCGCCCCCTCCGACAGCCAACTCCCTCTTCGCCGCCACCCACATCTTCACCTGCCAAAAGCCCTACTTCATGTATGCCGCGCCTCGATTCCTCAACTTCCCCGTCAACACGTACGTTCCCGAGGTGTGCATCCTGGGGCGCTCCAACGTGGGCAAATCCACCCTCATCAACGCGCTATCAGGCGCAGCAGGCGCGGCCGCCGGTCGGGCGCATGGTCTCGAAGCGCGTCGAGCCGGTAGAGCCATCACGTCCGCGCACGCGGGCAGCACCAAGACGATGAACGCTTATGGCTTCGGGCCGCCACCGAAAGTAGCGCCGCCTAAGAAGGAGGCCGATCCCGAAGACGGCGAGAGCAGAGTCAAGTCGCGATCGGAAAAGCGGGAGGAGAAGAATAAATTCAGCAAGGAAAGGAAACCGACCAACCAGCTGATTCTGGTCGACATGCCTGGTTACGGATTCAACTCGCAGGCCGAGTGGGGAAAAGAAATTGTCAAGTACCTGGAGAAGCGACAGATGCTCAAGGGCGCCGTGGTGCTGATTGATTCGGTGGCGGGCGTGAAAAAGGATGATAGAACTGTGTTGGGCATGTTGAGGGATGCCGGGGTGAGGACGACGGTTATTCTCACCAAGGCGGATAAGATTGATAGCTTGGAGGAGTATTACCAGGCGGCTGCGGGGGGCAGGGAGAGGGAAAGGGGGTCGATTGGGGATATGTGTGTTAAAGTGTGGGAGGAGCTGAGGCAGATCGAGGAGGAGAGCTTGACGTGGGTGGAAGGGAAGGGGTGGGAGAGGGAGTTGTGGGTTACGGGCGCGGGTGACCCGCGGAATGCTGGGTTGGGTATTGCGGGCGCGAGGCTGGCGATTGCGAAGATGGCGGGGTTGGTTAGAGACGAGCGGGCGCTGGCGGATGAGGAGGCGCCGGAGTTGGGAAGTGTGGTAAGTAAGCCGGCGGCGCCGACAGCGAGCAAGATCATTCCGTTTGATCAGATTGTGTGGGCGACGCCGCATCAGGGAAGTGCGAATCCCAAGGGAGGTCGGGAGAAGGCGTCGTTTTAGTTGGACTGCTGGATGTTAGTTGGAAAGTCACCACTGTATTATTTTATGTACCATTTGAAGCAATGCCTATATATAGACTTGATACCCCTTGGAATGAGGAAAACAACAGAAGGTCACTCACTGCCGACGATCTCTCACTGTTTCTGAAGAAAAAAAAAACTCTATACATGCCAACATCTATCTGCCCCCAAAACGTCTATGGGTATCCCAAATCTCTCCAACAAGACATGCCAGATTCAAGAACTCCTTCTCCTACCCCTTCCCCTCTCCCTCCCAAACTCCCGCTCATCAACCGGACTGCCCCTCCCTTTCGCCTCCTTAAACATGAAATACGGGCTAAAAACATCCACCAAATTATCCCACAGCCCAATATCATAAAGATTCTCCACATCCTTCAGCCTCCAAACGGCCTCCCACTCGCCCTCCCCGGGCAACCTATGGCTGGACCTCGGCGGCTTCCCATCGTCAGTCCTAACCATGACCTGCTCCGCCTCGACCGGCCACCTCGTCCACGCCGGCTCAACCTTCAAATCCTTCTCTCTCTGTCTCGAATCCATCCTTCGCTTATAAACCCCGCCCTCGTCCATCTCCGCCTGCCAATCCTGCCACTTCATGCTCTCGTTCGTCGTCGTCCCGCAGTACACCAGCCACAGATGATACCCCAGCAATCCCCAGACGAGGGGAGTAGTCAGCAGCGCCAGTAATGTAACAGATCCCATGGCCACGCCGGACTGCAAGCCCCAACTCCAGAGGACCAGCCACCTGTGAAGATCTAGCTCACCACTTTCCCATGCCTGGCGGGAAGTCCACCAGGGCATTAAACTCCAGTAAGGGAACCGCGCCTGGATTTTAGCCCGGATTATTTGCAGCCCAAGAACCCCGCCGTACAGTGTTAGGATGGCCGTGCTTAGTAGCAAAAGAATAAACCACCGCTGATTGTTGGCGCCCACGCAGTTATTGATGAATATACAATGATGGTCCATCCTCCCGATGCACTTCTTGCAGATACTGCAATGTTTGGACCTAGCCGGTTTGAGCAAGTGACAGGTCTCGCAGGTTGTGCCCGGGTGGAAGAGCGAGAAATCGTACGGGTAGCGGGCCATTTCGCGCACGTGCGTTTGGGGGTTGATGGTGCCTGGGTCCGTGAAGGCGGAGAGGTAGAGGAAGAGGTAAGGGAAAAAGATGGCGAGGACGCCGAGGGTTTTGTGAGTGGACGAAAGGTAAGGCCAGGCGTGGGGGAGGTAGAGGTATTCGCCTACTGAAAGCAATAAAAAGAAGAAGATGAGGATTGTCGGGTGTTGGTCGTACCAGAGGTAGTGGGCTAGACGGGTAACTGAGTTGGAAAGGCGACCGCCGGTTAGGAAGCCGTCGAGGGTGATGAGGCTGTTGGGGAGGTGGATCCAGATTAGGCGGTGGAGGAAGGAGATGGGTGTGTTTCTGTTTTGACCATGTTAGTGATGAGTTTTGGAATGACTGGTAATAATGAGAGGTGAAGGCATCATGAGATACGTACCGTAAGGCAGGTAGTCTGCCGAAAAAGGCCACAAAGGTCATGAATGAGATGCCAAGGATGACGGCGGCGATGATTGCGATGGTGCCCATGGTGCTGCTACTGATTCCTTCTTGTTTCCTTCACTTGTTGTTTTCCGAAAAGTGAGAATCATAATCCGGGCTGGCCGTACTATGTATGTATCGTGTTGGGCTATATCCGCCGGTGGACAAAATATGTTCAGTGGGTTGTTGATAAACTCAAGTTGGGTTCCCTCCTCGATTTTCTATGTGAAGGTCGCCCGCGGGTGTCTCGGCCAGCGAACACCCCTGTCAACACACAGTTGTTATTCTCAGGGGGAAACAGAGGAGGACTGAGGAATCGACTGCTTGCGTCTCCAGATGGGGGTGAGAAGTACTTGGGGGAAGAAACAAAGACATGAAGAGTTAGATATGAAAAACAAGGGAAGTGAAGAATACCATTACAAAAGTTGAGAGGAAAAAGGAACACATGTGAATGGACCCAAGATGAAAGGACGAGGTCAACTCAGCTCAGCTCGGACCCGGTCGTCGTCAATGCCAAGACTGTTGCGGTGGATGTCTAGGGGTGGGATTAGGGTTAGGGTTGGTGTGTTGCTTGGTCGCTTGCAACCACTGAGCTGTTCATTCCTGTCCCCGTGAGAGCGCGACGAGGGGTCAGGTCCACGCCAAACACGCGCAACAAAGAAGAGGGAAGACACGGCGGTTGACTGACTTTAAGATCGCAAGTGGAAGGTTCAATACCGATGCTGACATTGCTTCAATTCAGGCCACCATCAAACATCCATCACGCTTCCAGTTTTCTCCGTCATTTCCCTTCACTTTATCAACTTGATTGACTGGCCTACCGCCGTTTTTTGGTTTCTCTTCAACCATACAATTTCACTGAGCTCAATGCCACAGTCGCAAAGTGAGGCCATCGCCAACTCTGCCAAACAGTAAATCGACCACCACTCAGCACCAATTGCCCACCATCGCTCTACACTCAAGCCCTCACTGTTTTTTTGGAACCATGGATTAAATTGTGTAGATGAGGCCCATTGTTTCGTTCTGCGCTCAAGCCCGAGTGACTTGAACACCTCAGACCCAGGGTTAGGGCAATAGCCTACAAGGTATTCCCCCGACTTTTTGGACCATATCAGTCACACCTCAGCATGCCGTCAGCCGGAATCGTCTACGAAGGAGTCCTGGCCAATGGGACTCCGGATGGCAACAACAACAACAACAACAACAACCAAAATCAATATGAGGGCACTCTCTTCAACGGTCTCAAGTTTTGGGTCGCCCAGAGAGTGCCAGGCCGCAAGTCCCTGATAGACTCACTCAAGGTATATGTCGCCTGTTTCTCTTTCTTTAGAAACCTACTGACATCCCACACAGGCCAATGGAGGGAAGAACGTCCTTCTTGAAAAACATGCAGATATTCTCATTGCAGACCATGTCCGCAAAAATGCTCCCGCCGGCTCGGTGTCATGGAAGTACATCACGGATTCCATCAGCGACGGTCAACTGGCCGACATGGACATTTACAGGATCGACCATTTCACTGCCAAGGGAGCACGTCCTGTAGGCTCAACCATGTCTATCAAGACCAAACGAACCCCCTATACAGCACAGGATGACAATATCCTCATTCACTGGGTCTTACAGAAGGAGAGGGCGGGCGAAGCCATCCGCGGCAACAAGATTTACATAGATCTTGCTGAAAGATATCCTCGGCACACATGGCAGTCATGGAAAGATCGTTTTAGCAAGCGGTACGATCGTCAACACAGGGATTCTCTGGCCGCGCTGCTTCCTCAGGGCTTTGAGCCGCCGCCACCACCACCTTCTCATGCCCCTGCGCCCGTCTGCAAAAAGATTGCCACGCCTTCCGTAACAACTACCACCGTGCACACACCGGCCCCGAGCCGTCCACGACCTCAACCGTCTTCGTCTGTTATCGCTCCCACTAGCAGAGTCCCCTTTACCAATGAGGAAGACAATATCTTGATCACATACATCAAAGAAATGAACCGCCGAGGAGAAAACTTGGATTCAACCATGATTTACAAGCAGTTCGCGGAACAACATCCGCATCACGGGTGGCAGTTCTGGCGAAAAAGATGGGTTGATCAACTGCAGGCCACAACGAACCTGGAGGAAGATGAACCTGCCGACCCTGTCGCTCCGGATGCTCCTGAGCCCAGCCTTCCCGAGCCAACCCCAAGGACTATCACTCGTCCCGAAGTCAAGGCGACGCCTAAGAGTGCTGATCAAGCCGCGGCTAAGAGGCGACTTTCAGCAGCCCTGAATAGAGCACGCCAGGAGGTCCCTACCAAGAGTTCACCTGTGCCTCCTGCAAGGACTACAATCGCAAGCTCTGCACACAAAAAGTCATCGCCTCGCTCGACGCCTTCGCGGCTCGAAGAGATGAAGAAACGAGCTCGCTTGCTTGGTGAAGAAAAGAAGAAGATTAAGAGTGCTTCTATCATTCAACGAGCATGGCGGTCTCATCAGACCCGCAAACAAATCCCATGGCGACAGAGTTTGGTATCATTTCAAGCTCATGCACAGGGTTATCTGACGCGCTATGTTTGTGCACCTGCCCTTGCAGAGTCCCAGTCCAAGCAACTGGGTGGTGAGGAGGCCGAGATGTACAGTGAAGATGAAGGTTCCATTGACCTTGGACAATCACCTGACGAGGAAATTTCCTCTGAGCCCGCACAAAATCCAAGAGAACACTTCTACACTTGGTTCAGCCTGTACAATGAAGGCCTCGAGACTAATCCGGTCCCTTGGGTCACAATTGGCGGTAAAGCTGTTGACATGTGGGATCTGTGGAGCGCGGTTACGGATCAAGATGCCCCTGCTCACGCACGGGACTGGGAAGAGATTGCCGAATTCTTGGACTTTGACTGGATTGCTAAGCCGGACGTGCCCAGCCAGCTGCAAGCAACGTTCCAGGAACACCTTGCTGAGTTTGAGAACTTCTACAAGGAGTATCAGAATACTGATCTTCCTGGGCTGGATCAAGAGACAGACGAGGACAGCGAGGAAGAACAGGATGAACAGGATGAAGAGGATGAAGAGGATGAAGAGACAGACGAGGACAGCGAGGAAGAACGGGATGAAGAGGATGAAAAGGATGAAGAGGCGGAGAACGAGGAAATCGAGGAGAGGGGAGAGGGGATTGATGCTGACGAAGCAGAAAACACCACACTACCTCAAGACCCCAATACCACCGAGTTTCGGTCTTCACCGCCCATCGTAGGAGCCGCCAAGTCTTCGGGGGGCTTAAAGAGGAACGTTGATCAGTTAATATCCTCCCCGCTGAGTAGCATGACTAGGAAACGGCTACGATACGATATGGATGACGAGGTACCAGAATCGCCACCTAAGGAATGGCGATCTCCGCTCCCACCGATCCCAGAAGTAGCTTCCAGGCCAGAGGAGGCTGCTGATGTTACCCTGGTAAACGAAGACGAGGATGACATTGCCGATGAAGAGATGCCCATGTTTGGAGATGATGAGGACGAGTATGAGGCAGCAGAGGAGGACAGAGAAGATAACGAGCATGCTTTCATTACGCAGCCACAACAACCTATACAGCCTACGGTGGAAAGGGCCTTGTCCCTTCGACCTTCTCCGGCCTCGAAATCGCAAGCAGCGCAGAAGAAGCCTGTCACTCAACCGAGCGCAGAGAGCGAAGCAGATTACATTCCCCCAGATGATGACGAAGAAGAAGTCTCGGATTCAAGTAGCGACGCCTTCGCCCCGCCCATCGACCCTCCCCGGCCTCCTCCTGAGCGAAGACGCCCTCCCGTCCCTGCCCCCGTCCCTGCCCCTCGCCCTTCCACGGGAGCAGCCCCAGTAGTATTTCGCAGACAACTTCCCCCCAGGGATCCTGTACCACCACCTCGTGTTGCCTCTCGCATCTCACCTCCTCGCTTCCGTCCTATCCCTCCTCTCGACCCCTTCGCCTCAAACAACAACAACAACAACAACAACAACAACAACGGAGGCAGCAGCAGCAACCAGAACCAGCAACGCCTTACCCGACCACGACCACGACCACGACCACGACCACGGCAACACCCCTCATACCCCCCAAACCCACCACCAAAAGCTCCACCCCACGGCGGCATCGTAAAAGGCCGCCACAAAGGCGTCGACATATGCTCCGAAAACCCCCTCACCCTTCGCGACCGCTACATCTCGCTAGGCTACAAAAAACGACATTGCGCGCGTGGGGTGCTAGCCACGACGCATGATCCCGTCGTTGCCGGACGGGCGATCCATGCGCTGGCGAGTGAGGATGGACATACACTTCCCCAGAATGTAGCCGGGATTTGGACGCCGGAGGATGATGCGGACTTGAAGGAGGTGGAGGAGTGGGAGCAGAGGGAGAGGGAGAGAGTGGAGGAGGACAAAGACGAGGACGAGGACGACGATGACGACGAGGAGATAATTAAGGAGGGAGAAAGGCTGAGAGTGAAAGAGGTGGAGAGGAGGTTGTTGGAGAAACATGGACGGTTGAGGATGGAGTTGCGGAGGGATTTTTTGAAAAAGTATGCTTTGGCGTAGAGATGGACTAAAGGGACGGGGAGAAGAAGGAGAAGCAGCGTCGGGAGGGACGGAGGGAATTTGGAATAGTAGGCTTATTTGGTGATGGTGGTGGTGGTGGTCGTGTTGGATTATTTGATATTATTGTTGTTGGGTTACCTATTGCACGTGTAGGCTTTGGAGTTATTTAGGAAATGACCGAGGTACCAAAATCATAACTGGACGGACTTATTACATACGACGAAGAAGCAGTAACTTGGAGACGTTAAAGCGAAGAGGTAAGGGACAGAGCAAGGCATTCAACTTATTGTGTTCATGAGATTTATCTGTCCTTCCCCATCTATTTACTTATATACAGGTGGTTACGAGTAAGCATGACAGATATGTTTCAAACGGATGATTTGCAATTACTACCGAACAAAGCGCTAAAGTACTAGAGGTAACGGGGATTCTCTCCTAGTACCCAATTACCCACCTGCAGGTAGGTAAGGTAACGTGATGCAATCTCCATGTTTGTTTTTTCAATTTGTTTCCTTCAACATTTAATGATATTTGCCTACTGCTTGTTCTTCGTCACACGACTAGACCTAGACTCAGGAATAACATCAGAAAATTCCTTGTCAATATTGACCTTGATAATGTCTTCCAACTGAGGCCGTCCGGATGCTTGAGTGACACTGCCCGTGTGAGTACATCCACGAGTATCTCCTCGGCTGCTTCCCACCGTCCTCAGGTCCCCCAGTCGTCCAACTGCATGCTGGTGGCTGAACAATACGAACTAAGTTGTGTGATCAGGACTGTGTGTCTTCAGTGTCTTCAGTGTCTCCTTCCCGCTCTCCACTCCTGACCCTGATCCTTACCCTGATCTTGACCATGACCCTGATCTCGATCATCCCGATCCCGGTATCCATCACCTCGCCCATTTGCGTCGTTCAGGTTTCTTCCACGCCCTTGCTCAACGTCAACCTCAACCTCAAGCTCAAGCTCCAAAAGCGATTGCCCCCGCTGCAGAATACGAAGAGGAGCAAAAGGCCGAGTCGTCACTTCTCTCCCATTAGACGTACGATGATGATGATGATGATGATGATGTCTCTCCTGAATATCAGTTGCTTTTCCCTTCCCCTTTTCATCTTTTGTCGGCCTTCTCCTTCCTTCCCCTCGCACTTCCCGTGCCCCTGACGATGACAGTGTATAAGGGAAGGGAGATGGGGAGGATGTCGACATGGACGACCGTCCCGCTCGCGACGGTGGATAGCGGGATGCAGAAACAGTTGGAGAGCCCTGAACGGATGGTAGCGGCGTTGAAATGGCATCCGCAACCTGATTTTGAGTTACGTGATGGGTTTGGGCTGGGATTCGGTGGGCGCGAGCGGGGTCGGGGTATGATGGGGCTTCATGCCGTCTCCAGATATTATCTTGATTTCTCGTGATATCCGGGTGAAAAGGCGACATCGGTCTGATGGTTTGGGTTTGGGCTTGGGTTTGGTGTCGATGGTGATATTGCTGTCGTCGTTGCTGTTGCTGTTGTTGCACTCCGCCACCAGAAACACCCCCGTTTTGCTTCCCATTGAGGTTCCCATCCCCCTTCCCCTTCTCACCTCGGTCAAGTACAAACCCATAATCCATACAAGACCCATCCTCCAAACCCCCCGGTAACTCATCATCCCACTTCCCCTCATGTTCCCTCCTCCCGAAACCCCCATTCCTCGCATACCCTCTCCTTCCTTTTCCAGGATTATACACCACACGGTATTCATCCGCTGGATTCTTCATCATTTCCCACCCGTCCTCATCCACATCCTCTTCCCCGCCCTCATACCCATCCTCATACCCATGCTCATCGTCCGCCTCCCCCTTCGTCTTCTTCGTCATCCTCTTCTCCTTCGGCCCAGGCCCACGTCCAGGTCCCGCTCCAAGGTCAATGTCCATCCAATTGCTAAGGCCAGCTTGGACTTCATGTTCATGTTGGTGGAGATCTGGACCATGACGATTGCGGCTGGCAGGATGGAATTTGGGGGTGGTTAGACGTTCGAGGGAGGCTTGGGAGGAGGCGAGGACGGCGACGGTGGATGCGGGGAGGGGGAAGGGGCCTAGTTGTGAGGAGGAGAGTGAATCTGGGGTGTTGGTAGGATTTCCGGTGATGGGAGTTTCGATGATGGGAGTTCCGGTGGTAGATAATGGGGTGGGGTTTCCGGTGGTGGTTGTGGTTGGGGTGTTGGTAGTTGGTGTGCTAGTAGTTGGCGTATTAGTAGTTGCCGGTTTAGCAGTTGGTGTACTGATGGTGGTTCTGGTAGTGGTGGTAGTGTTTCCGGTGGTTGGGGTAGAATTTCCCGGAGTGGGAATTCCAGAGGCGGTGGTACTCGTAGAATCTCCGGTGGTTGGGGTAGAGTCTCTGGTAGTGGTATCTCCGGTTGTGTCTTCGGTAATAAATACGGTGGCTGCTATAATGGGCTGTCTGCGGATTTGAAGTAAATCGCGACTACCTAGCAGCTCGTACGACCGGCTAGAACTTGGTGGTATGCTTTCTGATGACTGGGGGAGGACAGACCGGGAAGATGAAGACGAGCCTGGGTTGGGAAGCTTGGGGATAGGTAGAGGGAACTGGAGGGATTTGCTGATGATCGATCCGAGTGCTGATTTGGTTCTAAGCTCATAATTATGGCTGCGGTGATGGCGGGTGTTGGAGTTCAAGTGGTCTGCATTAGAAACAGACGTGTCATTAAAATGTGGGTGTGTCGAAGGTCCCGGCTGTCCCGCTTGCTGTCCGTCATTTTTGGAGTGATGGACTCTGTCTGGAGAATCCCAAGGGGGGAAACGGCTGAGATTCCACGCTTCTTGAAACCAGGCCTGCAATCGAGCATCGGCGCGTTGGAATAGAAAGCTCGTCGAGAAGTGCTCAGGAGTGATATCAGCATCAGAATCAGCATCAGGTTCGGTCCCAACTGCTGGTAAACCCCCCGAACGTGATGAGGAGAGCAGCGATTCGGGTCGACGATGGCGTATAGAGGTAGAGGGAAGTTGGGCAGCATCCGCCTTTGTGTTCGAATTGGCCAGATGGCCGTGATGGAACTGTTGGTTGTGGTCTTTGTCAACCTCTTGTACTGAAGGACTCAGATCAGGATCATCGGGTCTTTTGTCCAAACCATCCTCGTTATGGTCGTTGCCGGGAGGGCTATTTCCCGATGAGGCAGAAGTAGTAAAGAGGGGGGCAACGCCGTCACCAGGACCATCATGATCGTCGCTGTCATCCGAATATTCGCTGTCATCCGAATCCTCGCTGTCAACCGAATCCTCGTCGTTGTCCGGAGACTCAGCCTTCGAAAGTGGTGCTTCCCCATCATTGCTAGAATCCTCGCTCTCATCATCACTCCCATCGTATCCTTCTTCTTGCTCTTCTTGCTCTTCTTGCTCTTCTTCCTCTTCTTCCTCTTCTTCCTCTTCTTCCTCTTCTTCCTCTTCTTCCTCTTCTTCCTCTTCTTCCTCTTCTTCCTCTTCTTCCTCTTCTTCCTCTTCTTCCTCTTCTTCCTCTCGCTCCGTTGTTTTGGTTTTTGTTATGGTATCGATGGTATTGCCATGCCCAGTTGCAGTAGCAGTAGCACCACCAGCAACTCTATATCTTCTCCCCTTAGACTCGAAAATCTCCTTCCAAGTAGCAACCCCCGAGTTGGAGCTGGAGCCGTGACTGTGTCCGGGCTTGGGGGCCGGTGTTGGGGGGATGAGGAGCACATCCTCATCATCCTCATCATCCTCATCATCCTCATCATCATCGTCGTCGTCATTATCGTCGTCGTCATTATCGTCATCGTCGTCATCATCATCTTCCTCATCATCATCCTCCTCATCATCATCCTCATCATCATCCTCCTCATCATCATCCTCCTCATCATCATCCTCCTCGTCATCATTATCCTCCCCATCATCCTCATCATCGTCGTGTTCGTCGTCACCATCTTCCTCCTCATCGTCGTCGTCATCATCGTCGCCGTCGTCATCATCATCGTCGGCGTCCTCATTATC